GGGCGCTCCGAAAGTGCAAGTGAAGGCTACTGAAGTGCCAAAGGAAGACTCGATGCCCCAATGGTTTAAAGACTATGTCAAGGCCAAAGGAGATAAGGGTTTTAGAAAGGTCTGAGTTAGAGTCTGCGGACTTGGACCCGAACAATCGTTTCTCAATCTTATCTACGTTCTCGGATGTAACAGAAGTATATTTGCGATCAAAATCAGAGCATTTTTACATTCCGATTACCTTGAAAGGAAAGAATCGACAAGCAGACGTGAAGGCACTCGTGGACTGTGGTGCATCAACATTATTTATCAATGAGAAGTTTGTGAAGAAGAATGATGTAATATGCCGTAAATTATTAAGACCTATTCTGGTTAAGAACATAGATGGTTCTTTAAATGCCGCTGGATCAATGACTCATTTCACCGAACTAAGTCTAAAGATCGGTAATCATGTAGAAGACAAAGCAGCCTTCATGATTACAGACTTAGGAAACGATGATGTTATTATCGGCATTGACTGGTTAAGATATCATAACCCAGAAATAGACTGGAATGCAGGACAGTTTTCGCGATCTAGATGTCCGCTTAAATGTATTACAAAAAAAGAACAAAGACAAAAAAATAGAGAAAACACAAAAACACAAAAACAGGCAGATGTAGTTCCAGATCTGATTCCCACAGAAGAGGATGACGATGAAGACATGGACATGAAGAAGGCAACCTGCGAAGAGGTAGAAGATGAGGAAAGTCCTGAAAGATGGATTAGGTACAAAGCCTCAGTTGCCACGGAACAAAAGGTAGCAGAAGAAGCTACAAAGAAGAAGAAGTCTGTAGAAGAAATGGTTCCAGACTGGCTTCACGATTACCTGGGAGTGTTCTCAGAAGAAGAGTCCAAACGATTCCCCGAGAGAAAGAAATGGGATCATGCTGTGGATCTTAAGGATGACAATGATCTTCCTCCAAACGTGAAACCCTATCCCTTGTCACCTAAAGAGATGGACACTTTGAAAGATTGGTTAAAAGCCGAGACTGCACTAGGACGTATTAGAGATTCACAATCTCCAGTTGCAGCACCTTTCTTCTTTGTGGCCAAAAAGATGGCAAACTTAGACCTGTGATGGACTATAGAAGGCTTAATGAGAAGACGGTTAAAAATGCGTATCCACTACCGAGATCTCAAGACCTGATTGATGCCCTTACTGGTGCTACGATGTACTCCAAGATGGATGTACGATGGGGATATAACAATATTCGGATGAAAGAAGGAGATGAATGGAAGGCAGCTTTCAAAACGCCCTTCGGTCACCACAAACCAACCGTAATGTATTTTGGGTTGACAAACTCTCCAGCAACTTTCCAAACCATGATGAATGAAATATTCAGAGATTTAATAGACGGCAAAACAGTGGTCGTTTATATCGATGACATCTTGGTTTTTACAAACAGAAACAGAGAGCAACACCAAAAGGTCGTGCGAGAAGTACTCAAACGATTGAAAGAGAACGACCTGTACTTGAAGCCTGAGAAATGTAGCTTCGAACAGTCTAAAGTCGAGTTCCTTGGGTTGATTGTGGAAAAAGGCAGTGTATCTATGGACCCCGTCAAGGTAGAAGGAGTATTAAAATGGCCTGTTCCCAAATGCGTAAAAGAAATACAAGCATTCATGGGTTTTGCCAACTTCTATCGAAGATTTATACTTGGGTTCTCAGACATTGCTAGACCAATGAATGATTTGCTGAGAAAAGATGCAAAATGGGATTGGACAGAGAGACAGCAAAACGCTTTCGATGAGTTAAAGAAGCGTTTTACAGAAGCTCCCGTTTTAGTCATGCCTGACGTTGAGAAGAAAATGAAAATAGAAACTGATGCTTCTGATTATGCAACAGGAGCAGTTCTATCTCAATTAATGGAAGATGACCTATGGCATCCAGTGGCTTATTACTCGAAGTCGATGAATGATGCAGAGAGAAATTATGACATTCACAATAAAGAGTTATTAGCAATCATTCGAGCGTTGGAAGAGTGGAGGCACTATGTGCAGGGAAAACCCCAACATGTGGAGATCTGGACGGATCATAAGAATCTTGAGTACTTTATGACGAGTCAAAAGTTGACAAGAAGGCAAGCCAGATGGAGTTTGTTCCTGGCGGAGTATGAATTTACGCTCCAACATAAGCCTGGTGTAGTCAATGACAAAGCCGATCGTCTATCTCGGAGAGAAGACCACAGAGGGGGAGTAGAAAACGATAATTCTGACCGCATTTTGTTGAAACCGGAATTTTTCAAGATCAAAGCTACTAAAAGAGGCCAAATTCTCATAGAAGGAGAAAGTTCGCTCATGAAGAAGATAAGAAAGAGCACAGAACGAGAGCCTGAAGTAATGAAAGCGCTAGAAACGCTAAAAGCAGCACCGGTACAATTGCGCAGAGGAATCGAAGAATGGAATGTTGAGGACGGATTGGTGTTATTCCGAGGATTGGTATATGTTCCAAATGACAAAGAGATTCGCCGAGAGATATTGGAGTTGTTTCACGACTCTCCACCGGCTGGACATCCTGGACGTGCCAAAACCTTAGAATTGATTTCCAGAAATTATTGGTGGCCTTCAATGACGAAGTATGTCCATGATTATGTAGATGGTTGTGATCGATGCAAGCAAACAAAAGTGTTCCCCAGTAGACCAACGGGACCTTTACAGCCAAATGAAGTCCCAGAAGGACCTTGGCAAACGATCTCATGTGACCTGATAGTGGACTTGCCAAAGAGTGAAGGATGCGATAGTATATTTGTTGTTGTTGATCGATTCTCAAAACAATTGCACTTCATTCCTACCACCAAAGACGTAGACTCGAAGGGAATTGCCGAGCTATTTCTAAAAAATGTATGGAAACATCATGGTACACCAAAGAAAGTGATTTCGGATAGAGGAACACAGTTCATTTCGAAGTTTATGGGACAAGTATCGAAAAGATTAGGAACGAAATGGTCTGCTTCGACCTCCTATCACCCCAGAACAGACGGACAGACAGAACATGTAAACCAAGAAGTTGAACAGTACTTGCACATGTTTGCCTCGTATAGACAAAATGATTGGGTATCTTGGCTGCCAATAGCAGAGTTTTCACATAACAATGCAGTCACAGTAACCGGTCATAGTCCGTTCAAAGTCCTTTATGGATATAATCCCGAATTCACTGTATCTCCGAACTCCACATCCTTTATTCCCGCTGCCAATGAGAGAGCAGATCAAATGAGAGAAGCACGAGACGATGCGGAAAACACTCTGAAGATGGTTAATGAACGCATGAAACGCTTCTATGACCGAGGAGTTAAAGACGCACCTCAGTATCAAAAGGGAGACAAGGTCTGGCTAGACGCAAAGAACATCAAACAACGTCGTCCAAGTCAAAAGTTGTCAGATCGTCATCTTGGGCCCTTTGAAATACTAGAGAAGACCGGTGAAGTGAACTACAAATTGAAATTGCCAGAGAGCTATAAGATTCACCCGGTTTTTCATGTGGAATTGCTTACTCCATATTACACATCTCAATTGATCCCTCATTCTCAACCCACCCGACCACCTCCAGACATTGTTGACGATCAGGAAGAATTTGTCGTAGAAGAAGTACTAGATAGCCGACAATTCCGAGGAAAAGTGCAATACCGAGTAAAATGGGAAGGATATCCAATAGAAGAGTCGACATGGGAGCCAGAAGAAAACGTTAAAAACTCCCCGATTCTAATTGCAGAATTCCATAAGAAGAATCCCACGGCTGCCAAATCCAAAAGAATTCTAGGATCTATTCTTGATACGGATGCATTCAAACAATGGAGAGAGAAAAACATCCGACCATCCTACATTCGCGATGACGCTCATCCTAGAGAGGGGGTAATGTCACGAATTCCAAATACAAATCACTATTCTTTCTTGAACACTCGTAAGACACCCATTAAGCGCCCGTTACAAGCGCCTGTCATTAGCGCTCAGTCAGCGTCTGTACCTATAACCTTCACAAACCCTAACCCGAACTTCTCTATTCCATTAGCGCCCACTACTTTTATCTCCGACATTCCTGATTTCGACTTCCTTACTCAAGCGATCAAGTCACGTGACTCTAGAACCTTCGAGAACCCTTGCACAGCCGTCACACGTTTCATGACATCATAGGTGTAGTTATATTTAGATCATCGTACGATTCCCTTTTCTATTTAATGATTGGTTAGTTAGTTCATACTCAGATTCAGTCTCCGTTTCAATATATGTATATAGGTAGCTCATTGTAGTCAGTAGTTCTCCAGTTCAAACCTCTTTTGTATTAGCTCACTGCTAGCAATCCTAAGACGTCCCTGCTATTCCTTCCTCTTTGTTGTGATATCCTTGTTTGAGTCCTAGTCTCTGCCCCTACGTTAATTCGTTATAAGGGTTGTGACATAATCCTTAGGTCCTGAGTCCTTTCAAATTTTCAACCCATGCAAGGCATCACCCTTATGGATGTCATCGAGCTGCACGACGATGCTGGGCGTCCCAGTGATTATAGATCTGGGACACCGATGTACTCCGACATTCCAGAGTCCCTGACTGCAACACTTTTCCCTCCCTCAGACCTTCCCATCTCTGCATTCATCGAATTTGCCATTCCATCTGTCACTTCCATCCCTCAGGCCAACCTGCCGAACATTGAGCAATACTTCTGCTTGGAACCCCCACACACCATCCCAACTGGTCACGCTCTCCTATCTTCATTACCAATCCCAACGGAGTCAATCGTTACGGCACTCATTCGCATGGCGCCAGAGGCCCGGGGCACTGGGAAATGCTCTGTTATTTATGCTCACACCGACTCACCTTATAGATACCCCTTCTGGCTACTTGCAGTTTTGGGACAAAGTCGCAAAAGATATTATCCCCCCATTAATGAAATGGCAAGCTGCATGTCGTTTTGTAGAGCAACAGTCACGCGGCCCTGGAGCCCAGTCACTCAGTTGCGTCCGTCTTCCAAATGCAGTTGTCAATGCTTCCTTGGCAGGGTGATGTTTGCGGCTTCATGGACTACTCGCCTATACACAACCTGGCACAATTCGCCTCGCAGGGCTGGCTCTGCGACAATAACATTAATTTTGCTCTTGAACTCATTCATTGGCAGATCAAAAGTAGTGATGTTCTCGCCCCATTTCCCGACATCCTTCAAACGTACTTCATCAATAAACTTAAAACTATCTTCGAGTTGCGCCACCAGCGAGACTATTTCAGCGCAGATGATTGTTTGCACCTTCGTCAGGTTGGGCAGGATGTAGCCAATGGTGTAAAGACTGTTGGAATGGCTTGTTTTGTCCACTCCAACCATTGGCTGTCTCTTGTTATCGATGGCTCACGTCACACAATTTACTTCGGAGACTCATTCGGACATGAGGCACCAGACTCGATCCATCATGCAGTCGAGTGGTGGCTTGGATTGCACACACCGACATCATTCAAATGGGAAGCCCTTGCCTGCACTCACCAACAAGATCAGTATTCATGTGGCATACTCGCCATCAATGCCATCGCCCATCACTTTCTTCCACAAGCTTATTCTCTCCTCGTATCGACTCACGATGCACTAGATGCCGCGTGTATGCAGATTGGTGTGGCCGTCATTGATGCCCACCTGCACACATTATCCGTAAGTATCAACTAGTATGTAATCTTGCAGTCGGTGATCTAACCCTACTTACAACAGGTAAAATCTGGAGAAGTCTTCTTACCAATCCCGCCGCCGCCTCATAATTTTCATGAAAGACTTTGTCTTCCGATTCGTCTGGTCCTCCCATCCAAAACTACGCAGTCTTCTGTCGCGTACTTGTGTTCTTGAAGGGTCTTCTTGAGGGGGAGTGGAAGTCAAAAGAGAACCCGATTCTCAAAAAACTAACTGGTCGTGAGGCTCAGCAATCATTCCTCCGGCAATTTGAACGTTACGCACGTGGTCAGTATCCATTTGATACCCCCCTTGAAGATGGTCAATCAACACTGTCATGGTGGACGCACTTAACAAGAATTCCTGAGGGAAATATCCTCGCGGTCAGTCCATTTGTTGCATACATGAACTGGTTCACTCACTCCAGTAAAGACCCTCGCTGTCAAGGTGTTTTCCGTCCGACCGAGCTCAATGCCAGAAGAGCGTACAATGTCAGTATTCACGCGGATGAATTCTGCGCTGCGAAATCGTCAAAATGTCAGTACACTTGTGAACATGACGCAAATATGGCAATGGTACATGTATGATTCTGCTGTAAGTAAATCCGACTTTTTTTGGCTCATACTCATGCAAGCATAGTCCAAACATCCAGAGCGTCCGACCATCAATTTTTATGACCTCGACGCCCAACTGTTTGGGTCTGGAGCGAAAGTAGGCAAACAGCACCACGATCCAAGGAACAGCTTGCTGTCGACCGAAAGTGCTGGAGGAGATGAAGAAATTGAAGATGACGAGTCCAGTTCTTGGTTGGACAATGTGGGAGAGAGTTCCACCGCATGCAATGATGCTGACTTCGATGTCGAATCCGAGATAGACTTGAGTGCAGAGGGTTTGTTGGTAGTATTGGCAGAGGCAAGTCCTGGTGGCACACAGAAAGGCAAGGGAAAGGCCAAGGCCGAGGCTGAAGAGATCGAGGGGGATGACAGCGTCGATAACGAGTGGCCGGAAACATGGGAATGAGCGGCTGGCTAATTAGCTAGGGTTATTAGCTATCTTTTCGCCTGCTAAAAACTATGTCACGTGACTTGCTAAAAAGCGGCTAATAATCCGCTAGTTAATAACTCCCCAAGAGCCACCTGGCTAAAAAGCAGGCTAATAATTCGTCAATTAATTTTATCCCTAACCCTATCCGGCACGATAGATGACGTTGAATTGAGGGTGATATTCGATGCAGGTGCACCAGGCTGTCGTCACAACGGGCGTCCTCGTCAAGGGGCTCTTCGATAGTCGCTTTCCGGAGACTCAACAAGAATCTAAGGACTGCATACAATCGAGTTCCATAACTCTGCATTGAACTCGTGATAGATGCGTGGCATTGCATGAGGCTAGGAGAAGTAGACTGCTACTCACGGAGCTGTTGAGAGGGCTTTCATAATACAGGTACTATGTGCGTTTGAGTCAACACACACACACGCGCGCACGGAGTCCTTAGTCGCAAATCGTAGTTATTGACTGAGAATTTCCGTGGCCCACTTAATCCTCTCTAATGCAAAAATAGGAGGGGTAAGGGTGTCTTTATTTCAGCTCCAAAGCGGTGCCAATGTAGGAGCGATCGTAGTTGGAGGAAAGAATACGGGGGTCTTGATATCTGCGAAGTTTGACGCGTCGTAGTTTGGGAGGAACTGATAGTGACGTTGTGGAGTAAGAAGGGTTCACGACATTAATTGATGATGCGTGTATCGCGTACAGGGGGTGCGACGAGAACGGGGAGGAGAAGGGTGAGAATTAAGAGATGGATGATGGAGCTTATAAGCTGTTGATACTCACGAGAAAGCATTCCAGGACCGGCACCTCCAAACATACATCTGAGGGATCACAAGGCTGATAGTTCTGAACGGGGCGTTGGAAGCGGAGACGTTTTCGGAGGTGAATGAAACATGGGTTGCTGGGGATCATGGCGATGATCGATGATCGATGAGTGGTGTAACGAGTAAAGAATTCGAAGAGAATGTGAACACACAAACAGCAGAAGTACGCGTTGGATTAAAATATTAATGCTTGTTATCATCATAGTCGTGTAAGCTTAGTTACCACGAGTTGGGTGATGACATTAATTAATTCTGGAGGTTGATGAAGTCATTTGTTTGTCCTTCTTTGTCCAGCACCACTGTGCGACTTTGACTGCAAGCTTCTTTGCATCTGAAGTTGAGAGTTTCAAACAGAGGTACATATTATTTCTATCTGGAACGAGTTGCACATAACTAACTGCTGATTCGCTAGGTGAGAGGCCTATCACCCCCGATAATATTGATATCCATGTCGTGTGTGACTTGGTCAAGTCATGGTTCAGGTTGCTCCCCGAGCCTGTCTTCCTATCATCGTCATCCTATTTCAATGTTATCGAGGCAACGAGTAAAATCCATTCTATCAATGGTCTTCTTTCAATGCTCATGTTCTTGCAGAGCTCGAGAATCTTAACTCGCGGCTTGCCTGTATCCGGAGTGTCGTGCACGGGCTTCCTCAGGCAAACTTTGATCTTCTGAAGAGGATCGCAGTCGCAGAACATCTCGATAGGTGAGTTTTTATGTTTGTTTGTTTCGTCAGCTAAATGATATTGATGCTACTACTCCAAAGTAACCGACTATGAGGAACACAACCTAATCTTCATCCCAGTTACTTGCTTGTTGAGGGACTTTGGGTCGTCTTGCGGGTTTCTCATAATGATGCTGTCGACGCTAAGTACGGATACGGCGGCTTACGTTGCGAGCTTGATGGCCCACCGTTTTGAGGGTAGTGGGTCGAGAATCTTGAAGTCGGTAGCTAGCAGAGTGCCATCTTGTTTAGCCTTGTATGTGATCGATCGATCAAAGAGTGATGATGTAGAATCGGTGAACTTACCTTGATATCGACACCCCAGGCTTTGCCGCCCTCCTGTTCGTGCTTGACCCACAACCGACTGTGAACCTCATTAATACGCTCAGCACCTCTCAGGGAGCGTTTGGGGTATGACTTCGAGTGCTGTGGTATACCGCTTCGCAGCATGTTATACCAGCTCCCTCATCCCGCTTACTCCATACGCTTGCCTAGCTCTAGTTCCGTCGCACCTGCACCAGGAACTAGCCGTGGATCTTTTATAAGTGATTCGATCACGTTCACGCCGTTGTCGATCGCGCACTCGAGGTGGTCGAGATGGTAGGCTGTTGCTCCCATAAGCACGATCGTCGCCGTATGTATCTTTCTGTGTCCCTGATACCCATGGGAGCGAGCTGACGAAGGATAGTGACACGGTCTCCACCGATCTTCGTTGTCTCAAAGAGGTCGATGTAGACTGCTTCCTCTGGAGTGGACCAATGCGGGCGAGATGCGTGGCGTTGAAGACACAAGCTACGCGGCGGAGGTCAAATTTGGGGAGGACTTTGGGAACAGCGATGTTGAAGTGATTGAGGTAGTATAGGGCAAGGTTACTGGTGGATGAGCCTGCGATGATGACTTTTATGCGATTCAGTGATAGTTAGTAGATGTAGTAGGTAATTGGATGGAGGAGAGCATACCCTTCCAAGTTGTTGTTCCTCGACGCGAGTGAAACGGGTTCGAGGGCTGTTCCTATGTGAAAGGAGACGGTAGGCTAGATGTCAATATATCTGCGTCGCTTCATAAGAAAACGTAAACAGGATGAGGGAGTGACTCACTTTTTGAGTTCACCAAGGGCATTGGCGCATGCGAATTTGTTGATTCAGACTTTGCTAGGGTGGAGGCTGATGATGAGAAGGTTCTCTGATTTCTCCTGCCAGAATGATGACCATGTTTGTAGTAGAACACCCATCTGGATTGAGTTAACGAGTAGATAAGAAATGAGATGGAGAAGGACATACCTCGGACTCTTGAACTTGTGAGGCCATGACAAGGAGCTTAGCTGTTGGGTGGATGACTTCGGCCTCCCTAACTATGGTAGCGGCATCGGATGTTACGAAAAAGTCGGGCAAGGTGATTTATTCTGCATTGACAGAGTCAGGATAGACATATCTAAGCGCAGAACACGTACCATTAGCATTGCTCTTGAAAGGCGCTGGGAGAAAAAGGACGTGCAACATGGATTGCATAGCGGATGTGTGAAAAGGTGTAGGAGCTGGGGGACTGTATCCCTGAGGCATTGTCAGTATCCATGGAGTAGTCTGTCTTTGGTATCTGCCCAAATGACACACTGGAGGTAGCGGTAGGTGCGACGAGGAGAAAAGTGTGAATTAAGATGCTAACGAGGTTGGTTCGTAGCATCCAGTCTAGTGCTCAGAATGAGAAAAGTAGCTGGGCATGCGGCCTGACGCACAAACCTTAGATAACACACAGGGCCTGAATATGCATGATGTTCTGCTCACGACGTGGATGGTAGAGTTGTCTGTCTTGGGTATCTGTCCAACTGACGGGAGTGCATCTAGGATATGCTGGAAGTGGCGAGTGAAAATGACTATTTGAAGGGAGCGCTAGCCTTCTCGGAGGAAAGGCGGAGATGTTGGAGGTGGCTTGGAGTTGGAGGTTTGGGAGCAATTAAGAGGGTGCGGTGGCTGCGTAGAAAGGGTTGACAACGTTGGCGAAGCGTAAGTCGCGTTCAGTGGGTGTGACAAAATGCGTTTTAGCAGGATCCTGGTGACCTACGTATTATAGGCCCAGGATGGGGGGCCGATCTGCAAAGATCAACTTGAAGTCGAACTCTGTAACAAATGACTAATAATTTATACATGCGACGCGACTTGTTCCAATTTGAAAACGCAAGCGGCCAACATCAAACTCAGCTTCAAATTCTGTTGTTCCGAAGGCCAGCAAGAGGAAGGCCACTCCTGTGCTAGCTGAAGCTGACTTGGCTTCCGACAAAGAAAATGCGAGACGGGTAATACGAAGAATCACCACGTCATGACGCGTCATGCATCATGACTTGTTTTATCTCTTGGTCGCTCTTCTTCCGCAGGTGTTCTTTATATAGAGAACCCTGGATGTCATGGGGTTTTATCTCTTCGTTGATGATGGGCGTGCATAGTACAAGGTTAATTGGTACCATGAAGTTACAATGACTCACACGTTGCTCTGATTCAGTACATTTGTTTCATCTAGTACATGCCAGTCGCCTTGACTTGTGTTCGGTTTATTCGAATAGCCGGCATATACCTTGGATAACACTCAGTACTCAGTACTCAGGCCTCAGGTCCAGGCGCCCAGGGCCCGACCGATGTCATATTCTGCTTTGCATAGGATCGATCTTCGTCCTTCGAGGAGTACTACAAGTCGATGGACGTTTATTGGACGATTAGGTTCTTTCTTCATTCCACTGATCTGCCGAATATGATATCAACAGTGCACCAAATATTTGCCTCGTGGCCTGTTATCTTTGTATAAAAGATGTAGGACCCTTCTAATCGTCTTACTTCGCTTCACAATGCGCAAAGGCAAAGGCAAGGACAACTTGAATTCATTGAGAAATTCGGCTCAAGACACCGAAACAACAGCTTGTACAAGCAAACCTCTCAGGGTATTGGACGCTGTTATTGGAGAGATTGCGAATGTATGCAGGCCCTCCTCTCGATTGGAACCCCACAGGTACATCCATATGCAAAGATGGTACTGGGCGTCTTGTCTTCTGCAGCCAAAGTATGTTTTCTTTTCCTCTCTCCCTATTTCCCACCGTTGCCCAGCAATCATTTGTGCAGACTATTCTAACTCAAGTGGATCGCGATGCAGCGATCGTCACTGGTTCTTGGGATAACACTGTTCGACTGTGGGATGCAGGGACAGGGGAGCCAGTCGGTGAGCCCTTGCGGAGGCACACTCATTCAGTTTGGTCGGTCTCGTTCTCGCCGGACGGTACTCGCATCGTCACTGGTTCGTTCAAGGGAGATAATGCTCTCCTTGGAGGGGGAGATATAACGGCGGCGCTATCCAACAGGCCTTGTCCAATATCTGTTTCATCACATTTCTTGTCGAGTTCTTAACTACCTTCATCTACCTGTTATTTCTGCAGTCGCTTGATGTCGCCGTCGGCCGAGTACTTTGTTACCTGTTCAGTATTTCCCGCTCCTATGCTTGCCTGAAACTCGCTGTTCTTTGGGCCTTACATACCATTGTTGGTCGTGGAGTTATACTAGTACTACTGTTGTTTGGACCACCGAACTTTGATCCTGTCATTGGGTTTGAATGACCTCAAATCTCTATTGTGTCGTTGTCTTAGAGCCTCACACTAAATAGTCAAGGTGACAAAGAGTTTTTAGTCCTCATCTCTCTTCATCTTTGCGCTTTCATTGCAAGTCAATCAAAGTATCCAAGGGGTTTTCCTATTCTCGCAACCGCTTTCTGTGAGCGAATGTCGCAGACCTCAAGGCAGTCCCCCGTATCTAACTTCACCGCGAGCTTCGTCAAATCAGTGGAGAATCGAACTTCCCACTCAACCAACGTCCGCGGACAGACCAGCCACCAGTTTCAAGTTACCACACCAGCAGCGACAACCCATCGACCATCCCTTGATACCGCCACTGCCAACACCTTCTCCTCACAAACACCCCGTGCTTCCTTGATCTCCTTACCCGCCTTCAGATCCCATTGCCGAGTGGTCTTGTCCCGAGATCCGCCGGATGGCTTGAATACTGGAGATAGCACACAGCATACAATTCAGCCCCACAGCGTACTCTTGTGCACCTGGAGGTGCTGGAGTCTAGAACTATTTCCCCGGTGCAGTACCCACATGCACCCGTTCGCCTCCCTCCTCTTTCTCACTTTTCACAACCGAACTCAATGGCGGCTCACTCCTTCCAGACACCACACGCGGCAAATGGCCAACCCAAGGTATCAAATCCACCGAAATGCCCAAAATCCCACTCCACAACGCCTTGACGCGCCCCTCCGCCCTCGCCACCCTCTAAAAAAGCACGATTTCCCTCTCCCAAAAAGCGTACCTCAATAGCCTTTTGCTTCGTGTACCTCATAGTGCTCAGCATCGAGGGGATGGCCTGCTTTATATATTCGAACCTTTGTCTTCGCCTTCTCGAACATGTCCGAGTTATAAAACACATCTACCGAATCTACCTCCTGTTACTGAGATTCTGCAAGAATGTCTTCTTGTTCTGCGACGCTCTGTAGCCCCTCGAGATGCGCCAACCTCAATTTAATAAACTTTCAAGCTACGGCTTGTCCATAATCACGCTTGAGCGAGGTGTATCCATGATATAGAGGCAGTGAGATATACCTAGTGCGCCGCTTTATGAAACAGTCTATATGATATTTACCTCCAAGTCGCCCCACAACACGCATCTCGCTTCCAGCATAACACTCTAACATCGCGCCCATCAGCACTTGCACCACGCAAAACCCTCCTCACAAACGACCTCCCAGTAGTACCAAGCCAACAACGACAAAGTATGCGTCAGGTGCTCGGAAACGTGAGCGGCGATGAGGGAGGTGGGTAGAACCAGAATGAGCGGCTCGAGTTTAGGAGTGGGAGGCCTGGAGAGGCACTGGATGCGTGCTTGGAGAGTTTGGAAGGTGTTGAGGCTGTCGAGGAATTCGGTTAATGCTAGGTGGTTGAGGGAGAGTGTATTGCGTATCGCGGAAGGAAGGAACCGATGCTGTTGTAGCACGCTTGCAGCTTGTCGTGTTCTATGATTTCCTTGCAAGTTCTGTGTTGTTCGCCCTCCATAGCTCGACAAGTTCTTCGTCCCATGTGTTGCGAACTCGTCGTACACACCAAGTCCGTGGCCTGCGTGTATCCATCATTGACATCGTTACCAACCAAGCAAACTAACTCACCTATCTGCGCGTCAGCCGTCGCAGGAATCGGTATCCGTAGATTAACAATAACACACTCGCAGTAAAGTGCAGCTGCCTTGAGCACTTCTTCTAGAGCATCGGTGCCTTGGCAAGCATTGCTCTTGAATGCCGTTGAGAAAAAGAGGACGTGCAGCACTAAGTGCATAGCAGATATCGTGGATTGTGTGAGAAGGTGGAGGTGGGGCTAGGGGAACGTATACCTGAGAAATTGTCAGTATCTAGGTATTGGAGTCAAATAAAGAATGATGCCAAACGTGTATTGATCCCGTCCTCGAACTGCGTTTAATAGTGGTGCAATGGTATCTGATCTAGAGAGCCCAGGATGCACAGATAAGGCATCGATGTTGGAATTTTGCACCTTGTCGCTGACGATGCAGATGGTGGAGTCGACTGTCTTGGGTACCTGGCCGACTGATGGAAGTGGGTCGAGGACTCCATACCGGAAATGACGGGCGAAAATAGACATTTGAAGGGAGCATGATGGAAAAGTGGAGATGATGTTTGGGAGTTACAGGGTGCGACGGCGGCGTAGAAAGGGTTGACGATGGGAGTGAGAATTAGATGCTAATGAGCGGCAGGATCCTGCAGGCGACCGATGTCGATCGAAACTATATGCTCTGATCTTGGTACTGATCAGAACCAAGGCTTGGAGGCTATAGTACGAGGATAATTATTGGACGATTAGCATTCGACTATTCAGCAGTGCGACGCCTCGAGGTGTTAAATAATTATTTCATATAAGTAAATGATGTGGGACTCTTATCTTCCGATCAACTGCTGAGCAAAACAGCAGGATCATGCATGCATGCACCGCTAGCTACATATAGCTACTCGCGGTGAGCACTAAGTCGGACTCTGAAACACGCGCAACGTGACACACTTATTGTTTACTACCATGACAAAACACAAGCGGCTGACATCATATTCAGCTTCAAAACCTGTTGTTCCAAAGGCCAGCAAGAGGAAGGCCACTCCCGCGCTAGTTGCAGCTGACTTGGATTCCGAGAAAATGTTACTAACGCGGACGAGAAGCATATTGTCATAGTATGAAATGCTGGCTTAGCCCGGATTCTGAAACACGTTTGTGAAGATGAAGCCATCAGTATTATGTCAACGCTTCACCATCTATTGAGGGCCACTTCTCTCCACCCATCGGATAACGAGGCGTAGAACCCTACTGCAAGGAGTATTTTGAAGTGATGCCCCGTTTTCACTGGTAACGCTGTTCCCGTTATCAATCAGGTACAGGCCAGCATGTTATAGAGTTCTTATCGTGAGCGTTAATCATGGATGCTCCACAGCTTACATCGTTTGGTTCTCTTGAATGGAGATCGCTCTTCTTCCGCAGGCGTTCTCAGAGAACCCTCGAGGCTTCTGGATATTGCATGCAGAGTTTCATCTCTGCGCACATTCCATTATATTCCCGGTGATGGCTGTGCATAGTGTAAGGTTTTTTTATGTTCTAATTGGTACCATGAGGTCAATGACTCAAACGTTGCTCTGGTTTTGCGTCTGTTTCATCTACACGTTGCCTTAACTTAACTTATGTTCGGTTCGTCTGAACAGCAACTAACTACCGGTATAAACCTTGGATAACCCTCAGGGCCTGACCAATGAGGTGTCTGCTTTATCTGAGGATCAATCTCGGTCCTTCAATACAGATCAGAATTCTTGGAGTACGAGAGTGAAAGGTCGATGGACGATTATTGGACGATTAGATTCTTTATTCGACTCTGCCGATCGGTATTGCTTAGCGCTTGCAGTCAGCAGTGTAACAAATATAGCCTCGAGGTTTGCTCGAGGCCTGTACTAATGATGCCCTGTTTTTATATAAATGAGGCAGGATGACCTTTCCTCATCTCACTACTTTGCTACATACTGATTCTGATCGTTAACTACTATTCACAATGAGGAGAGGCAACTCATCAAGGGATTCGACTCGAGAAATCCGTGCATCTAGCGAAGCACCTCGTGGAGGCTCGGTACGTGGCTTATGACGATCACCTAGTCCACTCCACTCCAAACGCTGACATTGACGTATCCTTCATCTAGCACCGACCTCGTGGCAGAGTCTGTCGGTTTCTGGAGAAGGTTAAGGGCGGTGTCAAGGCCAGGATCTCGGTGAGTCCACGAACATGCGTAATGAGTGTCCTGGAATACGACTGAGATTGTCATAAGCGCTCGAAGGATTCCCCCAGCCGCAGCCCTGTTCCCCCGGATGTTTATAATCAACGTGCTTCATCGACCCCGAATCTCCAGGTACGCAGGTTCTCATACTCATCCTTCAGTCTCTGTGCTCTCTCTAAATTTTGGTCATTGCGCAGGTTCAGGCTGCTCCGTCTGGTGTGGAAGTGGAAGCTGATACCCAATCGGCACTTCGAGATGCACAACAGGCTGCGAAACGCATGCATCCACTGTCGGGACCTGCGATAACTGTGGCGTCTGCTGGCCAAGACGCACCAGCGGATCTCGATGCTGCTGACGGCTTCTATGACACATCTCTCAAACCTCTCAGGATATTTGACGATGTTGTCGGGAAGATTGCGGATGTATGGACCCTCCTCTCGATCGGAACCGAACTAATCTAGTTCCACAGCTACATCCATATGCAAAAATGGCACTGGGCGTGTTGTCTTATGCAGCCAAAGTATATTTTATTTTTCTCTTCCTATCTCCCACCACTCAGCAATCATTTGTGCAGATTATTCTAGCTCAAGCAGATCGCGACGCAGCGGTACTCAAACTTCTTGAGAAGTTGTGTCAAGTTTACGGCTTTATGACGCAAGATCAGATGCTTGGCCAAATCTTGTCGATGCGCGTTATCCTTGGACAGATCTCTCAGCAGACCCTTGAATGCGCTCAATTCATCAAAAATTATTCGGAAACCAAGAACTTTTGTGAGTCTTAACAAGCTGTTGCGCTCTGCACCGTCTCAAGCTTGTACTCTTATCACAGGGAAGAGACTCGGAAAGAACATCATTTCGGAAACGAATGATGCGATTCAACAGTACAGTAACGTGTTGGATATGCTCATGCAAAACTTTCGGGACCAAGTCACTCGCGACGTAGCCATACACATCCACCGTACGGGTAAGGGTTCGGACGTGCTTGTGGTTTGACATATACTCATACCTTTTCAGGAGAAATACTAGATCTCAGTGATATGACTTATGCAGATGGCGCGGGACTTGATACCAGGAAACAATGCCTTCCAGGGACGCGCACGGAAATCCTTTCCCAGATCACGGAATGGGTCAGCAGCACTGCGGACAACGTTCCACGCGTGCTGTGGCTATCTGGTCCTGCAGGCAAGGGCAAATCGGCCCTCGCCCACACCATTACCAAGTGGTTCAACGATGTGGGAGGGCTTGGTTCGTGTTTCGCTTTCGACCGCCAGCGAGAAGCAGATCGTCGCCATGAAAAGATCTTTTCCACGATCGCGCGCGACCTGGCTGACCGTGATCCCGAGATGAGGCGAGCATTAGCAGATGCAGTTCAGGCCGCAAGTTCACTCAAGAAGACGGCGGATATCACCCAGCAGTGGCAGAAGTTTCTTGTCGAACCACTGGGGAAGTCATCTAGGTCAACTGAGGAACCCATCGTAATCGTAATCGATGCACTGGACGAGAGCGGTGGAGTAGAGGACACGGAAAGACCTCCTCCGCATTCTAGCTGGCAAACATCGAAAGCCCGCCGTTCCCAAAATTACAGACCTCCCAAACAACTTCCGCTTCATCGTCACCTCTCGCCCGCTTGATGACATCAAACACGAGTTTGGTGATGTTCAGCATATTCAACAGATGTCGATGGATGATATTCCACCAGCATCCGCGGAGCGCGACATCCATGCTTACGTATCCGAGGAGCTGGAAGGGCTAGGTTTTCAGGACAGAGAGTTTGCAGTCCTCGCTAAGAAAGCTGATGGACTATTCGAGTGGGCGCGTCTCGCCTGCAGATACGTCAAAGAGTCCCATGCTGGGCTATCTCCAATGGAGTGCTACGAGGCTGTGGTGGCACTCGATCCTGCTAAGAGAAGCCCGCTGTTGCACAACATGTATCGCCTCATTTTAACGATATCATGCTCGGGGATACATCTCTGCATTCGCAGGAACAGCGTTTGACTGCGTTAGCGAGATTTCGCTCAGTAATGGGACAAATACTAGGCACAGCCGAACCACTTCCTTTAGCTTCCCTGAACACCATGAGGCGCCATTTTCCAAAGCAAGAGGACCATTTCGACGTGAAGCTCATGACAAACTGCATGGGTTCCCTCCTTAGCGGCACCACCAGCCCAGATTTTCCAATCCGACCCCTTCATGCATCCTTCCGCGATTTCCTGACGGACAAACCATCCAGTGGAGAGTTTTTCATTGACGTGTCTGAGGTGCAACGCGACCTTGCATTCGCATCACTTCGAGTGATGAAAGACGGTCTTCGATTCAATATCTGTGATTTCAAGTCGTCGTATCTGCCTAATAGCGAAGATCCCGGGCTACAAGAACGAATTCAAAAATCCATCTCCCCACATCTGTCATACTCATCTCGATTTTGGACGTCGCACGTACGAGCCACGGCCTTCGACAAGGAGCTCGCGAAAGAAGTGAAATTGTTGTTCGACCACGAGCGGGTGTTTTTCTGGCTTGAGTTACTCGCCCTTACCAATGCGCTCAGCGGTGCAGTTCGTGCCCTTCCGCCTATTGCCCAGTGGCTCAAGGTGAAGCACATTGCTACTGAGTGTCAGATAAAGGCGCTCATGCGCAATTACAGGGCGATTCCGAATTCAAAGATGTCTCGTCGACTGCGATGGACGTACAGAGGTTCATTCAAGTCTTCGGCGGCATCATTCTACACAGCACACCCCATTTGTATGTATCAGCACTCCCATTCTTGCCTAGCCAACTCTCCACTATCGCAGAAAGCTTTCTGCACGATTTCAGAATATTCTTCGTGTGGCATCTGGACGTGATATAAATTGGCCAGCTGTTCAGACTGTGCTCAGTGGGCACACTGCTTGGGTTGCATCGGTCTCGTTCTCGCCGGACGGCACTCGCATCGTCACTGGTTCGGATGATAAGACCGTTCGGCTGTGGGATGCAGGGACGGGGGAGCCAGTCGGTGAGCCCTTGCAGGGGCACACTGGTCGTGTTACCTCGGTCTCGTTCTCGCCGGACGGTACTCGCATCGCTACTGGTTCAATAGATAAGACTGTTCGGCTCTGGGATGCAGCGATGGGGAAGCCAGTCGGTGAGCCCTTGGGGGGTCACACTGATTGGGTTAACTCGGTCTCGTTTTCGCCGGACGGCACTCGCATCGTCACTGGTTCAGGTGATAAGACTGTTCGGCTGTGGGACGCAGTGACGGGGAAGCCAGTTGGTGAGCCCTTGCGGGGTCACACTGATTGGGTTAGCTCGGTCTCATTCTCGCCGGCCGGCACTCGCATCGTCACTGGTTCTTCGGATAAGACAGTTCGGCTGTGGGATGCAGTGACGGGGAAGCCAGTCGGTGAGCCCTTGCGGGGGCACACTGATGTAGTTTACTCGGTCTCGTTCTCGCCGGATGGCACTCGCATCGTCTCTACTTCGAAGGATAAGACTGTTCGGCTGTGGGATGCAGGGATGGGGGAGCCAGTCGGTGAACCCTTGCGGGGGCACACTGATGCAGTTTACTCGGCCTCGTTCTCGCCGGACGGCACTCGCATCGCCACTTGTTCAAGAGATAAGACTGTTCGGCTGTGGCATGCAGTGACGGGGGAGCCGGTCGGTGAGCCCTTGCTGGGGCACACTGATACAGTTTACTCGGTCTCGTTCTCGCCGGACGGCACTCGCATCGCCACTGGTTCAAGGTGATAAGACTGTTCGGCTCTGGGATGCAGCGATGGGGAAGTCAGTCGATGAGGCCTTGGGGGGGCACACTGGTGTAGTTTGGTCGGTCTCGTTCTCGCCGGACGGCACTCGCATCGTCACTGGTTGGGAGGATAAGACTGTTCGGCTGTGGGATGCACGGACGGGGGAGCCAGTCGGTGAGCCGTTGCGCGGGCACACTAATCCAGTTTACGCGGTTTCATTCTCGCCGGACGGCACTCGCATCGCCACTGGTTCTTTTGATAAGACTGTTCGGCTCTGGGATGCATGGACGGGGGAGCCAGTCGGTGAGCCCTTGCGGGGGCACACTGATTTCAGTTACGTCGGTCTCATTCTCGCCGGACGGGACTCGCATCGCCACTGGTTCGATGGATATGACCGTTCGGTTCTGGGATGCAGGGACAGGGAAGCCAGTCGGTGAGCCCTTGCGGGGGCACACTGATGCAGTTCAATCAGCCTCGTTCTCGCCGGACGGAACTCGCATCGTCACTTGTTCAAGGGATAAGACTGTTCGGCTCTGGGATGCCGTGACGGGGAAGCCAGTCGGTGAGCCCTTACGGGGGCACACTGAAGAAGTTTGGTCGGTCTCGTTCTCGCCGGACGGCACTCGCATCGTCACTTGTTCAAGTGATAAGACCGTTCGGCTGTGGGATGCAGTGACGGGGAAGCCAGTCGGTGAGCCCTTGCGGGGGCACACTGATATAGTTTGGTCGGTCTCGTTCTCGCCGGACGGCACTCGCATTGTCACTGGTTCTTCGGATAAGACCGTTCGGTTGTGGGATGCAGGGACGGGGGAGCCAGTCGGTGAGCCCTTGCGGGGGCACACCGGTTTAGTTAGGTCGGTCTCGTTCTCACCGGACGGCACTCGCATCGCCACTGGTTCTTTTGATAAGACCGTTCGGCTCTGGGATGCCGTGATTAGGCATCCGTTGCAACAGTGCGCTCCTTCAGCATTATCAGCTGAACATCACATCATGCATCCCATCGAGTCCACCACTCCCATGACATTGAACGCTTCGAACAATCACTTCATTTGCTTCTCGTCCAACTCTATCCATGCGCTGCGCAACACTTCTGAGTTAATGGAGGGCGCATCCCATGACGACCGCAGTTCGACCCCCTTTTCCCTGAATGTTGACAGTGGATGGGTGGTAGGGCCCAACCATCGGCTGTTATTCTGGGTACCACCCGCCTCTCGACACCTACTTTGCAGCCCTGGAACTGCATTAGTGATTCCAAGAGGAGGTCCTGAGCTTGATCTGAGCCGCATGGCGCATGGACAACACTGGCAAAAGTGCCGAGAGGAGTGAGTCTCTTCAAAGTCCTCTCTGTTCCTCGTACTTACTAAATCCAATAATTGCAGACCTTAGTACCGACGATGACCACTGCGATAGATCCATCATGCAGATTTTAGATTCAATTTAGATGTGACCGACTGTACAGTGGATTATACTTTGTATTCTATTCTATGCCCAGCATCTAGTTCGAGCTTAGGGTTGTCCAAACAAATGACTATGGCACTCGTGTACATGGTGTTCGTGCTGGTCTGTGAGAGCACGTGACGACGGGCAAGGCATGCTGGTTCCATCAGATGCGGATGTGCGTACACCGTGGATTGTGTTGAAGTGTAGCGTTGGTGCTTCCTCATGGCGAACCGAGAAGCTGAACAGAAGGACATCGCTGTTGTGGTTGTTCTGTGGTCCTTCATGTTGCCGTTGCACCTAGCGCATTGAGTAGGCCAAAAATGAGAGAACTGAGAGGGACGAGATATGTAGATTACAATTCATTGTGTACACTGTACAGTACAACGTGTAATTGCGATATCTACAATGAAGGCAGTGAGCACATGAGCACCATACAAATGATGCGTGTAAGAATGTTGTAAGCTGTAATGTATGAAAAAAGCTGGAGGAGAAAAGGCACTAGGCAAAAGCAAGCGAACGAGAGATGAAATTGAGGCGATAGGAAGAGTAGGAACTAACATGAGAAATTGCGGCACGATAATGACATTGAATTGAGGGTAACATTGGACGCAGGTGTACCAGGGTGTCACAATAGGCGTCCTCGTGAAGGAGGTCTTCGATAGTCAATTTCTGTAGACTCGACAAGGGTTTAAGGACTACAATTGGGTTCCATAACTCTGCGATAAATGTGTGACAATGTGAATCCCTGCAAGAATAGGAGCAACAAACTGCGACTCACGAAGCTGTTGGGAGGACAGCTATTACGCGCGTCTGAGTCAACACATAGGCCCAGAGTCCTTGGTCGCAAATCGCAGTTATTGGGTGGTGCACATCGAGAGTTCCCATGGCCTACTTCATCCTCTCCTATGCAAAAATGGGACGGCTCGGCGTAACGATGTCTTCATTCCTGCTCCAAAGGCGTCTTAATGTGGGAGGGAGCGTAGTTGGAGGAGAGGATATAGGAGTTTTGATGCCTACGAAACTTGACGCGTCGTGGTTTGGGAGCAATTTACAGTGACGTTGTGGAGTAAGAGGATGCGGCGGCGGCGGCATAGAAAGGGTTCACGACATCAATTGATGATGCAAATCTCTCGTTCGGTGGGTGCGACGAGGACGGGGAGGAGAAGAGTGAGAATTAAGAGATCGATAATGGAGCTTATAAGCTGTTGATACTCGCGAGCAAGCATGCCAGGGCCGGCACCTCCAAGCATAGATCACGAGGTTGATCGCTCCAAACAGGGCGTACTGCGTTCGAGCGAGGCGAGAAGCGAAGAAGTTGTCAGAGGTGAATGAACATGTGTTGCTGGGGGTCGTGGTGATGTGTAATGAATAAAAGGTGAGATGCGTCGGGGAATGCGTACCCTGGCCTCAGGTGGAGTGTTGCATATGTAAATATGCGCACGAGTCGGGTGATGATCGAGATCGATGAGATTCTGAACGAGCGCCGAGTAGTTGACAGCCTCGAGACATTTGTTTGTCCTTATTTGTTCAGAACGACTAATGGCTACCAAGTATCCTCGCGTCCAATTTCTGTGATTGCAATTGGACCTAGTGAGACACATGAAAGCTTCACTATCCATCTGCACCCATCGGATGACTATCGAGGCGTATTTTGAAGCGACGCCCGTTTTCACTGGTAATGCTGTTCCCGTTATCGATCTCATATTATAGGGTTTCTTATCGTGAGCGTTAATCACTGATTCTCCGCAGCTTAAATCGATTGGTTCTTCAACTTCGCTCTTCTTCCGCAGGCGTTCTTACTACTTAGAGAACCCTCGAGACTTCTGGATGCCATGAGGTTTCATCTCTGCGCACGTTCCTTTGTATTCCCGGTGATGGCCGTGCATAGTGTAAGGTTTCTTATGTTCTAATTGGTACCACGAAGTTAACGACTCACACGTTGCTCTGATTTTGCATTTGTTTTATCTAGTACACGTCGCTTGACTTGTATTCGGTTTATTCGAACAGCAACTAACTACCGGTATATACCTTGGATAACACTCAGGGCCTGTCGACCGATGAGGTATTCTGCTTTGCATAGGACCGATCTTGGTCCTTCGATCCCGATCAGGACCCTTGGAGTACTACGAGTCGACGGACGATTATTGGACGATAAGATTCTTTCACTGATGTGCCGAATCTGGTATCTCAACAGTGCAACAAATATTTGCCTCGTGGCCTGTTATTTTTATATAAGAGATGTAGCTAGGACCCTTCTAATCGTCTTACTTCGCTTCACAATGCGCAAAGGCAAGGGCAAGGACAATTCATTGAGGAATTCGACTCAAGACACCGAAACAACAGCTTGTGCAAGCAAACCTCTCAGGATATTCGACGCTGTTGTTGGAGAGATTGCGAATGTATGCAGGCCCTCCTCTCGATCGGGACCGAACTAATCTAGTTCCACAGGTACATCCATATGCAAAGATGGTACTGGGCGTGTTGTCTTCTGCAGCTAAAGTATGTTTTCTGTTCCTCTCTCCCTATCTCCCACCGTTACTCAGCAATTATTTGTGTAGAATATTCTAGCTCAAGTGGATCGCGATGCAGCGATCGTCACTGGTTCTTGGGATATCACTGTTCGGTTGTGGGATGCAGCGACGGGGACGCTAGTCGGTATGCCCTTGCGAGGGCATACTGATTCAGTTAACTCGTTCTCGTTCTCGCCGGACAGCACTCGCATCGACACTGGTTCTTCATTCAAGGGAGATCACAGTGTTCTCCCTGGAGAGGGAGATGTAACAATAGCGCCGTCCAACAGCCACCATCGAATATATGTTCCGTTCATTTCATCTCATTTCTGTTGAATTCTTAACTACCCTCATCTACCTGTCATTTTCTACGGTCGCTTGACGTCGCCATCGGTCGAGTACTTTGCTACCTGCTCTTTATCCCCAGTGTTTCCCCGCTCCCGTGTTTACCTGATACTCGTTCCTTGGGCCTTTAATATTGTCGTCAGTCGTACAGTTACGTATACACTACTATTGTTTGAACTCCCAGATTTCAGACTTTGATACTGTCATTTTGTTTGAATCGACTCGAATTCTCTTGTGTAGTTGTCTTCGAGCCGCACACACTAAATAGTCAACGACATCACAAAGAGCTTTCAGTCATCGTATCTCTTCATCTCTGCGCTTTCATTGCAAGTCAACCAGTGTGTCCAAGGGGTTTTTCTATCCTCACAACCAATTGCTGTGATCGGATATCCCAGACGTCATGGCAGGCCCCCATATCTAACTTCATCACGAGCTTCTTCGAATCAGTGGAGAATCGAACTTCCCTCACCCAACCAACGTCCGCGGACAGACCAGCCACCAGTTTCAAGTTGCCACACCAGCAGTGACAACCCATCGACCATCCCTTGATACTACCACTGCCAACACCTTCTCCTCGCAAACGCCCCGCGCTTCCTTAATCTCCTTGCCTGCCTTCAGATCCCATTGTCGAGTGGTCTTGTCCCGAGATCCGCTGATCATTCGCTGCCCGTCTGGAAAGTAGGAATTCGCTCTACATGTCATTGATGTGTCAGAATCGATTTCGTAGCGGTTGCTTTCGTCGACGTGGAAGCCATGACTGTGTCTCCGTGAACGAAACTGTAAAGTAAGCAAAATATTCTTTGGATGCGTTGAAAATATGCCAAGGTGAGGTCTCCCGGTGTCAATGTGATATATGACTGACGGTAGCAGCGATTCGAAGATGGGCCGTCTGGTAAGCCCAAAAATCAATTAATACGCGTTGATGTACAGATGAGAGTTTGGTGTTACCAGGAGTTCCGGTTACCAGTGGTGAACTTATGGAGTGATGAACTTGATGAGCGATGGATTCCTGAACGCAAGTGCAGCTATTGGCCTTAAGTGAGAGCACGTAACGACGGACAAGGCATGCCGATTCCATCAGAGATGCAGCTGCGCGTGCGCTGTGGGTCGTGTTGAAGTGTATACATTGGTGCTTCCTCATAGCGGACTGAGAAGCTGAACAGAAGGACATCGTCGTTGCGGTCATCTGGTCGTTCAAGTTCCCGTTGCAGCAAGTAGGTTCAAAGTGGGCGAAAATCTGAGAAAACAAGGTGGGACGAGATATGTATTTCATCGTGTACACTGTACAATACAGCATGTAATCACGATATCCATGGTGAAAGCGGTGAGAACGAGAGCATCATGAAAACGATGCGTGTAAGGATGATGTGAGCTGTGAGGCATGAACAAACAGCTGGAGGGAAAAGGCACTGGACAAGAGTAACCGAACGGAGTATGAAATTGAGGCAATGCGAAGAGTAGGAGCTAACATGAGCGGCTCCAGTATCATAGATGTCAGAAGATGATGTTGGACGCAGGTGCACCAGGGTGTCACAACGAGCGTCCTCGTCAAGGAGCTCTTCGATAGTCGATCTGGAGACTCGACAAGAAGAGTCTATGGGCTACAATAACAATTGAGTCCCATAACTCTGCATTGAACTCGTGATAAATGTGAATTTTTGTATATGAGACTAGGAGAAACAGACTGCGACTCACGAAGCTGCTGGAGGACGTTATGATGAACCTTCGAAGAACTGTCCATGAGTGGATGTCAAGGTTGCGGAAGGAAATTAGGAAAGTATGCGAGAAACCCCCAGACGTTGGTGTATTGTGCATCATTTGCAATCCCTGCAGTGGGGGACGATTCAGCAGATGGCATGAAAAAGGTTCTGGCTGTTATCACAGTTTCTAGACGAAACACCCTGTCTATGAGCTCTATATCATGGAGAAGTGCTATAAATACCCGCCGGAAGAGATTATGACCAACACTCCACTCAGCCTCAGCACCATACAGTGTGTAAGAGATGGCCTGTATAGATTCTAAGTTGAGAAAAGCGCATCGATAGCTGTATCAGCTCGGCTCGATTTTTGAGTGTCCCAAAGTTTGCAGCTCAGATGCAGCTCAGACGATAGGATAAATGCGCTTCTTGTCAAATGCCAACAGGCGTGGACACAGCGTTGGCCGATTCTGGTAAACGCAACGGCAGCGCACATTAACTTAGGGATCTCACTTGGAAATGAGACACATACCTGAGGACTCCATTTGTCTTTGAACGAAAGGTGGAATGGACAGGGAGACGGGAGCCTGTCATATTTGTCTGGATGTCTTGACAGACTGACACATCGAGATGACCAGCGCGTCAATGAATGCCTTCGGGCAGATGTTAGAACGAAGGCACGAGGTTACAAATGAGTACAAGACATTGAAACAAACCAACAGAAACAATGGCGCTCGCAGAACCGGTCCCGAAAGAGATATGGAAGATGGAATAGATTTTCCACAGATTGGGAAAACCGTGGAGATTGATGATGAGGCAGAACAGTTTGACAGGACCCGAATCGTTAAAGATCAGCCTGATCTAAATCGCGCCTTCAATAGCATAATCCTGCAAATGGAAAAGACCCACCTCGCTGACACGCAAATGAAGTTAAATGACATACTGCATTTTGCTGACTGTCCCTCGCTAATACCAATCTGTCAGGTCTGGCGCCAGCTCGCTCTGAGCCTAAATTGGTACCACACATATGACTGGGATGATCGGTTTGAGTTAAGAGACATTGCACAGCGATGTACTCACCTATAACCTAGCTATTTGATGGCCTGTGAACAAAGGAATGTGAAGTCCCATACACTGAAACAGTAGGCCGGCAACTGACACAACTGAAGAGGAGTAAAGAAACAGTAAGTAAATAGCGAGCGAGCGCACATATAAACATTTGCAACCCGACAGATACGTACCGACCACGAGAGTAAAACTGAGTAAAAGGGCGTGCTTGAGACAAGCTTGGTTGGGGAGAAAGTCGGAGAAAGTCGGGCGAATGGGCATGGACCTTTGTCTTTGCAGCCTTCTCGAACATGTCCGAGTTATAAAACACATCTATTAATTCTACCTCCCGCCACTGATATTCTGCAAGAATGTCTTCGTGTTTAGCGACGCTTCGTAACTCCTCGAGATGCGACAACCTCAACTTTTGGGCAACAACTTGTCCATGATCACGCTTGAGCGAGGTGTAGACATGATATAGAGGCAGTGAGATTTGCCTGGTACGCTGCTTTATGAGAGAGTAGATACGATACTTACCTCCCAGTCACCCCAGAACACGCATCTTTGTCCAACATAACCACTCTAACATCATGCCCATCGCCACTTGCGTTATCCAAAATCCTCCCCGCAAACGACGTCCCAATAATACCCGAGCCAACAACGACAAAGTCAGCATGCATCAGAAACGTGAGCAACGATGGCGGAGGGTGGGCAGAACAAGAATGAGCGGTTGGGGTTTGAGAGTGGAAGCCCTGGAGAGTGCTGGATGCGTGCTTGGAGGGTTTGGACGGTGTGGAGGTTGTCAAGGAATCTAGTGAGTGCTAAGCGGGTGAGGAAGTGTGTTGCCCATCACGGGAAGGAAGGAACCGATGCAGTTGTGGCGCGCTTGCAGTTCGTCGTGTTCTATGATTTCCTTGCAAGTTTGGTGCTGTTCGTCCCCCACAGCTCGATAGGTTCGTGGAATTTATCCCTCCTATATGTTGCGGATATACACCAAGTCTGTGTCCTGCATGTATTCCCGTCATCATCAACATTGACACCGACCAAGTAAACTGACTCACCTACCTGCGCGTCGGCAGCGTCTGTCACCATAGGACTTGGTATCCGTAGGTTAACAATATCACACTTGTAGTAGAACGCGCCTACCTTGAGCACTTTTTCTGGACCATCTGTACGTTAGCGAGGATTGCTCTTGAGATCGATCTTGGTACCGATTAGAACCACGGTGCTCGATCTAGATTCGAGAGTTACGAACACAGTCGAAATTCAAATGCGGCAACACTGCAATTGCCAAACAATTGCATTAATGGCCTGTTATTTTATGTGGGACTCTTCACTTTGAACTGCTACTATTCACAATGACGAAACGCAAATTATCGAGGGATTCGACTCAAGAAACCCGCGCATCTAACGAAGCAACAGCTCGTGGAAGCTCGGTACGTGGTTTTCGAGCATCACTTCGTTCACTCCACTTCAAACACTGACATCGACTCATCCTTCGTCTAGCACCGACCCCGTAGATTTGCGCAGCATCCAGTCTGAGTTTAGGATTGTCCATGCAAACGACGCGAGCTGACTGTGTGGCACTCATGATGTTAGTGCTGGTTTGTGAGAGCACGCAACGACGGACAAGGCATGTCGATTCCATCAGGGATGCGGTTGCGCGTGTGCCGTGGATTGCGTTGAAGTCAATCGCATTGGTGCTTCTTCATAGCGGACTGAGAAGTTGAATAAAAGGACATTGTTGTTGCGGTCATCCGTGGTCGCTCAAGTTCCCAGTACATTCAAAGTGGGCTAAAATAGGGTGGGACGAAATATGTAGTTCATTGGAAGTGTTCACTGTACAGTACAGTAGCATGTAATCGCAAAATCCACGACGAAGGTGGTGAGAACTAGAGCTCAGAGCACCATGAAAACAATGCTATGTAAGGATGTCATGAGCTGTGAGGGGGAAAAAGGCACTGAGCAAGAGCGAGCGAACGGAGGATGAAATTGAGAAAACAAAGAGTAGGAGCTAACACGAGAAGTTCCGGCACGATAGATGAGATTAAATCGAGGGTGATATTGGACGCAAGTGCATCAGAGTATCACAACTGGTGTCCTCGTCAAGGAGCTCTTCGATAGTGGGTTTCTGGAGAGCCAACAGGAAGAGTCTAAGGACTACAATTGAGTTCCATAAGTCTGCATTGAACTCGTGATAGATGTGTGGTATTACATGAGGCTAGCTGTTGAGAGGGCTTTCATAATACACTTACTACGCGCGTCTGAGTCAACGCACGCAGGCCCGGAGTCCTTGGTCGCAAATTATAGTTATTGGGTGGTGCACATTGACAATTTCTGTGGCCCACTTCATCCTCTCCAATGCAAAAATAGGAGAGTCGGCGTAACGGTGTCTTCGTTTCCGCTCCAAAGGCAGGTTAATATGGAAGCGATCATCGTTGGAGGAGAGAATACGGCGGTCTTGATGTCTGCAAAATTTGATGCGTCGTAGTTTGGGAGGAACTGACAGTGATGCTGTGGAGTCAAAGGATGTGGCAGCGCCGTAGGTTCACGACATTAATTGAAGATGCGTATATCGCGTTCGGTGGGTGCGACGAGGACGGGGAGGAGAAGAGTGAGAATTACGAGATCGATAATGGCCCGAGAGCTTACAAGCTGTTGATACTCGCGAGAAAGTATTCCAGGACCGGCATCTCTAAACATGCATGGTTACTTGTAGTGCGAAAAAGATGAGATGCGTCAGGAAATGTGTACCCTGGCCTTAGCAAGGACGTCGGGTGCCGGTGCACGTACGTGAAGTATTGCATATGTAAATCTCGTCAGATTCGGAACGTCGAAGGAATCAAGAGCCATATACATATATGATTGGTTTTTCATAGTAACACTCGATATATAGAATTGGGTCGCGGAGTTCGATTTTCACTGGCAGACAGAACAGTCCTTCCTGCAGAACCTGGTCCAGCTAGGATTTCGAAGACTATATCATGTTTTGGTATGGTATCAGACTCAGGAGGATACGAGGACTCTCACACCGTGTGGTAATGGTCATATTCATCTGTGCTTCTGTGATCTGGCTCTGGTCAACTTCAACACCAGTCTCGAAACCCAAGAGCGCCGCCTGGACTGTCGCAGCAGAGATACTGGATACACTGGATACCGTTGTGGATGGCTACGTGCGTTCTGTTATGAATCCGTCCGTGCAAGTGGAAGAGAGCTTCTCGACCCGCCTCCTCGAGCAACGCGACGCAGCTACTCAAGAACTCCTACAATGTTTCTCTGACCTCTCTCAATGTGGTTCATGCTCCTTGTCACGTAGCGTTATTGACATGACTTCCGCATCACCTGTCCTGCCATCGATAATGCCCCTTTCAGATGACACTCAGATCCACAACGTGTCTGGTTCTCCCATCAAGCCCATTTCGTGTCTGTGCTCTTCCCTCGCAGGAAAAAGACTGACAATAGTAGGCGGCGATCATGTATACCGCTTCCACAACCTCCTCCTCGATCACCAGAAGAAGTCCGAAGGCAAACGATTTCCATGCCTCGGGAAGGAGTTCTGTACCCACCACCATCTATGCTTACGGGCCACCCGCAACAATCCCGTCCTTAAGGAGGAGCCTATGCGCTATATCAGTTCGCCATCCGTCGAAGAGCTCGTGCAAACTGGTTCATCGCTGGTCAATTACGTCTTGTCGGATACCCTTCTTACCTTGCCCGACCCAGAAGCGCCAGAGTATACTGTCCCACACATCCATGCCTTCAGTGGCGTAAGGTCTCGTGAAACATATTGGCTAACTTCAGCGAAGAAAGCAGACGTCCTTATACTGGGAAGGGGCCGTTTAGTGCACCGCCCTCGACGTACACAGGGAACTGGTCATTACTTCTGGATTTTCCGTCTCACATGGGGAGTTATCATGCGAAGATACCTTCATTTGCTGCATCAATACCGAGCCCCCTTCAGATTGTGGATGCTGCAGTACATGCCACTCTTTCGGTGTTTCTCCCTGAGATCAAGCAGACGCTAGGTGCTCTCCGTAGTTAACGGTTGCTTCAACAGGAAAAAGAAAGTCATCTGGTTGGTCAACCAGCCGCGGTTTCCTGGGAACGGTCGCGGTCGGAAAATCACTCTCCTTCGTACATATTTCCTCCCCAATGGACAGGATGAGCCATCGCCGGGCGACTTGAAAGCAGTTCTCCTTCGGCATGTTGTATTATCGACCAACGAGCGCTTAGATGATCCCTGGACACTATACTACAACGTTCAAGGTATGTTTTTCAGCCACTCTAATTGTCATCTATAGACTTATGAAGTCATGTCTTGGACTTTGCATGTAGTTTACTTTGCAAGACCGTCTCCTTCGTCAAGTTCTGCCACGCTTCGGAGTTCACCTCTTGCAGTTAGAGAGTTTTGTTGAAGCTGGTCCGAACGTCGCTGGAGATCAGCTACAATATCGAGGTTCACACACATGACGGGCGCGAATCCCTCTTTTTTTCGGATCATGAAAAGCGATAACGATAGTAGCGTATCTCCGTGTGTTGTAAACCCTCCGAATATTGATCGTAATTTTCTTGCACTCGCTCTTCCTATTGATGTGGATTTGGAAGAGACAGGCCCGTCAGCCTAAGGAACGTCGCGGCGAGCCACATAAAGAATCTATTTGTCTCCAACCATGAGAACTTAGTTGTACTGCCCTCAGAGCTGACTGGACGAAGTGATAAATTTTTGATCAGCGACCACTGACCAGTACTCACGTCTTAGCCAGCCTAAAGTGACAATAAACGGAATAAATGCACTTAACGCAGAGTTCTGCGCGAACAATCGTAGTATCACCAAATTTATTAGTGTCCGTGACTGAAGCTTGAAGCTTGAAGCATGATGAACACGCTTAAGCTACATGGAATTACTCGGATGATAAAAACATCGAAGACCACCCTTGAAGATCTTAGTGACTTAAAGGATTAATGAGTCTTGTACTACAACCCGAAATGCCAAATCAACCATTCACAGCCCCTTAAAGGCGCTGTCAATGACAGCCAGCTGCTGTGCCCCATACAACTTTCCAATTCCTGGCGCAGCCACCGCGTCTTCCTTCCTCCCCCTATATGCCACGCCACCATCTATACCCAATCCCTTCAATACTTCCTCGATACGCTCCTGCACATGACTCCACGCGCCCTGATTCCTAGGCTCCTCCTGCACCCATAGCACCTCCAATTGCGTATTAGCATGGGCATAAGGCGCAAGCGCTTCACTGAGCGCAGCGAACGGGAACGGCGCGAGCTCTTCGATGCGGATGAGGGCGACCTGCGATTGGAGGTTGCGTGTTGCGCGCTCTTTTGCGAGGTCGTAGTAGATCTTGCCGCTGAGCAGCACGACGCGCTGGACGGCTTTGGGGTCGCTGAGGGTTGCCAGGTCCTGGAGAACGGGCTGGAACACTGTTCCAGGGCCCATGTCAGTCAGCTTCGACGACGCGGCCTGCATGTTTAGTGTTAGTAACGCAGGAAGAGCATTGGGACAGCACGTACAGGAAGTCGAAGTAGTCCCTTAGGAGCAGCGACGATGAGCGGTTTCCTGTAGTTACGTTTGATCTGGCGGCGTAAAAGGTGGAAATATTGTGCAGGCGTGGTCGGGAACACTACATGCATGTTTACGTTCAGCTTCTCTTGGGCATTGTAGGAGTCGTTGGTGAGCTAAAAACAAAGTGTTAATGGACATTCAGTAGAGACCAAATATGGATCAACCTGCAGCATCCGCTCTATACGACAACTGGAATGCTCAGGGCCAGCACCATCTAGACCATGAGGGAGGAGCAGGACGATGCCGCTCTGTTTCAGCCATTTAGCTGAGTGGGGGGATAAGTCATCGACGGAAAACAAGGAGGCACACAGACGTACTCTCTGAACTCGCAATGAACGTGTCAATAATGATTTGTGCGCCGTTAAAGAAGTCACCAAACTGAACCATAGATAAAATGCTTTAGCTCGAAGCTTGGCAGTCCCAAGGAAGTAATGACGCACCTGTGCCTCCCAGATGGGCAATAAATCAGGTCGTTCCCAAGATGCTCCATATTCAAACTACAATACTGTTAGACTGGAACTAGGAAGGGAAAAGAGTCTTACGCCAAGTACGGCCATCTCGCTGAGAGAGCCTTCCCAAAAAAAATAAGACAACATCCCGCAGAAAAAAATATTGATACTCACTATTCGCCAGTTCCAGCTTGCCCTTCGCCTCTGTAAGAGCGTGGTTCAGAGGAACAATTACGCCTTCTGTCTTCTGGTTCACCAACATCGCGTGGCTACAGGTGTGTCAGTTCCCCTTATACACTAACGTAGCATTGACGGCACCGATGACTGAACGTCCCCCTGCCAACATCCTGCCCCGCGATGCGCACATCGCAGCCCTCAAGCATCAGCGAGCCGAACGCCATCGCCTCCGCACTTGCCCAGTCGACCCCTTCGCCAGTCTCAATGCTCTTAAGGCGGTTTTTCACATGCCTGTTCAACCGCGGATGGATTTCCTGCGTCGGGCGTGGCCTGTGTCACTTTTGCTCATACGGGGAATACACAATACTTACGAACTCCTCAGGGACATGTACGCTGGCTTTGCCAACGTCCTTGAGCACAGCACTGCTCACGCCTGTCTCGTCTTGATGTGCTGCAGGAGATGCTGGCCAAACCATGCCTTTCCACGCTCCCTCAAAAGTTACGGGAGGGGGAACATACGACGCTACATCCGTTAGCGCAGCATTCAGCGAGGCTTTGTAACTGTCTCGGACAGCTCGTGCTGCTTCAACCGAGATCACACCGTCCGACTGGAACACACCCGTCAGCACTCCCTTCAAAAAGATACAACGGAACCAGACATACGATGAGCTTATCCTCATACAACTTCGGGACAGAACTCCTGGAACGAATTTTTTCGTACATGAGCGGCTGCGTGAATGCCGGTTCATCAAGCTCATTGTGTCCCCAGCGGCGATAAACAATGAGATCAATTACGATGTCCTTGCGGAAGTGGTTGCGATACTTGAAGGCGATGTCGACAGCGCGAACCACATCTGTGTGAACTCAGATGGGGGTTGTGAGTAATGATTGGAGTAAGGACGAACCTTCGGGGCAGTCTCCATTGACGTGCAGAACTGGACAGTTGATCATTTTGGCAATGTCGCTACAGTAAAAGGAAGAGCGGGCGGAGGAGGCGGGAGTAGTATATCCGATGCTACAACGTATGTCAGTATCAATTCGGGAAAGTATGTATCAATTGACTTGTTACTGTGAGTAGAGATTAGAACAGTAATTCAAGAGAGTTGAAAGACATACTTGACGACAATGTGGACACTTCCGCCGCTTGTGAAGTGTGGAAGACCACCTGTGAATATCACGTTAGACTTTTACAACTCGTGAGACCTGTGTTGAAGCTACGAACTCAAGCCAAGGGTTTCCATTACTACTCCTTGTCCTGTGAAGCTGGCATCACCATGCAGCTGGACGCACATAACCTAGCGGCCCGTGTGAGCACTTCGATCAACAAAAGACACCCCACAGCAATACCTTATCGCCAAGCATGCAGTCTTGGTTATTTTTGTCGTCAGATAGGGTCTTGAGCAACCTAAATTGCTTCGCTCTGGCTTTTCCAAGCGCAACAGGGCTCACGGCCTCCAAATGGGATGGATTTGGCAGCAACGAGACTTTTATGTCATCAGCTTCGCCGTACTGCAATGTCGGGGATGCAACTTGAGTGATAGTCAGAACCTTCGCAGATATGGAATGTAGGATGCGCACCAAGATGACTGAGGACGTCGCCGGAAACACCCAAGGATTCGTCCACTTCACAACCGCCCTTGATTTTGTGAAACAGGGAAGTAGGGTTGTATTCCAGGAGCCCAGTAAGCAGATTAAGGCGTCCTCTGTGAGGCATAGCAAGGATAAGCTGAGTTATGCCGGCTACATGCGCGTTAGCAATAATCTCAAAGAACGAAATGAAACCGACCTTTGGATGCTGCCTCGAATAGGGCGTCCAATGCGGGCAGCATGGATTCCCCGCCCTCAAGACCATATCTCTTCAAATTCGGAAACTTGACCTGTAAGAAATTGTCCAACACCTCTGACTTGGCGAGCAAAGCGTGTATGTTCTTTTGTCTACCGGCATCGATGATAGTCATGGGCTCTAAAGCGCTCTGCGACTCCAATAGCTTCGCAAACCACAGCCTCTCCGTCTTGCTCGGGAGGTCCATGTATTCATATGCGATACGACCGACGTAGACGGAGTTGAGAAAGGAGGTTATGTTTTCAAGGGACCATTCCTGTTGGCCCTCACCGGTCCAGATGATACCGTCTATATCAAATGTACGATCAGGGTCGTCGAGGCCATAACGGATGGGGTCGAGTGCGGCAACCCGCTCGCGACGGAGGAGATCAAGAGGGTCGATCGACGCGGCTCTGTGACCATGCGTGCGCAGAGAGTCAGCATACCTCAGGAGGGGAGCATTGGTTGCACGGTTAGTAAGCTGATCCGAGGTATCTGATCAGGGAGTCGCGTGAGTGTGCGAAGTGTTAACTACTCAAACAGCATACGCACAGTCTGGGATGGTAAAGTCGCGTGCTTTGCGGAATCCGAATGATTCATCATGATACTTCCTGCGCACTACGAGCACGCGGCCACTAGAGCGTTGCGTGACGCGGGCAAGAGCGTTCCGAGTCGGAAGATGGACCCGACCTGCAGAGACGGAGTACATGGGGCGATTTATCGGTGCCGTTAAAGACCTTGTCAAGTCTTAGCAAGACAATGGGAATGAATGCGGGGAAGAGAAGGGAAAAGAGTCCTAGTGAGCTCGCAATTTTCGGTCGGAACATGACGATGAATATTGGAATGTATCACATTTATTTATGCTCCGGAGTCCCGACTAGTCCGACTCTTTTAAAATTGAGAAACATTCGAATATTCCAACTTTTTAACAAACCAGTTTCAGTCGACTTGAGATGCTGTTGCACTAGATGGTCTCTGCTGGACGGAGGTTTAGTATTCGCTCGAGTGGTTATGCAACGATTGAAGGTCGATGATGATGATAGTACTAGTGTAAGGAAGCTTCGCCTTCAGCGCTTAAACAAGCACTAGGCCCTTCATTTCATTGCCTTTTCGGTCCACCTCACAACGGACCAAATGACCACGTAGAACGTGAACGATCCAAATATACGATACCTGATTTAGTTCAACGTTGCGATCCCACTCACGCTTTGACATTTTTCCTCGCCTGTAAGTCTCGTTTCGACACGTACACTGTACATCATGGTGGACTCGGGCCCTCCATCTTGAGATTCTTGATTAGTCATCATTTGTCTTCTCTGCGCCAATATTCAATATTGCAAGTCATCGACTACATACATATTGAATATTGAACCCCCTTTCGACGAACTCGCTAATAAATTTGGTTTTTGATGTCGATTGTAACTGACTGCTGTGTGTCAGCATGCGCGTGCTTTGCAGCGATTCCTTCATACAAGCACGCTGGGCAAGGCCGCCGACTGCAACCGGTGCCGCGGCGTGCAGTGCCGGTGCGCTCTCAGACGAGCGCTAAGTCGTCCTTCAACGATTCCATCACCATCCACTGAGTTTTTCACAACTCTCTGGAACATACATACATCCATTCGATCTCAAATAAGTAGTTCTTACACATTGCAATTTCAATCGCTCCACAGCAAGTGGCAGAGTTTGATCGTTTTGTTGCCCAGCTAATCGCCGTTGGATAGACTTACTACGCCAAAAACATCGCTTCACTACTCCAGAGTCCGTTACACGTCATCAAAAGACCCAAGTTGCAGCTTGGTCTTTGATCCTCAGATCAACGTCCTCAGTTGTTCCGTTCCATCTCACAATCTGGATTGCAATTATCATCATTCTCTTGTCAAGAGTCAATGTCAGTGTATATCCATCTCTTATCCCCTCTCCTTGTCTGATCTCATTAACAGTTATTGGATATGTCTGAAGGAACTTGGGAGAAGTTGTCCCGGGTCGCTGTCAAGGGTGCTGAATATAACTCTCGTGAACGCCACCCTCATCCGAAATGTTTGGAAGGCACCCGGGTGGCCCTTCTCAACTACATCTACGGATCATTAGACAAGAAAGAAAAGAATCAGATCATTTGGCTGCACGGCACAGCGGGCGTCGGAAAGTCTGCCGTTGCATTCACGGTAGCTGAAAGGATGAAAGGATTGAAAGTGACAGAGCAGACGCAAATAGAGACGCGACTCGCTGGAACATTCTTTTTCTCCCGCAAGCATACAAACCGGCGCACAAGCCGGTTATTTCTTTGCGACGCTTGCCTACCAGCTGGCCACCAATTTCCCCAGCGTCAGGACGCATGTCAATAGGGCTATCCTCGAGAACCCTGCCCTTCTAGACCCCGACAAGCCTGTTCGCGATCAGATGGAAGGCTTGTTTTCTCCGACCACTCAAGAAGCTTCAAGGTAGACTACGCGAATGCGGCAGTCCGCCTTTGACGTTCGTTATCGATGCCCTTGATGAATGCACATCCGAAACCCTCGATCAACCCGCATCCGAATCCTTTGATGAAGACAAATCCGCAAGCGAGCTTGCTGAACTCATATCCCTGCTCGCTCAAGCTCTTCGCGATCCTGAACTGCCCGTGACTCACATTCTAGTCACAAGTCGCTCGGAAGGGCATATTCATGAAGCCATGCAGAACAAAGATGTGCGCCCGCTGGTGGGCGAGATACCAGTGAACATTTCTGGCAGGGGTGTTGCTACCACCATCTCGCTAGACGGCGCAGATGTCGATGAAGACATCTATCGTTTCTTGGAGGATTCGTTCAGAAAACTGCAGCTTCGCTATTCCATCTTCCCACAGCCAACAAACACTCAACTTGAACAGCTAGCGAGCCGAGCGGGTAGACGTTTCATCGTGGCAACTACGATGATGAAGTTTATCGATGATCAACACAACGATCCCCGCGACCGGCTTGAACTCATGCTCGAACTGACGAGTAAACTGCTTTCCAGGAACGGAGGTGTACAGGTTATACGACCTTATCCTCTCCACATGCGCTGACCCGACGTTGGCATACATGCATTTGTCCGTTGTTGCTGTCCTTGCAGATCCTCTTCCGATCTCACAAATATCAGAACTTCTTGGCCCTGGTCAGGGTAGGAACGTCGAGAAAGTGCTGGTGCAGCTACGATCTGTGATAGATCTTCCTACCGACGGCAGTCTCCCCGTGAATATCCATCACTCGTCCGTTCGCGACTATGTTTCCCACCGCTCAAACTGCGGCCTCCGCCAAGTACAAGACACCCCATCACCACACTCTCCTACTCGCACTTTCCTCTCTCCACTTGATGGTGCGCGAAATTCCAGAAAGCACGGCCCTCCTGGATACGCTCTCAGAATTAAAGAAGCATAGCCAGGCTATACAACCCCAGGATCCCCAGGAATTTAAAACACTCGCTTGTCCTTCATGGTCCAGCCACCAGGAGCCAATGCAAGTGCTTATAACTTTGCTATGGCTTCGGGGGGATTCCCGTTCAGAGTTACAGTTCTGGCTAGATACCCCGGATGGGCGTGCCTGGTTGCAGACTGACGGAGTGAAGGACTGGCTGCTGACCCAGGGAGGGATGGACTGGTTGCTGACTATCGGGGGGAATAAGTGGTTGTGGACCCGGGGCGCGCATGATTGGCTACAGACAGAGGCTGGGAAAAACTGGCGGCATACCGATGGGCAAGAATTGTGGTTGCGGACCGAGGGCGGACGAGATTGGCTTGAGACAGATGCCGGACGAGACTGGCTGGAGACGGAGGCTGGGAAAGACTGGTGGCATACCAATGGGCAGATATTGTGGTTGCAGACCCAGGGCGGGCAGGATTGGCTGGAGACAGATGCTGGACGAGACTAGCTGGAGACAGAGGCTGGGCGAGACTGGCTGCTCACTGACGGGAGGTATGAGTGGTTGTGGACCCAGGGCGGGCGAGATTGGATGGAGACGGAGGCTGGGAAAAACTGGCGGCATACCGATGGGCAGAATGTTTGGTTGAGGACCCAGGGCGGGCAGGATTGGCTGGAGACAGATGCCGGACAAGATTGGCTGGAGACGGAGGCTGGGCGAGACTGGCTGCTCACTGACGGGAGGTATCAGTGGTTGAGGACCCAGGGCGGGCCGGATTGGCTGGAGACAGATGCCGGACAAGATTGGCTGGAGACAGAGGCTGGGCGAGACTGGCTGCTCACTGACGGGAGGTATAAGTGGTTGTGGACCCAGGGGGGGCGAGACTGGCTGGAGACAGAGGCCGGGAAAGACTGGCGGAATACCGATGGGCAGGAATGGTGGTTTGGAACCAGGGACGGACAGGGTTGGCTGCAGGCTGGGCGAGACCCCCGGCCATTGGCGCCTCCGCAGACCAGGGGTGAATCCTCCGTGATACAGATGTATGGCGTGAGATACTTGCAGAGCCTTGATGGGCAAGCCTGGCTGCAGACCGAGGGCGGGCACAATTGGCTGCAGACCCCATGCGGGCTAGACTGGTTGTTGTCTGGGAGTGGGAGATCCTGGTTGCGGATCCCACACGGGCGAGACTGGTTGCAGACTGAGAGCGGGCGAGACTGGCTGCAGACGTGGGGCGGGCGAAATTGGCTGCAGACCCAAGGCGGGCGAGGCTGGTTGCAGAACCAGGGTGGGCGAAACTGGTTACAGACACCCCGCGGTAAAGCATGGCGGTTGACCGATGTCTGGGGGACCATGGAAGAATTCTCGAGTACTTTCGGGGTAATCAGAGACCGCATAATCTCTCCAGTATTGTCTTTGCATCCGGCTTTTCAAGCAATCCAGCAGTTCAAGGCGCTGCCGGATTTCTTGATGTTCCCGGTGTTTCTGGCGTTGAGGCACCAGGATCATTCCATTACAGCATTACCAGACATGGAGATTATCCATGCTATGAAAGCCTTTTCGAGTTTCGCAGACGAAGCGCGGAAACAAAGTCAATCAACTTCAGGCGCCCTCAACTACGCATGTCAAAATTGGGGCTGTTCATCTTTCGCGAACTCCGAAACCGTGGGATGAGAGGCTCTCCCATATGTTTCAGGCTTTCTGGAATCGCAATCTTGTCTCTTGGCTCGAAAGGCAGTAGTGTTGAAGGATTTGCCGTCTTGCCTCACTGTTTTGTTCGACGGCGAGAAACTTTTTTCAAGGTGCTTGTGTTCCCAATGATTTCTAGGACTTGCAATCTGACCTGTGCTTATAGGAACATCTCCGAGCTCCTGGGTCATATCAGTAATCACTCTCAGTGAAGCTGCCGGTTATATGCCACATGTCAAAAAAAAAAAAGTCTTGCTATCCCACGCATAGATTTCTTACTACCAAGAAACCCAAGTGTTTATAGTACCATGCGACGTATTTACATTTTTCTCCGTCTCCAGCAGATCGTACTAGCATGTTTCGAGGTGAGATTGAGCAGGCGAAACAAAGGCGTTTGCTTTTGCCATCCCCTCTAAGTTAAAAACCCAATGGGGGAAGCGGAAACATCTTTGGAGTCTGTACACTCCGTAATTTTACAGTTCCTCTCGTGGCATGCTAGCTAATGTATACTATTTCGCGAAAACAAAAGGTGGTCGAATATCATGCTATGTATATTATGTGTGTAGCGACCGTCCTTGACTCAGTCAGCGCACGCACATGCTCCCCTTCGATGTGATACTAAATGGCAAAGGCCGCCCCCGATCTCTTTGACATCAAGATATCGGGTGTAGTGACTATGCATGTGTGTCTATGTGCACAAGGGATTCCTGCTGCAACATCGTCTGAATCAGGCATATTAAACGAAGTTTACTACCTCAAACATCAACGAATTTCCAAGATGAAGCGCAGTTTGTTCAGGAAAAGGACCATGTGGATGGAAGATTTATATATTATACCCCAGACATAGCGACCCTGACTAGTTTGCTAGAAGTACTTGCAGACCTGAATAAATGCGATGATTAGCGCATATAATAGGGGTGTTCACCAACGATGATAGACCATGATAGTGTTTAGCCTAGAGCGAGATATCTTCATGAGTGACGCCAGAAATAATACGGGAGCTCAACCGCCCACAACGAAAGATTCGTGATCTCCTACATGACGGAAGTGAACGGTTTCAAGCTGCCAGCTTTCTGAATCTAACTTCATTCATAAGTATTTTCGAAGTCAATTTCTCGAGGCGTGCGTCGCCCTATCTCTAGAACGACACAACACTCTAGAATGATGTTCTGCGAAGTGGTAAGACTAAACGGTACTTGGGGGACAGGACTCGAACTCACCTCCTGTATGCCCTCGAAAAAACCATCTCATGGTGACAATGCGCTATGAAATCATTTTAATAATTGAATACTATTGAAGAAAATCTGGACCTGTTAGTCTCATCTCACGCCCTGAACGCTTTCAGCCAACGTTCAGGTGGATTAAATAGTACAAAATCAGTATCGCAGACACTTGAGATAGATCCACGAAATGCATGTAGTCGATGCTAGGATAGGAATGGTATAGACGCATCGCAAACACTATTTGCGTGCATTTATACCATCCCTACCCTCCATTTCCTCTAGACTCGAGAGAAAACACATCTCAACTTCCCACATCAAGAAAGGTATGAATAGAAACATCGAAAAGCTGAACAAAACCGTAAACAGTACGTCCTCCGTAACAGACAGATATCAAGATCTCGGAGCGTTGCCTCTATGCGATCTTACCCAAGAGTCCACCTTGCTCTTGTCCCCAACGAGTCCATGTTCGGCCTTCAAATGCCGACGAAGATCATATGCGCGAGTTAAGATGTGATCGCAGTGCGCTGAAGAGTCGGAAAGCGGAGTTTCCGGAGGCAATAGTAGTAGGTCCTCAACGTTGGGGTATGGACACCGTATGGTTTTTGACGTTGGCATGCGAGTACGGAGGGAGTAGGCATGTCCGGTGATGCGATCGATGCTCAAGTGCGCTGCTGAGTCTGCCGGTTCATTGCCGGAACAGTCAGCATCAGTATCAGTGGTTGTAGCGCCGTCCGACTCGGACGGATCTGTGACAGATTGATCACTCCTTGTGCTATGGATTTTGGTCAGATGCCTTTCGAGGAGCTTTTTGTAGCCAAATGCACTAGAGCAATGTTGATGCGGGCAAACATGTTTTCTGTGGCCCAGATGAATCACATTGTTATGCGTCGTGAGGGCTTTCATCTGTGCATGGCGTTAGAATTGATCGAAAAGAAACATCGGTCGACGATCGCACAGATTTGAATTCTTTCCCGCATTTGTCGCATTTCCAGTCTCTGCCCACTTCTCCACCGCGTCTACGTTTGCGAGGCAAGTCTGTTGCTTCTGATGGTTCTACGTCTGCTAGGACGGCTTCTAGTTCTTGTTGTTCGTGTAGTTTCTGATGAGCGCGTAAATTGTGCTGGGAAGCAAATGTTCGTCCGTTGCATGAGGAATGCATGCATGTTGGAGGGTGGGCATCGCGTATATGGGCCTGGAGGGACGTCCATGTCGGGTAATATGTAGGGTCAGCGTTGGATGAAGGTAGGCAATTTGGGTGTGAACACGTGTAACGTTTATCTGAAAGAATGATAAATCATCATACACATGGATGTGAAGCACACGAACCGTCATGAGTCTTGACGTGACCTTTAAGCTTTTGGTTCGTATCGAACGATTTGGTGCACCCTGGGTGTGTGCACATGTAAGATTTCGTACCTGGGGGTGCGTGTACCTGGCAGGTGTGAGATCGCAGCTGATGATGCTTGGCAAACACTTCATCGCAGCCCTCTACCGTGCACTGAGAAGACGAAATCAGCGCGGATGGTTTGGATAGTGAAGATAGCACATACAGCATACGGTTTAGCCCCACTGTGCGTATTCTCGTGCACATGGAGGTGCTGGAGGGTCCAGAACCGTTTCTGGCAGGTTGCTGATTCCGTACACACATAAGGGCGTTCTGACTCGGGAAGATGGCTTTTTGCATGTGCTTGAAGATGGGATTCGCGCAGATATGACTTTTGGCAAGTTGTGCAGACGTAGGGGCGCTGTTTGAGCTAATTAGCACAGAGTGGGCGTAAAAAAATCGCCACGTTACCTCTCCTGTATGGGACCTTATGTGCTCTGCTAGCCTACAAGCTTTGGAGTAGGACTTTGTGCATCCAGAATACGTGCAAGGATGACGGGCTTTGTTTGAGGAAGGCTCTGGGGTATCGCGGACAACGAGATTCGCAGTTGAAGTCGATGGCTCGGGTTGTGGACTCGCAGAAATGTGTAAAACATATCTAGTGGCTTTGCGCTTCCCAAGGACTGTCGTCGATGACAACAAAAGCGACATTCTAAGCCCGCTGCCTACTTATGAATTATGGAAGTGGAGCAGAAGCAAGCCTCAATTTACATGGCTTATATTTTTACCGATCGGGGTTTGTGAGTGCTTAACTGGTACTTGTTCCCGCCCGCTCAATGGTCATGCATAGCCTGTCGGTGCCAACACGAAGAGAGGCCATCCTACTCATTTTCGTATTCGTTTCTTTGCTATTGTTCTCAAGAACGGGCTATGATACGTCCGCGGTCAGATTTTGGGATGTCGATAAGTCAGGCGCTGAGCCTACGGCGCAAATTGAGTCTTGGAGGACACGAATAACTTGGTCAAATGGACACGTACCAAACACCCGTGTGGTTTCTCATGTCCCTGGTACGTTCTTATTTGAAGTCATTGGAGCCGTCCCAGGCTGAGTAGCCTCCCATAGGATGGACTATTTTTGATAACCTCTTTGTCTTGAACGGCACTGTTTTTGTCGTGACGGATTTCCCATCAAGTATTCCTGACCGTTCTACCATCACTTCTACCGGCGTGACTATCTTCAATGGTGAAGAAGCTGCAAAAGATCGAATCCCAGGGGACCGCGAGATGCGAGTTATTTCGACTGATCAAGCTCAAAAACTATTCGGTTCAAGCGCCGAGTTGCTTGATGGCGTCACAGTGAGTAATAGGAATCATTCAACTTGCGCTAGCTGCTCAACCTTGGATAATGCGACAGTGGCTCGTAAATGATCCTCCTCAATTGTAAGTAACAGGGGCTAGCAACCAACTAGAGCTCATTTCAAATGCCAGCATTACCCACTACTATCACTGGTCGGCTGAACTCTTTTTTGGATTCTGGCGGACGTATTCCTCATTGGACACTGCTATTGACGAGATGGGGAAATCCACGCTTCCCGCTCTCCGTCGGATATTTTTTGCCCATGCGGATGGAGATCATTGGAGGGACTATGCTTTGATGAACCAATGGGTCTTGCGCAGCGCTTTCCCCTCTCTAACGACAGAATACTCTTATGACTGGGAAGATCGCGCAGCTATGGGTCGCCCGATGATGTTGGACCGCGTGATCTTTAATGACCGAGCCGCCGCCATGCAAGGTCAACATTTCTTGAGCACCGGGCGGACGGCATCAGAGCCATCCGCTTTGCCTGGGAGTGCGCATTGGTGGAGTACGATTCGCGCAAACGTTATCCGCGTTTGCGGGCTGGACCCGAATACAGTGGGTGATGCGGAGCAGACGCCTGTTATTACATACGTATCGCGTCAAGAGTGGGGACGTCGTATGCTCATACAGGAGGATCATGAGCGTCTTGTGGAGGAGCTTTATAAGCTTCGAGACCAGTATGGGTACGAAGTGAATGTCGTTAGCATGGACAAGTTTTCTCGAGCAGAGCAGCTCGCTCTCGCGGCGAGAACTACGGTTTGTGCTAGTTTTTATCTTTTAGTTTGGTATGACTGACGATGGGGTTTTGCAGATCATGATGGGTGTCCATGGCAACGGACTTACGTCACTAGTCTGGATGAGGCCATCACCTCAAGCTACGGTAATGGAATTTTTCTTCCCAGGAGGTTTTGCACGAGATTATGAGTACACCACGCGCGCTCTTGGCATGGTACATTACGGGTTCTGGGGCGACGAGTGAGCACGTTTGTTTTGCTGTTGCGTCATTGTCTAATATAGCTGTGCAGGTACTTTACGAGTCCTGACACCCCGGAGCAGGCATATCCTGAAGGGTTCCAGGGAACGAGCATTCCTATCGATGGAGCTGTTGTGGCGAGATTGTGTCACGAGAGACTTTTACTCCGGTGAAATTCACTGGGCTGGTCTTTGATGATATAGAAAATAAATCTAGTTTGATCTGCTCGGCTGTGGATTATGCTATGCTGCTTCGCTATGACTGGGACTTTTGTAAGGAGTACTACTTGGCACTTGTAGTACCTTACTCTTACTACTAAAATGTTGGAAATGCTCACTTTCACATCTTCACTATCGATGCCTGTTTGTATGCGTACCACAGCTTGAAGTACAGTAAACGTTAGATGCCCGACGAACAGTGAATTGGAGTGAGAAAGCGAGGCTAGATCTGGGGCAAGACTGACTTTGCGGAAACTGTCCACGGAGCCGGGGTAACAGTGGTCAGACAAAGAATGTGGATGTGCATCCGTCGCAAATGCTGGGCGCGCAGGCGCATATCGACGTGCTCTGAGAAGGCTCAGAAACCCGTGTGAGTTAATGTGTGATAAAGGAAGTGGACGTATGTTCAACCAAGCGCACTGCATCGAACTACACTGCGTCAGCAGGATGCTCTGACCAACGTCCACGGTGAACTCTTGTGCTGTCGAGGAATGGAAGTATAAATTGTAGGATGAGCAGCAAGGGGCTCACGGTGCTCTGCGCAGAGACGACCGTCAACCTGAGGGGTAGACAAAATCTCGATTGATGCAGTAATGTGATGTAGGATTGTAGGATGAACAGCAAGGGGCTTGCGGTGCTCTGCAGTTGTGGGCAGCAAGACGATCGTCAACCCGAGAGGTGACGCTGGGATGATGATATGTATTTCGCTATATACAGCTCAGCACGATGATACATGCAGGCTGGGTAATGCACCTACCAGAATATCCCGGCACCATGCGTCCAGCTGAGCGGTTGCGCTATTCGCTTCCTTCATCCGTTTTTTTCTCAGACTGCTACGACGTCGTTCCTCACTCAAACGAGTGGCTCCACCTGCCTGCGTCTCACCCAGAGCTAATTCTTGGTCCAGCCCAACCTAACAGATCATGTCAGCGACTCTCGAAGCTGAACTCGATGACTCAAGGAAGAAAGTGTACGTAAAATTAGTGCCGGTGTTATCGGCGCGTGGTGTTACAGTCATGTGATGTATTAGTCACGTCACGTTGGAATCTCGCAGCTTATGCCGCTCGAATTGCTTCTTGAGTCTTTCTGTCACCAACGCTGATTGAGTGTCGTTACATGATTATGATGAGTATCTCGTATGAATTCTTTCTTCTTCCCCTCGCTGTGATATCTTTCGAGAATAAGTTTGCGAAAGATTCTCATCATACATTTACATGCACAGAAAGTTCTGCGTCACACAACTTTGTAAATAATATATTACACGCATACGCATCTAGTAAATTATCCGCCTCTGCCTTCTTCCACGAGCTCTACTCAGGGAACCACTCTCAAAGCTTTTCCCACACTTCAAATTCCTGTCTCAACACCATATCTGCCAGCGCCTTCCCACTCAACTAACCATGCATGCACCATCCCCTCGCCCGAATACCTCGCTGCAATCAATTTCTCCAGTGCAGCACCCACATGTACCCCTCCCCTTTCTCACATTTCACAACCCCCAGCTTTGTCCACAACATATTATCTTATGACGACCTTGGAGCGGCGTCCACACGCGTGCATCTCGTGTAGTTCTCGCGTGCTAGGGTGCAAACTTCAAGCTCACCGCTCCGCTGCGCCTGCTGGAGGCCGATTACTACATCAACAAAAAAACTAAAACCTTGCATACCACGCAACAGGACAGTGACAGCCAGTACAAGGTGTGTAATTGATGCCATCCCCACAAACACATGACAAACTTGTGTTGGTGATGGAGGCGTGGAGGCCTCGTGCGTGGGCGTCTATGGAAACGAGGCAGTTTACCGGTTGGCGGCATCACGAAGTTGCAGTCCTTCTGCAAAACTGCTCGTGATTTTGGGTATCGCTGGGCATGGAGTGATATATGTTGTATTAACAAGAGCAACAATGTTGAGCTCCAAGAATCGGTCAACTCCTTGTTCGCATGGTATCACCACTCTGCGCTCACGGTCGTATACCTCTCGGATGTTCCGCCTTCGTCAAAGTCTGGCGCAACGGCAAAGAGTGCTTGGAACACTCGCGGATGGACGGTTCAAGAATTCCTCGCTCCCAACGTCATTCTATTTTACCAGAAGAATTGGACTCCTTATCTCAATGATCGCACTTCCAACCACAAGGACTCTGTTGTGATAATGCAAGAGTTGGAGGACGCGACTGGCATAGATCGACCAGCCGTCGTGGCCTTCCGTCCCGGGATGAGAAACTCCCGAGAGAAATTGCAGTGAGCGTCAACACGTATTACCACATTGCAAGAAGACATTGCATACTCGTTATCTGGCGTCTTTGGCGTCCGCCTACGTGTTGATTATGGCGAGAATAAGCAGAATGCACTCGAGCGGCTCCTGCAGGAAATTCATAGCTCAGTCGGGCGACATTACTGCTCTGGACTGGGTCGGAAGGTCATCGGAGTTCAACAGCTGTCTACCAGCCGATATCACTTCATACGAAGCTCCACCATGCAAACTCCCATCTTTATCCGAAGATGAGATTCAGTCATCTGTCTCCTCGCTGCGAGGTGTTGTGACTCTAGAGTTGGCTTCGAAATTGTATCAGACACTCGACCGCCTGAGCGCTCCCCGTTTCGCGCACCACCGGTTGCATCTCCCTTGCATTGTATTCCCAGTCACAGAAACCAGGCGGAGGCCAAGTCGAGACCAGGACGCATATATGTATGAACTCAAGTCAGATGGACTTCATGACCTGCAGATCACCACAGAAGACAAGTTAATCCCATTCTCGCCTGCAGGGCCACCGCCCGTCTGGCAGACGATCTTGCTTGTCCGTCCATGGAGTCGCGATCTCCTTGAGTTGCATGACCCTGCAGATGATATGCAGAGCGTGGAAGATTGGTCTATGCCCGGATCTCTATTGCACGATTCACCCGCTGCACAAAACGAGCCGGATTCTTAGTCGCGAGCATTGCGTTTGATTGTTCGCCTTGGACAGCCTTTTAGTGCATTTTTGCTAGCGCGGCGGCGTGACGGAGAATTCAAGAGGATCGCATCGGATCATGATATCGTTACAAGGGTTAAAGACATGACTTCTGTTGATAACATGATGGTCATTAGGACACTAGAGATACTGTAGCTGTATATAGAATCTCTTAAAGATATCTGAGCGGTTTTCGCTTGTACCTTGATGATCAAATATGTGTATTATCGTATATGCATATACTGACTTGAAAGCAGACTTTAACTTGGAGGGTGATTCTCCTGGAAGTGGTGAAGGATAGGATAAGACACCACCATTAAGGGAGCGTCAGAAAGAGTCCATGCCATGTATCATACACGGAGGTACATCGGGATTGGAAATATGGGCATTAAACGCCGTGTAAGATAGATTGAATTCGAAGTAGCCGCTTGTGAGAGATTTCGACAATTTGGTGTCTCGTCCTTTTTGGCGGCGACAGAACTACAGTTAAGAAGAGTTACACGCATATGCATTTAAACCCTTATCTTTCCGATGGTTCACAATGACGTTCGCCTGTTCCAGGAAAGCATTTACCCGCACGTCCATCGTGCACCTTGCATGAGATTGGTGGTATGAGCAGTACCAACCATTCTGGTGAAGTCACAAGTGCGATTCTTAATGAGTTCCTGATCTTACGAACGCAGTTTGGCGAGAGCTTCTTTTGCGCAAGGACGCGGATGCGCCTCAGGGGTGGTGTGATTGGGGTGGACTGAGAATCTGAGCTAAGGGGAAGCCACCACCAACCCAGCAAGTCACCATCAGATTTGCCACCGATGCGTTTGAGTGACATTCTTCAAGAAAGAAGCTGGAGTGACCGTTGCTCGAATGTTGTTCCACTACGGACTACGCTGCGTGGGCAGGATGCTCCGACCAACGTCCACGGTAAATGTTTGTGCAGTTCGGTGGCTATATGAGGAATGGTAGGGTGAATGTTAATATATGTTGGGGATAAGAAGTGCACGCACTATACCGGTACCAGCCCTGGAGAATTATTAATTAGCCTCCGGGTGGTTTTCTTCCTTTTTCGAGTCCTTATCGCTTCTTGTTGTCTTGACCGGCGTTGTCTTTACCGCTTGCTTCTTTCCGTCTCGGACATCCTGACGTTTAACGTTTAATACTTGGTCTTTTCCTCTTCTACCTCAACACGTCCGCTGAGACGTACTCTCGTGTCCAAGGGGCTCACGGTGCTCTGCGGCAGCGTCAGCCTGAGGGGCAGCGAGACCTTCCTTCCCTTTCCTATCCTACTTGGTCCCGTTCGAAGCCATGCTTTCCTTAGGATGAAGAAGGGTTTCGATCGAGACCAAGTATCTCGTTTGGATTCTTTCTTTTCTGTGTCATATCTTCTGAGGATTCCTGCGTAACATTGATTTCTCAGATATTCTCGCAAGACATGGTTAAACAACTTGGAGTGGAATAATATTACACGCACACGCTAATCGTCCAACGCATCCAGTAAATTCTCTGCCTTTGCCTTCTTCCACCTCTTCTCAGTAACTCTCATAATATCCGGGAACCACTCCCCAAGCTTGCCCTCCACTTCCCGTCCCAACACCATATCTGCCAGCGCCTTCCCACTCAACCATGCATGCACCATCCCCTCGCCCGAATACCCAGCTGCAATCCACTCTCCCGGTGCAGCACCCACATGCAATCCCTCCCCTTTCTCACTTTTCACAACCGAACTCAACGGCGGCTCGCTCCTTCCAGATATAACACGCGGCAAACGGCCAACCCAAGGTATCAAATCTGCCGAAATGCCCAAAATACCACTCCACAACGCCTTGACGCGTCCTTCCGCCCACTCCCCCTCGCCCCCCTCCAAAAGCACCCCTTCCCTCCCCCAATTATTCTCCCCAAAATACCTAGGAAGCACACCAGATAAATGCGCCCCGATACGTGTGCTATACGTCGTATCGTCCGTATTTCCCATAGCCTCGTATCCTTCATCGCCGTCTTGAGCGAATCCACCACCTAGCATGAGCTCGTGTTCCCCTGTGGGGAGTTGAGTGAGGTAGTCATAGCCAATTGGTCGGGTGTAGAAGACGAAGGAGCGCTGGGAGGTGGGGTTGGAATCGGGGATGGCGAGGGACTGTCCGGGGCGTTGGGCTGACATGTTACCCTCGGAAGGGAATGATTTTACCGCGGAACTTTTCGAGGAGGGTTGCTGCCCAGCCGTTGGTTGCATGGATGATGTGCGGGGTTGTGATGATCCCGCGGGGGGTGGAGAGGGTGTAGTAGGGGCTGGAACGTGTTGGAGGTAAGACGGAGGTGCATGGTGTGTTGGTGCAGAGTGAGAAGCTGTGGGTGGTAGGTCAGTTTGATTGGTTTCGCCGGGAAGAAGCGGTTATTTACCGGTCGGGGTATCGTGATAGAAGCTTTGCGAGGATTCCGGTCACGAATTGGTATGGGTGGATTGCGCCTGCGCTGGAAGATATGCAACCCACCGTGTCAGATGCTAGGCGGTATTTCTGGGCCGAAGCATAAGTTTTTCTTCTACGACCGAGTCGCAAGACATACCTCGATAGCTTCTTTTGCTTCATACACCTCATGGTGCTCAGCATCGAAGGGAAGGTCTGCTTTATATGTTTGGACCTTTGTCTTCGCCTTCTCGAACATGTCCGAGTTATAAAACACATCTACAGAGTCCACCTCCCGCCACTGAGATTCTGCAAGAATGCCTTCTTGCTCTGCGACACTTCGTAACTCCTCGAGATGCGCCAACCTCAATTTAATCATCTTTTGAGCGACAACTTGTCCGTGATCACGTTTGAGAGAGGTGTAGTCGTGATATAGAGGCGGCGAGATGTGTCCGCCGTTTCTACCGAAGATGTTAGTCCACTGGTTTACGAATGAGTCGATACGAGACTTACCTCCCAGTCGCCCCAGAACACGCATCTCTCGCTTCCAACACAACAACTCTAACATCATGCTCCTCAGCACTTGCACTATCCAAAAGCCTCCTCACAACCGACGTCCCAGTAATACCCGAGCCAATAACGACAAAGTCAGCATGCGTCGGGAGCTGGGAAACGTGAGTGGCGATGGGGGATGGTGGGTAGGACCAGAATGAACGGCTGGGGTTCGGGAGTGGGAGCCCTGGGGAGCTCTGAATGCGTTCTTGGAGAGTTTGGAAGGTGTGGAGGTTATCGAGGAATTCAGCTAGTGCTAGGCGAGCGAGGGAGACTGTGTTGCCCATAATCGCGGGAAGAAAGCGGCTGTGGCGTGCTTGCGTTTTGTCGTGTTCTTGATTCTGCCAATGTGCATCTTCGTCTTATACATAGAATCAACATGCCATCCTAACGTTTCATATGAGAAAATATTCTCTGTTCAAGCTTCAACTCCCATACTTGAAGCTCACAAGGAGTCAGCTCAGATTCAGGAAAATGTTCAGCTCAATTGAAGGTGTGTAGCTACATATCATTATCTCTGTACTGACATTTCACTTCCGTCTTCATTTGTCTATGACATGTCTAGGAGACTAACTCGAGAGCGAAACGCAATCAAAGAGGCGCTGTTGAGACGTTGAACTTCACGTTGATTATTGGCTCAATAGGACATGGTGTTCACTACTACATCAAACAGGCTACCTTGACCTCTGCCCGACCTCTGCCAGACTGCCGCAGTCTTCAAGTTGGCATGTTAGATGCGGTGGCATCTCGTTCTCTGTGCTATCGTCTGACCCAGTCATTAACGGTATCTTCACGGTGAGCGGTACTCATTGATCATTGTCGAATATCATTCTAAATTGAGTTGATGCAACTCCACGCATGATACACAACAGTGACCGCACCATTATGTACGTTTTAGCATTGTTCAAGAGTGCTGACGTGAGTTGAACTAGGAGTACTTTGTTGAAACGCACGACCCGTGTCAAACATGGAGTCATTCTCCGCGCAAAAGATCTTTCGAGTCGTTCCTCGTGCAAGGGATCTACGTAAAATATTTCGAGCCATTCTTCATCGAGCGCAACGCCCAAAAATCTTTCGAGTCATTCGTCCGACTCGGAGGGATCTACGTAAAATATTTCGAGTCATTCTTCATCCGAGCGCAACGCCCTAAATTTGGAGATCATCGTCTGATGAAATAATGTTCAAGGCGATTAGTCTGCCAGGTCATCAAGTGTTTTACATGGTGAGCGTTCGTTCTCGAATTCAAATGCACACTGATACGATCCCGCGCGTGATACTTTATGGGTGCAATGTATCAACCAATCATTAGTATCCACCGGCAACCAACTATTGATCATTACCCTGGTCCAGGCGCCCAAGAAGACTCGGTAGTCATGTGCTAGGGCACACTTACATTTTTGAACCCTTATTATCAATTAGTACGGGCAGTATCTTGCTATTTTGCGCCGAGCTGCTGGGACGTGCGATTATCGTCCGACGGCATGTTTAAGACAAGAAAAGCAGTCTGCCTGTCAATCAGCGGTATCCATACGGTGAGTGCCCATTGTCAAATATCAAAGTGCACTGATACGTCCGTACGCAAACCAAATATTTTAGCCGTTCAGCGGGTAACGATCTTCCTGCTTCAGGAGCCGATGAAGAGGTTATATTTTGAGGCATATGTTAGTACTCCTATTGTCGATTAATCAGGACCCTGACATCATCTACCTGATAGTGAACCCTGAGTCGCATTGTTCCGTATCTCATATATCCTTGTCGACCCATGGAGGGTCCGTAGGGGCAATAATGACAATGAGTCTTCTGTCTCGCATGTTGGTTCGTGCGACTGGTAAGGCTTCTCGCGCATATCGTACTACCGACAGGCACCCACCGGGTCGAATGGGGAAGCATGCTTAATGACTCCACCTAATATGCCAATCATGGTTACATGTACCCAACAGAATATTCGAGTCGAGGCATTATCCGGACGATCGATGGGGGCTTACGTCATGGTCTCGCAAACTGTATTGCTAAATCGGAGTCACTGGCAGCGCCCTAGGCCTTTCTTTCGTGTGGTATAACCGGGAGTTTTCCGAAGTTTTCCCCATTCGAGCTGCTATCTCGCCTCGTCCCGCCGCCGCATGCAATCGCAACTTATCCGCAAGGCATCTGCCGAGTCTTGATCTGGAACCACATGTCAATGAACGTCTAATCGCATGGATGCACAAAAGCGCTGGCATGTAGCCGTGTTCTTTTCGTGGCACAGCGAACACTCATGAGGTTCCGTTCAAGTCTGGAAAGACCTGTGAAGGGTATTTCACGCGAGGATATTTTGGACCAATGTCGTGGACACCCTAGAGACACTATGGTCCAGATTATGACTACATCAGTGTCGAAAAGTGCGTTGCGCCGCGGCCGGAACTGTCTAGGGTTTGGTTTGATGTCATGCAACAGGATCTCACCCGAGCATCACCTGAAGGACAGTTCTTTCTTTCTATCAAACTAACATTTTGCCCTCGAATCTAGTTCCGGCGCAATACGCCTTGCATTCTCGTTCATACAGTTCACGCGCTTACTCGCAATGTTGCCGTCAAGCACGACAATGGCTAAAAACATCTAGCACTTGAAACCCAATCTATGACAGCATCATAACCCCTATGAGCACATTGATGGATTCGGGTGAATGTTTAGCTCAACTTCAGCTCCAAGTTCTGGACAACTCCCTCAACTGTATGGTATGACCAGCCTTTGGCTAGAACATTGATTCCCTCCGTGTCAGGATGTGCATGGGCCAAATATTCAACCTCGACCGGCGTTTCTGATCTTGAAACCTAGTACGCTGTTATCAGAGCTCTCGATTCTTCTTCTTCTTGATCTTGAAGTCTATCACGCTCTTCCTGATGCCATTAACTCAACTGACCCTTGACACGTGAGTGAGCTTCTGCATGAATCTGTTTACTCCCGGAAATAATTGCACAGCTTCACAGGGATTCCAACCTACCGGGATTGTCGGAGGCACGTGTTCCCAGTTACTCATTTTGGGCGAGCGCGACTAGACGCCCCGACTATAAAGACAAGGGGCTCGAACTGCACAAAACCATTTGTATATTTTTCTTCCGCTCCAAGCCGACTCCTACCTAACCAACAATTTGTTATCGTCATGGATGTTGAGCAGTACGTCCTACAAGTGTCAGATCCTGACCTTGGTTATATTTGATATACCCCAGATTCCGCAAAGCTGGCTATCAAGCAATCGATAGAATATGCGACTATCATGATTCCTTAAGGGATAGGCCTGTCTCATCCCAAGTTGAGCCAGGGTACCTCAGAAAGGCGCTCCCATGTGCGCATTTTTTATTTTACCTCGCGCTTCCTTCTCATCATCACGGACGCAGCCTCTGCTCCCACTGAAGGCGAGGACTTTCAGCTCATCGCGGACGACTATCAAAAGTACATCATTCCTGGTACTTGACTCCCATTATTGCATGAATTTACCTATCTCATTTGGATTTACAGGCCTGACACATTGGCAGCACCCCTCGTTCTTTGCGTACTTCCCTACGTCAAGCACATTCGAGGGTATACTTGCAGAGTTATACGCGTCTAGCACGTCTAATCCTGGATTCAACGTACGTCTCTCCGTCACAACCCTCCCGCCGTCTTTGTGACTTTTTGTAGTGGTCTGCGAGCCCCGCATGCACAGAGCTTGAGGCCGTGGTCATGGACTGGACCGCACAAATACTCGGGCTTGATAAGGCGTTTTACAATACCTCCGAGGTCGGCGGCGGCGTCATTCAGGTCTGTTTTTTTATCCCTTCACATCGTTAATTTATACTGATCGCCGTGCATTAGACGTCAGCATCTGACTCTGTGTTGGTCGCAACTGTTGCTGCTCGTTCACGATATATTCGTGAACACCCTCACGTGGCGATGGAGGATCTCGTACTCTATACCACCACCCAAACCCACTCGCTTGGGAAGAAAGCTGGGCTTGTCTTAGGTCTCAAAGTCCGCACACTGGAAGTCACAGCCCATGATGACTTTGCATTGCGTGGAGACACACTTAAGGTAGCATTGGAGGAGGACGTGAACGCTGGATTCCACCCTTTCTTCCTGAGTATGTTCATCGCAATAGATCGCTGTCTCGAAATTCATTTTGCTCGTTCTGCAGTTGGTACAGTAGGGACGACATCTTCCGGTGCCGTCGATCGGCTTGACGAGATTGCTGATGTCGGTGCGTATGCTTATCATGTTATTAAACCTCTTTGAATCTCATTTTTACGCACAGCGAAACATTACCCTTTCCTTTGGCTGCACGTCGATGCTGCATGGGCAGGCGTCGCATTCGTGTGTCCCGAATATCGCGAGGCGTACCAACTTCCCGCCATCAATAAATATGTAGATTCTTTCTGCACCAATTTCCACAAGGTTTGTTTATTTTTGTCTCGTGAGCATCAGTCTGGGGCTCACAAACATTTTGCAGTGGGGTCTTATACATGTCGATGGCTCCTGTTTGTGGGTGCGGCACCGGAGGCACTTGACCGACGCGCTGGACGTTACACCCGAATTTTTGCGATCGAAGCACGGGAATGCTGGTACGTTTCTGTTCCTGTTGAGTTGTCGCTCCAATATTGACGGATGTGTACAGCCACCGCTATCGATTACCGCAACTGGCATCTTGGCCTTGGCAGACGATTCCGATCGCTCAAATTCTGGTTTGCCCTTCGTGCGCGCGGGGTGAATGGCTTCCAGAAGTACATCACTGACGTATGTTTATTTATTTATTGCCGTCTACTCGTCCTGACGCGCAGTCGTGTCTCACCAGTGCATCAGGCTGAACGCCAAGTTCGCACAGCACATATACGAATCTGACCTATTTTCTGTTGTCACGAAGCCGTCCCTTGCGATGACAGTCTTCAGGATGGCGCCCAAGTCCCTTCCTCATCTTGGAACTCCCGAGCTAAACGCTCTGAACCGCGGTTTTCACGCTCGTCTTGCAGCACGGAGCGACATTGCGATCACCCAGACGGACCTGAATGGGGTGTTTTGTATAAGGATGGTGATTGGTGCCGAGAAAACTGTGGAAGGCGATATTGAGCACGCGTTAGCGTTGATGAAGGACGAGGCGATGGTTTTGGTGAGGAACTGGGAGGGGATTGGAGGAGGTCGGAGAGGCAGGAAGACGTGTGTGGTACCATCTCACTCCCATTGAATTAGTTGTAGTCATAGGTGCCTGTGCCCAATATCCTATTCCTCTTAGGTGTACTCCGGACTATACTTGCATTCGCTATTCTTTCTTGTACTCCGATTCTTTTTTGAACAGTAGGAAATTGATGTTACGTCAGGTATATCTCATGAACTCTTATGTTCCCCACCTCTTGGGCTTGGGCGCCTTTCGTCGATTAGGACCTGTAGTCAATGGAGCAGGAGAATGTCAATATGCCTCACTCGCAGCATGGGTCGAGTAGTGACCGCTCAGATTAGTGACCGTGCCGATGACTGTCTGAAGACTTTTTTTTTGGATGCAATTTCTGTCCAATGGGGTAATGTATCCTATGTCGTGTCTGAAGACATACTAGCACATAATGCATAATGGGTGGTGGACATATGCTGCGCATCCTCCTCGAACGATTCACCGACGGCCTCATCTCTCTAAGAAAGCCAGACCAAAACAATCCTATTCATCGATGACGTACACATACACGACGGAAGCAGACACGACAAGACGCAGTACATATATGCGAGAACACTTTCAATAGCTCAACCTTGAACACCGCTGCAAGGTGGTGCCTAGTTGCCAACTGATTGGAGATCACCAACACGGATGAGTGCCCACTGCTGGTAGGCATCCGCTGCGTTGAAATTCGCGAGTCTCACCTTGTGAACGTGATGAGCAAAAGGCTTTGGAAAAGAAAATACACCAACTTACTGCACTGTCCTCGTCGCTTGGAATGGATAGCACCAGGTTCTTGGATCCGAGAGTGAACTTGATACTGTACATGCGAGTCGTTAAATTAGCAAAAATAGGTCGTTGAGGCGTCGGATTCTCACCTATAGATATCGTTCACGCCTGGAACAAGATCGACCAGAAACGCCTGCCTAGTATAAACGACCGGTTCATCCGCATCCTGTCCACGTCCGCGTCAACCAACAAGAAAATGAAAGAATGAATGCCGATCCAGCATACCTGCTTCGCAGCAGCAAAGAATCCATTACCATTGTTGCCCGTGTTGCTGGTCTGAATGGTGAAAGTGTTCTCGGAGTTTCTTGGCTCCTCTTGTTTCTTGATCACCCACTAGCATACGTGATGTGTGTGAGAACCGGTCGCAAGGTGGATGCGAACGCGTATAGATACCTTTTGAGCCTCGGTCCCGTTGTCGGCGTAGCCTTGGATCTGGTTGCCTTCAGCGGTGCTGTCGCCCTTCAGATCGAGCATGAGGGCTCTGCCAATATTTCTGATAGTATACACTCCATCGGTGGAAAAAGGCATTGTATAAGATGTAGGTCGCTAGTGGGATGATTCGACAATGAGACGAGGAATTGATGAGGGAAAGCTCAGAGAACGCTGGGCTTTTATGCTGAGCATCTTGGGTTGTTTTGGGTCGACATCAAGCTGAAACGAAGATAAGTCGAGTAGAGTCTGCCAGGGGTCTTTTCATTGTAAATGCCGTGAGGGCTCGGTGTCCGGATTTTGTGTGCTCAGGGTTCGAATTTGTTTGAAGGAACCGAGCAGGCTCCAAGGGACCAGAAACCGAGTAAGTTGTTGCCGCGGCGTAACTTCATTCAGTTTGCGTTCACTTGAAGGTGGCAAATCACTTGATGGAACATTGAAGTGCCGGGCAGTCGCTGCTGAGAAGTCTGTAAAAACCTGACAAGGAATTATCAGTAACTCCTCCGGTAGTACCAGAGTGGAGCACCGACTTATGGCTTAATCTGCAGGTTGCGGCCTCAAGCCCACCGCATCCACAATAGCTGCTCCCACTGTTAACAAATTTGCTCCTTGCCTTCGACTCACGAGCGGCAGAAGAGCGCATTGGAGCCTAGTAATTATCAGACAGATGGGTGCGCGGGTCGCGCTGGGTTCAATACAGGTTGTTGGGACATGCAAGGAGAACCTAACCATGCAACCGAAGTCACCGACAGTAGTTGCTGTACTTCCCGTTGATACGAAAAATCAACTGATCTCTCGAAAAGTCCTGGCAATGTGTTGCGATCGGCAAACATTCCCCGCAAACAAGATTTAGAACATAATGTTCTTGTAAACTTCTTTTGCAATGCATATGGAAGCGCCATGTAGATGTCCGAGAAGTTGAATAATGATCCTGCCCCGCAATCGACAAAGCTTCCAAGCGAGCGAAATTGAGGAATGTTTGTAAAGCCATTTGCAATTCACCGCCATGGGAGTCCCTAGGCTGAAAATTGATGCGATGCGAACTACACCTGTAAATTTGATGGACCAATCTTCCATCATCCAAGCCATTCACAATGCTTCTCTCGATGCACTGGCCTTTGTATAGTAGCGTTAAGGTGGAGCGAAGGGGAGGATTAATTTTGTTCGGGGGGAAGAGCATGAAGTTAATCTTGAGTAGGAGGGGATGATATTTGTTGAGGGTAGTGAAAGTAAATATCTAGAATTGCGGTGAATGAGAATTCTAAGGAGAAGGATAAGCAAATCTTTGTTGGCTCAATCGATAAGCTAGAGAATTTGGTTAACTGTGTGGGAAGCGTTGGCGTTGATTGAGTGAGAAATGTTTTTGCTCAGTGTCTCATTGGTGCATGGGGAGCATATTGGCTCGTTACTCGGCCAGCCGATATGCTTCCCGTGGTTGTAAACTTCTTTTGCAATGCATATGGAAGCGCCATGTAGATGCCGAGAAGTTGAATAATGATCGGGGGTTGAGATGAAACCCCAATAGTAGCGCTAGTGGACTGCTGTGGACTGCCTATCCCCGACTCCCCCGTTAATGGAGGAGGGACTCGGTGATGACGCGACCTGTTACTGCTCCGAAATTGTTCGGCTCCTACTGCAAGGTAGGAGTATTACCTCATTTACAGCAGAGGTGATGTCGGAAATTTCCAGCGAGCCTCCGAAGTCCATTTAAGCCATTTTAAGGACACTTTTCACACGACACCCTTTTAATGCATGCTAATGATGTAAGATAATATTTTAAGGCACTTACAATATCTTGCACCAATCATTAAAAGGCACCATAATGGTCCCAGGTGGCGTGCGACGAGCCTAACATTTTAAGGGCATGAAATGATCACATAAGCATTGTAAAGCACGACAAGGCTAGGCGGAATAATTTCAAGAGTTTTTGTGCTCATCTCAATGCCCTTGCAAGGTGGATGTCCAGAAATTCAAAAAATAATAAATAATAATATATTGATATTGATATTGATAAATGTATTAATACATAGACTATTGAAAATACAATTATTTTAAAAATTGGAGGGAGGGGAAGTGCTGTAGGGGAGGTGACAGACGACGCGCCAGAACACGTCTGACTCACCGCAGGTGGGTCCAGGAGAGAGGAGGGATGCGCCAGGGGAGGTTGCAGGGGAGGGACAACAGAGGACGCACCAGAACACGACTGACTCGTGGCAGGTGGGTCCAGAAGAGAGGAGGGATGCGCCAGGGTAGGGATAACAGAGGACGCGCCAGAACACGACTGACTCACGGCAGGTGGGTCCAGAAGAGAGGAGGGATGCGCCAGGGGAGGTTGCAGGCAAGGGATAACAGAGGACATGCCAGAACATGACTGACTCGCGGCAGGTGGGTACAGGAGAGAGGATGGATGGGCCAGGGGAGAGACAATAGAGGACGTGCCAGAACACGACTGATTTGCTGCAGGTGGGTCCAGGGATGCACCAGGGGAGGGACAATAGAGGACGCGCCAGAACACGACTGACTCGCGGCAGGTGGGTCCAGAAGAGAGGAGAGATGCGCCAGGGGAGAGACAATAGAGGATGTGCCAGAACACGGCTGATTTGCTGCAGGTGGGTCCAGGGATGCGCCAGGGGAGGGACAATAGAGGATGCGCCAGAACACGACTGACTCGCGGCAGGTGGGTCCAGAAGAGAGGAGAGATGTGCCAGGGGAGGTTGCAGGGGAGGGACAACAGAGGACGCGCCAGAACATGACTGACTCACAGCAGGTGGGTACAGGAGAGAGAGGATGGATGCGCCAGGGTAGGGACAACAGAGGATGCGCCAGAACACGACTGACTCGCAGCAGGTGGGTCCAGGAGAGAGGAGGGAGTGCAACCGACTTGCGATATTGGAGACTCGTTTTCTGATGTGCTGCGATAGTCTGAGGCATATTTTTGAAGGACAGAGTCTAAGTCCATTCAGATGTCAGTCTAAGCGTTGGATTCAGACATGAAACGCTCACGAAGACGCAAAATCAGAGTTGTCGGTCTCAAGAATTGTCTATATAAATTGATTCAGACATGAAACACTCACGAAGATGCAGAATCAGAGCTGTCGGTCTCAAGAATTGTCAATATAAATTGATTCAGACATGAAACACTCATGAAGACGCAGAATCGGAGTCGTCGTCGGTCTCAAGAATGACGATTTAAACGTCAGACATTTAAATTATTACAGTTGACACCTGAAATAATCAAATTATCGTCATCGTCGACGGTGACAACTTAAATACGACTTACTAACAATTAATAACAGTCTGAATCTTGATGATGATATGGATTAAGTTGGGGAGGAACGAATTGATTCAGTGCATTGGGATGACAATGTTAATACAGTCGATGACGATTCGTTGTGATGGTGCAGAACCAAATTAAAAAACTTTGACTTTGTAATGAAAGTGTCGGATTTGACTTGTTTGACATTGTTATGATCTGACCATAAATGGAACCACTCACGCAAACTTTGAAGGTCTTACTATGCATTGGAATGATGGAATCTTCAATCCGACGTTTAATTTTGTCGTATGGTAATATCAGTGTGAATCAGTCCGGACTGTCCTCAGTAATTGGTGAGAATAAAGTGATTTATTGACAGAGGCAAAATCAACTCTAAATGATCTGAGCGGCCAGTATTAAAGTGAAAAAATAGTACGAAAACTAAAGAGGTAGAAGAAGAAACAAAACCACGAAGATGAGTGCACCATCAAACACACAATGCCACCACAATTCACTTCCCTGACTTCTTAGGTCTGCCACGAGCAGCACGTCGTTTGACTGCCGGTGGAGGGGCCAATGGAATGATTGGGGCTACATCTTCGTCCATTGACAGTTCGTCAGGTTGAGCAGGCCGGATGCTAGCAGTTTGACGTGGTCAAGCAGCAGGTAATCTGCGACCATTCAATGCAGATGGCTCAGTGTCATTTTCCAATGACAACTGGCCAATGTCGACTTGAAGTTGAGCCGTGGCGGAGGCGGTCCCTCCCTGGCTAATAGACATAATAGTCTGATGGTTGGAGACAACGTTAGTATGACCTGTGGGTGTGGTAACATGAGCTGAAGGCATGGATGCAGGAGCAGGGGCAGGAGGAGCAGGAGCAGGAGGAGCAGGAGCAGGAGCAGGAGTGGAAGCAGGAGGAGCAGGAGCAGGAGCTTCTAACTGCCGTAAAAAATTGTCTTCCCAGGTGCGAGGTTGAGAGGTAGATGATGGGGCTGAAGGACTCGCCGAAACTGAGCTTGTGCCGAAAACTTCCCTGTTGTAGTAATCCATCACGCTGATGGCCCACGAGCTGCGCTTGAACAGATGTTCTAGGTAAAAGTCATAGTCTTGACCATATCCGATCTTTGTGGCTGATCCAGTCGCCGTGAGCTCCTGGTCATGTGTCAATAAAAAACGTGCCTGCGAATGCAAAGGTATCAGTATACATGGAAATTCAAAGAGACCGTGTTGAAGAATGTAACACGATGTTAGTAGTCACTTACCATAATAGCAGCACCGGCAATAAGACCCTCCGTTACACACTGCGTGTCCCAACGCTGACCCCTAGCCTTTGGATGTCCCTTTGTTTTCCCAGAGAGTGAAGCCTTCCCGAATATCTCAACACGGATAATCTGATGGATGAAGTCAGTGTTTGTATATTGCTTTGAAAGCAGCTGAGAACGTATTGCTTACTTTGACCATGATGGGCGTTTTGAGGAAGTCATCGGGAACCATTGCAGATGGATTTGTGAACAGGATGGGGGCCAGACGTGTATACCCGTCCTCACCATGCTGCTTTAGAAGAGCAAGGAGCAGCTCATTCTCTTTCTTTTCAGCAGGCCCAGCAGTGAATACAGTCGGATCAAGCTTCAGACTGGAGAAAATTAAGCCTGCGCAGTCCTTGAGGCTATGTAGTATGTTTGACCTTTCGGAGCTGACTGCAGCGCGAAACTAGGACACATGTAAACATCAATGACATTGACATCGTGGATTGGGGAGTAATAGAACATACCAGGGATCCGAACTGTGAGTAAGTTTCCATCGATTTGTGTAATGACTTGGGTACACAGTGATAAAGCTCAGCCATAGCACCATTGAGCTTCGCCTTGGGTGAGGCCCAACGTGTATCGCTGCGTGGGTCAATGTTCGGCTGGGGAGTTGTTGGGAAGAACCCATTCATGACCCAGAAATAGTGGAACATCGCATACTTCTTGCCTGCACGTGTGATTTGGCTGTCAAGAGCTGAAGTCTTCTTGAAGACTTTGTTATGGCTGCACGCAGGCATGGCAGCCCGGAGCGCTGCATAATCTTTCTTGAGAACACGTAGCTCAAACCGCACTGCATTATATGCTTGCTGGGCGATTTCGAGTGCCTATGAGTGAGAATGAGTGAACATGTTAAATCAGAAATGAGAGTGAAAGAAACTTACCTTGTGGACCTCATGCATAGGTGCATCTGGTTGAGGGACCGTCATTATCCTCATCGCAGTCCCCGTGTCGCTCCCTGCATCGGATGTGCCATCTTGTTCTGAATTGCCGTCAGATCCAGAACCAGTGTCTTCAACAGCATCAAGCTCTGTGGTGAAGTCTTCAGCATCGTCTTCGAGTGGGGCTCGTCGAGGCATGGTGATCTGTACCTGAGAAGGCAGAACAACAAAGGAAAGACAGAACACAATCCAATGCTCACCCAGATTTCAGTTGTTATAGAAAGGTCCCTTGGGTTATTTACGTATAGAGTACTGCTGGACGATTATGTTGCAGCGTCCGATAAGGCTGCATTATTATGTCAAAGAGACACTGCGCTGCGTTTGATGTCGACAATCGAGCGCGTGTCAAGTCTATTTAGGCTTATTAGTAAGTTGTTGATGCAGCAATAATGCAAAGATGTACCTTGCTGCACGTAATTGAACGTGCTCAGAGCGTCCACGCCGTCGATGAAAGTGGGATGATGAATCGCCCGAACCTTCTGCTTGAATCCATCTGTAGATCACTCATCACCCACGTTGCTGTATGTCAGAGTATGCAAATGGATTGGGCTCGATTATGAGTAACATACATGGGAAATGCAGGAGGAAGTACACCCTATCACCAAGGCCCAAATTGAGGCATATCGGCAATGAGAGGTCGAGGCGAAGTTCCCTTACAAGAACATTAATTACATGCGTAACCAGCAGCCATCATTGCAGAAGATTGAGAAGTGTAAGAAGCTAAGTGGCTCTCGCTGCGAGTTCAAAGGGGTGTGGAGACCACTAGTGTGATGCTGAAACGCTATAGAACTAGATTAGCGTTGACGAATGTTATGCGATAATGATTGAGACGAGTGCGAGACGATAAACGATGGATATAGCGATACAATTTAGAAAACGTGTGCGAGACTGAGACTGGGAGACTGGTATGATTGCCTGTGGTAGTGAGTGTACATGGGCTACTTTTATACTTCAAAATACTGGGGGTCAGATATAGCTATGCCGAATCGATTATGTGACGACGGGCACTGAAGGTATTGGTGTCGCTCCTGACAGGGTAGAGTAGACAGAAAGGAAAGAGAGTACGAGAGGAGTGAGCGAGTAGGAATATAAACGGGTATGGTATTAATGAAATGACGAGAGTTGCATAGTGGTTTTGACAGATTCGGACACGGCGAACTGGGAGTAGGGTGACGGTGACGAATAATGAAAGCTGAGGGTCGACAGTGACGAGAGGAAAGAGCGTTGAGGTCCGTGCTGACCGAGGCTGATGGTGCGCTGATGGTGGTTAAGGTAAGTGTTGAAACGGCCATTTCCAGTGTCGAACGATTGGTAATCCTTACAGAAGGAATCTGATCCTGACACATCACCTCGACGGATGGTGAGCTGAAGGACTTTGAGCGTACTGGACCGAACTAGCTGGCATATCTGTGGAGTAAAAGGCGAGAGCATTCAGAGCGACGAACAAAGGCAGTGTAATATGTCACTGGCGTGCCCGTGTCTTCATGCGAAGAAACATATCACTGTCAATATGATCAACAATGATAAATTCACCTTGATGGTCATGGTCAGGGAACAAAACAGCACCATGGATGACAGACGTGAGTGGAACAAATATAGAGTTTGCTCTAGGAACAGCCTTGACACAAGTGAGCTTGAGTTCACGGTCAATTCTGCGATGAGCACCAGTGCCCGCAGTGTATGGCTGAACCAGTGCAAAATTAAAAGAGCCGTCGATATCTGGGAGATGGCACTTGAACATAAGAATAAGTTTGACGAATGCTGATCGTTCCGGAGTGAGCTGTATGAGCGCACAATCGTAGCGCGGTTGGCCATGGAAACTCGGATTGCACCGAAGGTAATCGGTAGCTTGTTTCCAGTCGACGGTAGATTCATAGTTTACCTTGAGGTAGCGATATTCACAAATCTGGAAGAAAGTCAGTTCTAGACATATGAAAGATACAATCAACATACCTGGAAATTGGCGGGTAGTGTAATCCATCTCCTCAGTTCATATCCATACCCAGGTAAAGATGTATTGAGAAATGTAGAGAACTTCCTACGAAAGTCTTGAAAAGCATGATCAGCTGGGCTACAGGCGTTCTCGATGTCCTGTATAGATACGAGTTGCTGTGGCGAACCGAGTTTGATATGTCCTTGTGCAACAGCCGGATCTAGATTGTCTTCAGCTGTAGCGCCTAGATCAACTTCATTGTCCTTGTGGTTGCGCTGCTCGTCAAATGTGTCGACATGTCCTCTCAACAGGCTGACTGCGAATTTATTTTGGTTGACACGAAGAATCTACGGTATTATTTAATTTGATGTGACACAATGTCAGGTATATAGCTCACCTGTTCAGCCACGTTCTTTCCATTCGATTGGCACTCATAAGCCTCTTTCAAAGGGCCGTGAAGCTTTTCATTCGGACGTGTGGTGTAGTTGCGCGCTGCGCCTTTCATTCGAATATCACGGGTCGCGTGTTTCCATAAATGAACCTTTGGGAAGTTCCAGTCGAGTCTTAGATCTTCAATGGAAGATTCTGCAGCACATTGGACGTAGTCCTAGAGTGAGATACATATTGCTCAACTTCCGTTTTATCAGAGGAAAGAGACCCTACCTTGAGTGCATTATTGAAAACAAGCAATTCAGCTTCGATTGCGTCCAGAGTGCTCATTGTATGTACATCGAGACCAATATAACTGTCAAGCTGCAGATAGCTGCCGATGAGACGAAGCAGTTGGTTCCCTTCTGGGCTATTACTTTGCTTCAAAATGCTCAATGCTGCGTAGAAAGATTGCTTTATAGCGGTTAGATAGAGCAAAAACAAAACAAAATGATACATACTTTAGATAGATCTTGCATCTTATTGCCATCGCTGAACGACATGTGAATAACGGTGTTGAAATGATTGCAGTCGCGCCACCGAGGGAAATTAGCGACCCTGCGAATGATAAGTGTGAGAGCCACAAAATAGTTCGTGCGACTTACTCCTCTTCGAATAATGATTCTGCCTCGCGTCCCAAGGATTTGAGAATCTTTTTCAATTCGTTGAGTAGGTGCTTCCAAAGTCCCAAATGAAGGGCGTGTAAGCGGTCGAGACTGATTGCGTCATGGGGATCAGAGTGCGCGACAATCCATAAGACATTCTGGGTATTACATGATTGATGGATGTAAATTAAATAGAAAGTTATATAGCTTACCTTGACAGCGCGCAATCCGAGCGCCTTCAACAGTTCCTCGCCGCGAGCCTTGCTTTCCTCATAGACATCAAGTGCAGTCATCACATCCTGCATTGATCGCAATCGAAACGACTTCGAGAGATCATGCAGTTCGTCAAGCGGTACAATGCACACTGGACATGGACACTTGCTATGATGGCCACAAATCAGTGACATCATACACCTACAGGCGCTGTTAGATCAAACATGTATCAGTACAATAAATTATGTACTGTTCTTCATAGTCAGCAGAAAGTATCAATATGATGGGAAATAGCCAACGTAGGACCTGGTCGAAGCAGTTGTACAAATATCCCGTTTTCGAGTACTGCACGACCAGTTCCAGGAACTTCACAAACGACTCGTGCCATATGACACACTTCAAATTGGTGAAACTTTTCTTGCCTTCCTCGCTTGCGTCCTCGGAAACCTGTGATTATTACATTTGTTAATTATTAATATAAACAAGGTGTTATTTGATGAACTTACGATAGGCAGCAGACCAATAACACGACCGCCACCGATGCCCTCACCATTCTGAATTCCTACCAGTAAATTTGCACAACGTACCACAACAGGATACCCTTTAACGGTACCGTGTGATGAGAGTCTCGTCTTGTCGGCGTACACTATGAAGCAAAGGGGGGCAGCAACGAGATCATGCGGAAGATTAGACTAATATCAGTTTACATCAGTGAGTGACATACTCATGAAACAATTGTTACGTACCTGGATGTCCCACCAACGATCGGCTGTCCATGGCTCATCATAGAACCGCTCGAATTCCGTACCGTTATGCTTATAAACGTGTTGTGCGTCCCAAACAAAATGTGGCGCGAGTAAGGGGTTTTCTAATAAATCAAGGGCCCATTCCCATATGGGCAAAGCATGGACCTCATATACACGCTCCTCTCGTTTGTATGGCACAGCGATGTCGTGTTTTGTAAACTAAACGATTTTCTATAACACAGCATTTCAAAAAAGAATCAGTAACATACCAGCAACACCTGAGTGGTAGCGCTACACAATACATTGCGAAAATCAGTATCATTCTTCAGCGTGATTCTAATCTGGCCTGTCGCAATGCAGGCAATCAGAGATAGTAGTCCATCGATTTGTGACTTGTTGAGGGAAGCATCGAGTGCGATTTCCGCAAACTTGAAGTCGCCTCGTGAGGAGAAAGGGCGCCATGGTTCTTCATCGACAGGAAGCCCTTCAGTAGTATCATGTACATCAACACGAAATTCGTTGAACGCTTGGTGCAATGGTTCACGACCACTTGACGGGTGATATTCCGTCTTGAATTCGAGGGGCCGCTGAATAGACAGCTACAGGTTCAACAGACCCTGCCTGACTGAAAACTGTACAGGGCGATCAGTTAGTAAAGTTACAAACGATCAATACACAAAATATACTCGGACTTACCTGGGATTTCAACACTCTCATAGTAGGGCTCGACATTGTCCAGATCAATATCCATGGGATCGGCCTGGAAAAGATGCAACTACGAGTGAGTGATATTAGAGGCGCACAGAGAGCGAAGAACAAGTAGAAGTACCAGGAGGAATGGAAGAAATCTTCGTTTGTGGCGGACTGACCATTATTGCCGGCGCTCTGTGATGGGCCAGCCATTGTTTCAGGAAGCCTTGTCAATTTACTGAGCCTTCCTTAGAGCTAGATGTTGCCTCGATATTAGATACATACTGGCCAGTGATTGATTGGTAGATAGAATCAACTCACCTCGTTGCTGGTCCTTTTGATACTCGAGACCAAATGTCTCCTGTTCCCTCTCGACATTCACACACTTCTTGCATGTTGCTTCGTGCTTCTTGAAGCCCTGGGGCTTGAACTTTCCGTCACAGTGAGGACATGAGAGCTGCCCTGTAAGTGTTTCTTCTGTATAGTTATACTTGCCTCTAGATGGCGCTGCAGCCGCTGCAGTACGAGACGGAGCCATAATAAATTGAATGCGACAACGGTGATAGAGCTTGGTGTGGGCAAAACAAAATGTCTGAATTCTGGTATCGATATGAGGGACCGTAACGCTTAGCATATGTCTTAGAATTGTTCCTACAAGCAAGGTAATGGTGTTCTCACGATCACAAGACCTTTAAATTGTCTCACGAAGCCTTGAAAGGTATCTTATAATGTGCCTTTTAACGCATGTGATCAAACTTGTAAGCCGGCAGTATTATAATGGTACGTTACCTTTTTCCGACAGAAGACCTCGTTCACTGCTCAGCAAGCAAGGACCTTACATAATAAGTCCATTGCTATTTTCGCTCTTTTTCTTGTAATTGAGGTACAAAGTATTATAGCTAGTAATGATAAGTATGCACTCCTTCTGATACATTGGCAGCACATATAGCGGTCCAATATGTTCTATTGGGTGTATGAGCCGTCAAGTTTTCCGCTCGGAGGTCTTTTCATTACGTTACAAGTACTGCTGCCGGTGGTACCTAGTTTTCGCCACAGCCGTTAATGGTGAACCGGTGACGGCATGCGAAGTGGTAACAACACACCGCACACCCCTGCTGTATAGTTCTCGGATAATGCCGTTAACCGGTTCGCAGTCCGGCTCTAACGGTTAACCGCACCATTCATCTCAAACCCTGATCATTATTCAACTTCTCGGCATCTACATGGCGCTTCCATACGCATTGCAAAAGAAGTTTACAAAACATTGTTCTAAATCTTGTTTGCGGGGAATGTTTGCCGATCGCAACACATTGCCAGGACTTTTCGAGAGATCAGTTGATTTTTCGTATCAACGGGAAGTACAGCAGTACTACTGTCGGTGACTTCGGTTGCATGGTTAGGTTCTCCTTGCATGTCCCAACAACCTGTATTGAACCCAGCGCGACCCGCGCACCCATCTGTCTGATAATTACTAGGCTCCAATGCGCTCTTCTGCCGCTCGTGAGTCGAAGGCAAGGAGCAAATTTGTTAACAGTGGGAGCAGCTATTGTGGATGCGGTGGGCTTGAGGCCGCAACCTGCAGATTAAGCCATAAGTCGGTGCTCCACTCTGGTACTACCGGAGGAGTTACTGATAATTCCTTGTCAGGTTTTTACAGACTTCTCAGCAGCGACTGCCCGGCACTTCAATGTTCCATCAAGTGACTTGCCACCTTCAAGTGAACGCAAACTGAATGAAGTTACGCCGCGGCAACAACTTACTCGGTTTCTGGTCCCTTGGAGCCTGCTCGGTTCCTTCAAACAAATTCGAACCCTGAGCACACAAAATCCGGACACCGAGCCCTCACGGCATTTACAATGAAAAGACCCCTGGCAGACTCTACTCGACTTATCTTCGTTTCAGCTTGATGTCGACCCAAAACAACCCAAGATGCTCAGCATAAAAGCCCAGCGTTCTCTGAGCTTTCCCTCATCAATTCCTCGTCTCATTGTCGAATCATCCCACCTAGCGACCTACATCTTATACAATGCCTTTTTCCACCGATGGAGTGTATACTATCAGAAATATTGGCAGAGCCCTCATGCTCGATCTGAAGGGCGACAGCACCGCTGAAGGCAACCAGATCCAAGGCTACGCCGACAACGGGACCGAGGCTCAAAAGGTATCTATACGCGTTCGCATCCACCTTGCGACCGGTTCTCACACACATCACGTATGCTAGTGGGTGATCAAGAAACAAGAGGAGCCAAGAAACTCCGAGAACACTTTCACCATTCAGACCAGCAACACGGGCAACAATGGTAATGGATTCTTTGCTGCTGCGAAGCAGGTATGCTGGATCGGCATTCATTCTTTCATTTTCTTGTTGGTTGACGCGGACGTGGACAGGATGCGGATGAACCGGTCGTTTATACTAGGCAGGCGTTTCTGGTCGATCTTGTTCCAGGCGTGAACGATATCTATAGGTGAGAATCCGACGCCTCAACGACCTATTTTTGCTAATTTAACGACTCGCATGTACAGTATCAAGTTCACTCTCGGATCCAAGAACCTGGTGCTATCCATTCCAAGCGACGAGGACAGTGCAGTAAGTTGGTGTATTTTCTTTTCCAAAGCCTTTTGCTCATCACGTTCACAAGGTGAGACTCGCGAATTTCAACGCAGCGGATGCCTACCAGCAGTGGGCACTCATCCGTGTCGGTGATCTCCAATCAGTTGGCAACTAGGCACCACCTTGCAGCGGTGTTCAAGGTTGAGCTATTGAAAGTGTTCTCGCATATATGTACTGCGTCTTGTTGTGTCTGCTTCCGTCGTGTATGTGTACGTTATTGATGAATAGGATTGCTTTGGTCTGGCTTTCTTAGGGAGATGAGGCCGTCGAGGAGGATGCGCATAATATGTCCACCACCCATTATGCATTATGTCTTCAGACAGTCATCGTCACGGTCACTAGCCTGAGCGCTCACTGCTCGAGGCATAAGCGGGTACAGCGATGTCCCTATGTCCAACACTCAGGACTGCAAAGATGCTCCTATGATTTGATGGCTGAGAACGGCAGAAGATTTACATAAAAGATCTAAGATGCTTGTTGACCTCTTATCGGCAGTGTCTCCTAGTGTACACTTGATTAACTTGGACGCAAGGGAGCATGGAGAAGATGGTGCGAGCGACAGCTTCATCATCCACTGCGTCAGGGGAGTCCAGATCCAATGCTTGTAGGGAGGTGTGTTGGGATGACTCGGTTGTGGGATCGATGTCCATATGTGCAGCATCAACAAATATTCGCAGTGTTTGCAAGTGGGGGCATAGACGGAGCGCTGCTAATAATCCACGGAATGTAACGTCGGGTGAACGAAAATGGAGGTCCATTAATTCCAGCGAGTTCAACTGGACATGGCTTTGAAAAGAAGGTGGTTGTCAAGATGGCTGCAACAGTGTAAAAAAAGGAGCCGCAGGACTCGTAGTTGCCTGAAACACAATATCTCTCTGATGGGTGTGAACGAGTTGCTTGGGCGCTCCTGGACAAGTGATTCACCGGCGAAGACGTTGATGTATTGAAGGATCTGACATGCTTTGCACTATTACAGTGCACGCAAAAGCAGTTCAGCCTCTGCCCTATGCATAGTATGCACATTGATTTTGACCCCCTTCAGCGAGGGAAATTCAAAGTTACGCATGACTGCGATAATGTATGCTGCGCTGTCTACCGAGAAAGAAGGAGCTATGACCGTGAGGGAGATTGAAATCGCCGCTGCTCAACGGGTAAAGGACTGTCATGAATCCGCGCTGTGAGATCCGCGCTGTGAGGGGGGTAGTGAGCATAGAGAGGTCCTTCCATCATGCCCAGTCGAGCGGTGGACAACGCAGATTTACAAGCCGTTATACACTAGCGAAGAGCTAGAGTATACATCAATGAGTGAGAGTACGAGGTACGAGATACGAACACGCACACCTCAGTAGTTGTTAGGAAACAATACTGAGGTGTTGACCTGGACACGACGATGTAAAGTACGAACGGTAACGCTTAGCCAATAGGACCGGAGGATCGACAGAGTCGTATGGTGCTAATTGGGTCGGAGGATCGACATGCGGTAGGGTTCGCATGGTGCGAGAAGTCCAGGGAGTCAAGAAGTAAGTGAAGTAAGTGGAATTGAAGGTGCAAGATAACGATACCATAACGATAGCGCAAGAATGGTAATACTGAAGCCAACAGCCGCTTGCACAAACGGGCACTAGTACTGTCAGACAGTGGGACACCTCACGTGATGGATCCTCCAAGGCAGCATAACGGACCATAAGACCTTTCAGACACAAGGAAGCAGCATGGGGGATAGGAAGAGATACAAGTATCTGTTCGGATGTAGAGTTTTAATCACTGATAATGACAGCAGTCTGGGGAAGATGCATGTCTCAATAGGAAGAACTGAGATGAGGTGAAAATGGCTGTCGCGGTTTATGGAAATCGAGCGCTGATCGCACACGAGCGGCATGGCGGAAAACCGACGGGTCTCGTGCTCAGATAAGGGATCGTCAATTTGAGAACAGAAGTGCTGCCCTTCAGGACAGAGGGGCTACGTTGAGAATTCACGCGTAACGATATGCTATATTATGAAATAATTGAATATATAGGACGTAGCGCAAATAGTCCACACTCACCTTTTCATTGCCGCCATATATCATTGGATACAGTCTCGTAACACAGCCTGGTTCTATTCCATCCATGTCAGCCCAAGGTAAATCCATTGCAGGCTTGCGGAAGGCTTTGCATGTGCTAGCAAGCGCTGCAAGGGATTTTCAAGACCACGAATTTCTATATTCCGGGTGATTCACGTGCTCGAATATGTTCAGTAGCACAAGTATAAGGAGTGCCGCGTAGTACTTGCAAGTGTTACCGCGAGACGAATGGAATAGAATTGGGGTGGGCAGAAGTGAACTTCAAAAGTTTGGCTCACAGTGCGAACCAGTAGTCCGGTCAACGATGTGGAATTGCGACTCGGAGTTCGTTGGATCCGAGTAAGTAGTACTTACCAATCGGCATCCAATGTTGGCCTCAGGCTATGCTGGCTCATACTTGGACAAACAATCATCATAGTCGCAATCGATTCCCCTTGCACTCCAGCAGCTAGTCGGGCTCGTGAAGCTCCCCTGCCGCCGCATCAGCTGGATATACCATTTGTGTACACCAGGCCACTCATCAACGCGTAAGTCCAGTAAAATTGAAGTGTTCTTGCTTGTAAATAAACTTGAGGATACATAGCAAGTGGTCCGATTTTGCCATAGACTCGCTGGCAGAAGAAATGGGCGAAGGTTGCGCAGGCAAGATATCTGTAGATGAACAACAAGGTTTCCAACACAGCAGCGAAAATGCTGCTGTCATAATTGCCGGGTGTTGACCTCCGTGCTGATCAGAGGATTCCTCGCAGGAATTTCCTGTGAATACATTCTTTGGTTTTGAGAGCTGCCAAATTTCTGGTTGATAATTACTTGATAATTACCCAACCTGCGATTGCCGTGGCCTGTCGCCACTGTGACAACCGCGGACTTGGCGGAGGGTGCGAAACTCGAACTCACGAATCACGATTCACGAAAGTCTCACCTCCCCCTCCCTGCCAGAACCAGTGGCCGTCAGTATGGACGAAGCCTCAGCTGGAGGTTTGATCTCATATGCAGTCAAATGCCCAGTTCACGGTCATCGATTCGTGCCGGGAGTTCAATTCGGACGCTAGGCTGCGAATCTTCTCAAGTTTTCCGTCCAGTATGACAATCGTGCGATTCGTAAGATGGCGTGAACGACTCACCTAACCCAACCTAATCACTATCTTCTTGACGCCGTCACACCATGGATATCGAGCAGTATGTCTTTTGCACTGATTTTCCTAATCTCATGGTATTTACGCATATCTGACATACCACAGATTCCGCAGAGCCGGTTATCAAGCCATAGACAGAATATGCGACTACTATATCTCGTTAAGGGATAAGCCTGTTTCGTCCCAGGTTGAGCCAGGGTATCTCAGAAGGGCACTCCCAGGTGTTTACTTTCCTTTCTGGCTCGTGCTCTCCGTCTGACCATTCCCATTCCAGCGTCTGCCCCCATAGAGGGCGAGGACTTTCAACTCATCGCGGATGACTATCAAAAGTACATCATTCCGGGTAATTGACTCTGATTTTCCACAAATTCACCAACCTCATTCGGATTGACAGGCCTGACACACTGGCAGCATCCTTCGTTCTTTGCCTATTTCCCTACGGCATGTACATTCGAAGGCATACTTGGAGAACTATATGCGTGTAGCGCCTCCACCCCGGGGTTCAATGTGCGTTTTCTCCACCCAAGTCTGCCACAATCTTTGTGACTGTTGTAGTGGTCTGCGAGTCCCGCATGCACAGAACTAGAGGCTGTAGTCATGGACTGGACCGCCCAAATCCTCGGACTTGACAAGTCGTTCTACAACACTACTGAGGTCGGCGGTGGTGTCATCCAGGTGTGTTTCTCATTCCCTCCCCCCGTCACCAAATCTTACTGATCCCTGTGCCATGCACAAGACATCAGCATCTGACTCTGCGTTGATTGCAGCTGTCGCCGCACGTTCGCGATATATTCGTGAGCATCCTCACGTGGCTATGGAGAAACTTGTGCTCTACACTACGACCCAAACGCACTCGCTAGGGAAGAAAGCCGGACTTGTCCTAGGTCTGAAAGTGCGCGCACTGGAAGTGACAGCAGAAGATGACTTTGCACTGCGTGGAGAGACGCTAGAAGTGGCGCTGAAGGAAGATGTGAATGCTGGGCTCCACCCTTTCATCCTAGGTATGTTTTACCAATGGATTGCATATCGTGGAGTTCACGTTGTTCGTTTGTGTAAGTCGCTACGATTGGGACAACGTCTTCCGGTGCTGTTGATCGGCTCGGCGAGATTGCTGACGTTGGTGCGAATACACATACTTGCATGTCTTGATTAGAACTCATCTCTACACGCAGCGAAACATTACCCTTTCCTGTGGCTACATGTCGATGCCGCATGGGCAGGCGTCGCACTTGTGTGTCCTGAATATCGCGAGGCATGCCAACTTCCCGCCGTCAATACTTATGCAGACTCATTCTGTACCAATTTCCACAAGGTTTGTTCCTGTCTCATAATGTCAGCCTAGAGCCTGAAATTTTGATACTCTGCAGTGGGGTCTAATCAATTTCGATGCCTCCTGTTTGTGGGTACGACACCGGAAACACTTGACCGATGCACTAGACATCACGCCTGAGTTTTTGCGGTCGAAACAGGGGGATGCTGGTGTGTATCTGCCACTGGTGTTTATTTCTTGGGTCGATGTTATTGACAAAATGAACGTCGGCTTTGTCTAGGCACTGTCATTGATTACCGCAACTGGCATCTTGGCCTCGGCAGACGGTTCCGATCGCTTAAATTTTGGTTTGTTCTCCGTTCCCGTGGGGTTAATGGGTTCCAAAAGTATATAACCGACGTATGTGAAGTATTGATGGTGGATTACAATGACTGACATTTTGTCTTACCTCACCAGTGCACTAAACTGAACGCCCGGTTCGCAGAGCGCATCCGAGAATCTGATCAGTTCTGCTTCGTTGCGAAACCGTTCCTGGCACTGACAGTTTTCAGGCTTGCGCCCAAGTCCCATCCTCACCTCACGACTCTCGAGTTAAATGCTCTGAACCGGGCATTTTACGCACGGCTTGCAGCGCGGAGCGATATTGCAATTACGCAGACGGACTTGAATGGCCTGTTTTGTGTGAGGATGGCAATTGGCGCTGAGAAGACTGAGGAAATGGATGTTGATAGGGCATTGGATGTGATTGGGCAAGAGGGACGGACTGCCTTGAGGGAGTGGGAGAGAACATGGGGACTATAAGTTAGTCTGTGACTGGTTCCATTGGTCAATGCGTTGATAAGGGATATCCTAGGATATAGCTGGGCGTTGAGCTGTTCTGAGAACAAGATATTGATAGGCTAATAACACAGTGTAAGGCACTGATTAGAGATAAAACTCAGAATGTGGTTCTGTCTCGCACGATTCTCTGCTTCGAGCTTCATTGGGTCTACTTATACACGCGGCGTGTCCTCGCAGGTTCTCGCATGATCTTGTGACAGCTGGCGCACTCAAGGCCTAGGCAGGGTCCCTGAGTACTAGTGTTTCGCAATCATGATGCAGATCGCCGGATTCGGGCTCGCAATAAGTTGCCTTCGTTCAAGTCTGTTCGAGCGCTTGCCAACGCCGCCGTGATGTTGGACAAAATGATGAACCTGTGGCAAACCCTGGCAAACCAGGACCAAGGTTAACGTTATAACTTGTACTTACCCGCTGCCAGCGGCCGGTGGCAACAGTCCAAGTGGAGAAATCCAATAATCCGTTTTAGGCAAATTAATAACCGCCGAGGCACAAAAGTCGTCTGACCCTTTTATGAGCCGTGATGGAGACCATGAATGGTCCTACGGTCTAAATACATAATCGTCGCATCTTTTCGTACCATTTCTTTTTGACCACCATGACCATGTCGACGAGCAGGCATACTCCCTTGGATATTTGCTCACAAGCCAACGACGAACATTGCCAGCTGAGCGTGCGCTTCAACGACCAATGCGTCCTCATCCCTAAGTATCCTCCCCGTCACCGTCTACCAAGGATGGTGACAAAGTCTTATTCTTTGCCGTTGTGGAAGAGGCGTTCGTCGAACTCAGGCGGGCCGTCATCGTCTCCGGAAACAGATGCTTTCGTGCCAGAAGATAGTCATGTCGTTCTGCGAGTTCCAATTCCTAGGTCAGTCTACCGGTTACTAGTGAACTAATTCACGGCTGAACACCGAGATGTGGGACAGTTTCTCCAGTAAAGCGCAATCTCCCACTTGTACTCGTAATTCAGGCCCTAAACCGCTCTCCCCTTGTCTGGTTCAACGGTCTCCATCTGGTGTTTCTGCTATCTCACAGGCAGTCCCCAGGTCTCCCCAGAGTCTACGACGCCCAACACGCACAGCGTCATTGTCGCCTTCTCGCTCAGATCTCATCACCGTTCCACTGCGACCATGCTGCGCGGGGTGTGAAGCTGTGACGGAGGCGTCTTTGTCCCAGGGAGATACTTGGACGGAACACTTCTCTCGGTCCGCACGCAGACGGCGCTCTCTTAGCGCAGATGAGGGACCGCGGACCATCACAGTCGAAGGGAGCGTCGCCGCTGCATCCTTTGGGCTCTGTCGTAGTGCTCCGATCAGCGTGGATGAGGTTGATAAGCGTCGGCGGTCAATCGACTTGGTGACGGCGCCAACATGGTTGAACGAGGAGGGAGAGAATGTCGTGGTTAATACGGAGCGCTCGTCATCGCCACCGCGCATACCGAACTTCACTGTGCCGTCTACTCCTCGGATACCGGAGGAAGATGATGCCGAGGATGACGAAGACCAACTCTTCCCTCTCCCGTCGCCTCGTCGGTCGCCTGGGACATCCCCAGCACCGAGCCCGTCTGCTTCTGCATCGTGCATCGGGCTTGGCAGGCCGAGTGGGAGCCCAGTGCCGTCGAATTCATCGTCGGTCAGCTTAGGTACAAAGATGAATAAAGGCCACTTCCTTGTACCACCTGTTTCAAGGTCGTCTTCATCTCTTTCACTTGCAAAGACAGCTGAGTCCGATGAAAATTTACCACGTGCACCATCGCCTCATGTCCTTGCCACGGCTGCCTCGATCTCCGCGCGCCCTTTCAGTCGCTCCCCATCGCCGCAGACCACATGCGCTCCCTCCATTTCAATGCCCTCGTCTACTTGGACAGAGGGGCTCGGTGCACGTCTAGATAGAGAGCAACCACCACTCACTGTTCCCTCCTCTGCCTGTACTCCCGTGTCCACTTCTTTTCACACGCCAAAGGGTTCTGCATCACATAATTCCACACGTTCACTTGTTCACTCCTCACCATCCACCTCGCCGAACCTCTCGACTTCCCTGCATAAAAGACGTCACGCCTCATTGTCATTAGCTCGCCCCCGGCATATTATTGCCGATGTCCTTCGCGGGGTGGGTGTGGTAGGAAGTGGGACTAGTGGTATCGGGCTCCGTGTCTAGCTAGCGTTATTTTCCGTGTGCCAGCCAAACAGTTGTCGGGCCCCTTGGATGTTCCCTTGTTTTCGCTGGTAAATTTCTGTGCAAAGTCCTATTTTTTTTGGTCCATTTTGATTCACAAGTTTCTCATCCATTCGGCGCGCGTTCTCACACTATTAGTACTGGCATGCATATACTGCCCCTTCCTCCATTTCGCGCTCCATTGTATCATCAATCCAAGTTATCTCTTCTCTCGTGTGTTTAGGTGTGTATTTATTTACTGGTTCCTGGTCGTGTCTCGCTCACGCGTCCTTACAGTACATTCATCCATACCCGATTATATGATACTGTTGTGTTAATGCAGAAATTTACTGCTTTTTGTCACATGGACTTGTGCTGAGTGAAGAACATTTCAGGATAATTATTTGCGCCCTTGCTACTCGCATCGAAGAGAGGCACATCCATGTGGTGACCTATGGGGTAATATGAAAGACGATTGTACACATTTGAGGCGCGGTCAATTGTGACCAAGCTAGGTGTTTGCCATTGCCAAGGCTGGGGCGATTACAGATTAAGTTCCTGGGCTTGTGCTAAGGGGGCACCACGGATCCGTACTGTACCTTATATGCACTGCACGTCACACGTCACAATCAAGTGATCAATTGAGAAGGCACGATGCTCATCCAGCAGGATGATTTCTACGTATGTAGAATTAACTTGGAATTAATAGACTGTCGGAGTCCCCCGTGACCAAGTATATAACCATCAAGTGACCTTGTCCAAGGAGGAGATAAAGGATGGCCCGACCGACCTGTCCTGTCAATTTTAATTTTGCCATTGACTCTGAGTCGAAATAAGGTTAAAATACCTCCAGAAGAACGTACGTGTAGGTGTCCACTGGCTCAAAAATTTATGTGGAGTGCCGGACACCGCTGATATCTGCAGTCTTGCAAGATTGCAAGATTCGAGGCGCGTCGGGTCACGGGTGATGTCACAGTCACGGTGTTATGCGACGCGAGCGCGCCTGGGCCTGAATATTGTTGACTGCCAAATTTGTCTCTTACTGCAAGCTCTTGAGTCTTGACGTTTGTCTACAACTTTCTGTAAGTCTTTGCTGCCAACGAGACGATGACAATGCGCCAGCTACCTTGTATGTATTCATTGCGCGTAGTCTGGTGCTCCTTATAATTGACCTGTATCAGTACGAGTGCTTTACACAGTCAACAGCTGTCCTCAATACATTCTTGCACGGTCCCCATCTTCTGTGCAGGTTACTCTTTGCCCATCTCCATCTGCTGCAAATGCGCAGTACGGCCTGGCACCACTTAAAGCATGCTTAAATGCTATCTGCAACTCAAGGTATGTATTCACGTATGACTTTCGTTCCATGGACCCACCGCTTGGCAGCCCAGAGCTTCTCCTGGATGATTCCAGGGACTTTTCTATATACGTCCTGGATCCATTGGAATCGCAAACCATGCCAGCCCCTGTGGACTTTTCCCAATCGAACGCGGCGTCTGCTTCAGTCTCGCAAGCAGCCCAACCGCGAGGAGTGGCCGTTGCGCTGGGGCTGATGTCGTGGGCGCTCACAGCCGACGAATCAGACGGCGTGACAGTTACTGGTACAATTACAACGCTTGGCACCGGCCTTGATGCCCTCGAAGTGGTCTTCGCTCTCCGAGAGGTAATTATTCACAGCTTTCGTTGCATCCGATTTTGACCGATAGTGTTATCAGACTAAACACATCCAGAAATCTCACCTCTCCGACGCTCTAAAATCTTGGAGCCAGCCACCCAAGACGTCGCACCCAAATAAATCATTTACACCTGCCGAACCCACTAACTCCGAAGCCCCACCGTCGTCACAAGAACAAGGGAAACCTCTCACCAGATCCGCCGATTTTCCCGAGGTTTACATCGGACCTCCCAAACGCGGTCGGGGCCGCCCTGAGGGGACGAAGAAGAAGCCCAAGCAATCGAAAACACAAAAACCTCATGTATGGCCAGCAGCACCACCATTTATATGCGCGCCGCTCGTACGACCACAGCAGCAAGAGGTGGAAGCAGCCCCTGCCCATACACCTACTTCTTTACTTACATTACTGTCTGCCCTGTCTACTGGGAGAAACAATACAGCCCTTCTGGCAGCTCTTTCGACGGTAGATTCGACACCGTCGGGATCTGAGCCGAGCCCAGCTCTACTAAATGCACTTAGGGATTTGCTGGCAGCACAAAGTCAAAATCAGCAGCAACCGTCCCACGCGCTGCAGCCTGTCTCGCGGAACAATCATGATGACGATATTGTTATACTGGAAAAAGAGCACGTGGATCCGACTGCGTTCCGACGACGGGTGGAAAGGGAGGACTCGAGCAATTTAGTCACGACCACTGCGGATGAGTCGGAAACAACCCCTCTGCGCCAGCGTCGTGCCCACATTCCATCTGGCGGAAAAGAGAATACACATTCATCCCCAGTGACTCGCAAGCGCAGGCTCAGTGATTTCATGGCGGAACAGGAAAACAATAAAGCACGAAGGAAACGCACACACGCTCGGCCGGAATCCAGGCGAACATCGGGCTCCTTTGAAGTGCCCCAACCAACAATTCCTCCAGGCCATCACCGCACCGTTCGCTCAGACTTTGACTCAAGTGTATCGTCTGAAATGGCCACCAGCTCTTCGCTTTTCCGTCCAAGGTCATCTCCTTCCAGGCCGATGTGCCGCTCTGTATCCGAATCCCAGTCCTCCTTCGCCATACCGCATTCGACGCAGGCACCTGTAAAGCCCGTCAAGAATTTCATCGTACCAGAGTGGGCACGTACGAGTACCGCTACCCTACCCAAGCTCTCGAAGGAGGCTGAAGAACGTATGGCACTGGTGGAGCAGGAGAAAAAGGAGAAACGCGCTGGACGGCGATCGCAGAAACCAGGATGTTGGCAACAAGGTGCCAGAGCACCGACCGACCTGTCTTCGGAGGACGGATATATCTCTAGTACGATGGTACACGTACCTGCTAAAGAGGCAACCATGCCGCGTCTGCAGAGTGCTCTTTCACTCTCCTTGCCTGTTTTTGCATCCAACGTATCTATATCGTCTCCCCTTTCGCCTTCCTCCCCTGTGTCAGAGTCACCTCCGGCACCCAGCACACCTCCGCGCAAGACATCAGTTTTGCGTGTTACGCCACGAAGCCTTGGACCTGACGGTGCTTCACCACTGTTCAGCCCAACTCCCAAATCATTTTGGGGGTAGCGCTGGAAGGACGCCGCACTTTACCTCCCATCCCCGCACACCTTCACGTACGGGAAAGAAGCCTGTCTTTTCTCCTATCCACCTTCGCACACCATCTATGAAAATGTCTCCGCTACGACTCGGACTCAGACCGCGCTCATCCCTCGAATGGGCTAACAAGTCAGTCGAGAAGCCCGTCGACCGCGAGGAAGAAGATATGCTCGGCAGGGAACTCGACGATGCGCTTCAGGGGCTAGATGTTCCAGCGGTCAAGCAGCAGGACACGGCGGACGCCATCGAAACTGGCGAAGACAACATAACGTTACCTCTATCTCCCCTTCCTCCCTCTTCCCCACTCCCGCCTACAAGTCCTTTGCTACTTCCTTCCACAGAGGATTCCATGGAAGAATTTATCGACAGCGACGCGTTCTTTAGCGACTCGGATGGAATACCGGGGGACGCAAGCGAGCTTCCGCCGTCTTCGATCTCGGATTGGTTTTCGTCGGATGATGATGGTGGAACGGGCATGGGCGAGTTGCTGACCTTGGACGAATCTTCAGGCCTGGATCTTGAAGGTTCTTTTCCACCGAATGCGTTCGCTGATATGGACTTTACGGAGTTTTGGGAGTCGCTTAAGCCTCTCCTTCAGGCAAGCGCAGGTGGGGAGGGGGAAACAACTGTCAGCACGGACTCTGGAGCCACAATGAATGGTGTCGATGTGGACCCTGGAAAGCTTGCTCAGGAGGTACAGGTGCTTTTTAGTGGGTACCTGATGTGACAATATGGACGCGTACTACATTGCGAGAAAACAGTTCAAGCAGAAAGCTCATCTACGAAATCACGCCTCGATCACGCAAATGCCTAGATACATTCAACTCTATGAGGCAATCAATATATATTAAGTAAAAAACGTGGACTCGCAATATGTCGCGAAATGTGTGAGACACTAGTATGTATATTGTGAGCTCGTGCCACTTCATTGATCATGTGTCACGCGGCCCGGAAGATACGCCTCAGAGTAGGCACAGAAACGGGCATTAGTACTCCACGAGGATACTGCTGAAGCCTGAGAAATGGGAAGTCGTTGTAGAAACTCGATGATACTCAAAGAATTTAAGTAGGATTCTAGACATCACGGTGGACGAGCCAACATCACCAAACTCGTCGAAAACGGAAAGTGCAACCGGCGGCACTAACTGAGGAATGGTTGGAAGAGACGAAGACGAAGTATAATGCATATCGCGATTTAATCGTAGAATACGAACAGCTGAGACGACAGAGGCATAATTCACAACCACAGGAGAATGCGTAAAAGACGAACCAGAAACCACGATAAAATGGGCATTGGGTACAAGGATCATACGTTGTGGACTAATGGCAGAATGTGAAGCAAGGAGATGAGCAAAACAATAAGAAAAAAAGGCAAACAATAATAGATAAAACATTGGCGGCCTGGGCTCATGGACATTTTTATCCCCAGGTCTGTACCCTTGTGGAGTTCAGGGATATTAGCATACAAGTGTTCTCTTCTCATCTTCCCTTTGAGAATACGAGCGGGAAATGTGCCCTCGTTGCGACCTGCAGCGCGAATGATTTTCTTGTCTGCTTCTGTCATCGCAGTCCGTAAACGCAACTGGTTTTGCCTATCCCCCCGAATATGCACATTGATATACCTATGCAAGGTAATGGTAAGGGGCTCCACCGCAAAAATCCAAGAAATAATAACGGATAACCTACTCTAGACACGCCACAGCGCTCATAGGTTGCTCGAACTGAACACCCGTGATAGCAGAGACACGTACGAAGGGCTCACGTTTCCTCGCCATGTCAAGGGCAATGGTGGGGATGTGTAAACCAACGGTTACTCCGTTCTTCCAATCCCCCGTACAACTACCATCGACGAAGTCTACGAGTCCAACAGGATCTTTGGCGAAACCCTCTGCGTTATACTTCGCTCGAGCCTTACGCCATAAGTGTAGCCGCTGCGGCGTGAGGGGGCGCATCAGACTCGGGTACCATGGAGTGACGGCGTTAATTTGCACCATCCCTTGAAGCTTCTCCCCGATGGACCTGTCATCGAGATACAATCCAATGAAATCAAGAATGTCACTCGGCTCGATGCCAATGTCAACACGTGCTATGAACGGCACGTCGAATCCGATCCCGAGATTGTCGAGTAGGCCACAGTCGATGATAATACTAACTTTGAGGTACCCCATGAGCAATGGGTTTGAAATGAACATTCGTATGAATTTAAGTGACCCAGATGAGCGATCGGTTTCGTGGCACGTAGGTTTGTGGGTTGGCCTATCATAACGAGCGCGAGTCGAGTCCAAGCCTGCAGTGAGGCTTGACTCGTGCCAATCATAGCCAGCACTCTTACCAGTTTTTCTTTTGACACTAGACACGACGTCAGCGCTTCAGACTTCAGTTTCAATTAGCCGCAAATGCAACCTTTTTTGAGCAATACCAGACACTCTTACACTAGAAACCGATATGTGACCTCGATGAACACCCGCGCATAATCGAGTACTACATACCTTTGAGCATTTCCAAGGTTTCTCCACTGTCGTTTGGCACTGTGTACATTGTAGGAGAATATGCTTCTTGCGCGTTTTGAGGCATTCACTGGAAGCTGCTACAGACTGGAATTCCTTGTCAGCATCTGGATGGATCACGTGTATGTGGAAGGCTTTTGGAGCCGCAGCAGAGGATTTGTTCGTGTTAGTACTCATGTTCTCGTAAAAGTGAACTTGAAGGGCAGTTTGTGTGAAGGATGTCTGCAGGTCACCGTAATCGAAGGTGCGTGAAGTAATACTCCCTCATTGTGAACATGTGCCAGTAACGTTTCAAATTTCAGGCCCAGGCAAGGCCTAGTGCCAGAATTCCAGAAATTCTGTTGTGTTCGTAACAGCAACACGAGACCCAAATCCGTTCTATAGGCCGCAGGCGTCTATTCCTTTCCTGTCTTGCTCCTATAATTGAATTATCTCAGTAACGCCGCTCACGGGGCAAGTCCGCGACTCCGGCTCGTTTGCACTTTTCTTTCTGCGGCGAGATTCTTTAGATTCAGACTATTCCCAGTCTACAGCTGGGTGTCACTTGATACAACTGAGAATATTCTTGCAATCCAACGAACACTGAATAACTCATCCTCCAGAACCCATACAGATACACAGATATACTCTTTAGCAGTAGGTCTATTCCCTCGCAAAGATGTTTCCAGCGACATTGTCTGCGTTCGACGTGATTCCTGCAATTTCGGGAATCAAAGCATTTGGTAGGTGCGTGTACTAATGGATGTTCCCGAAAGAACGTGTACCCCAAGTGCTGGGGCACCCACAGGCATGTCCGTAATGAGATTGTACGTTTCACGAAACCGCCCTGCAGGTGAGATGAAGAGATCTGGTCCAAGCTGATTGACCCATTGAGTCACTTGGAGTTGCGAGATGTCGGTCACTGTCTCCACGTGCGGAGTTCTCGTGCTACTGAGAGTCATACTGCGGTGAGTGGCGACAAAAGTAGCAATACGATGTGGGCGCAGTCACAAAATCAGGGCAGACGTTGTTATAGTTGTTATAGCCACAATAATAAGGGTCTTGGCTACTGGAGACAAAAAAAAATTCGGTCGGAAGCATAGCCGAGGCGACATTGACGGGGCAGGGAACCAGCAAGGAGCGAGAAAAGGTTGTCGAAGAGCGTAACGAAAGAAGGTGGGTGAAGTGTTGAAACAGGTTTGTGCGATGGAAGGGGTCACCGGGCACGAGCGGGGATTGAGACTAATGGCGCGGTTACAGCCAGAGACACGACGGGGCAAACGGCATTATCCGAGCAATAGGGAAGGATAAAGTTAAGCAAGAGGCGAGTTATCCCCGGTAAATTGCAATTGGGTTCTGTAGAAAATATGTAAGTGTCGGGGGACTGGCGCGACCAAGCTAGACAGCTGGTCATGCCCGTCTACGACCGAGCGCCGTTACGATATTTAGAACGTAAGGAATTAATGCGCAAAGTCCTGACAGGGATAATCACAAATTGTGTTATGATTGGACAACGAAGCTGAGTGAACGCCATCGAAACTTTAACTGACAGTACTTGCAAGTCTCTAGATCTAGGATATTCCCTTCTACATATCCGTCTTCTGCTACTCTCTGCAGCGTACGTACGTACACGATGTACATTGTATATGGTACATTGAACAACAATAAATTTATTTATCGAAGACTCATCATCAACAACTCCGGACCTTCGATTCCTTCCGAGGCTCTGTATCTACTAAGTCAAGAAGCTCATACAACTCGAGCTCGGCATCTGAACCCCGAATGGCCGTTTTATAGAAAAGATCTTGGCTATTCCTCAGCGCGAGAACAGTCGAGTAACTCGCTGATGACAATGCGGGTGAATGAATCAGTGGCAGACATTGAGTGCATCGTTTCCTCAGAGGAAATCATTTCCTCTTCAACAAGTTTGAGTGTTTTCTGCGAGCTAACTTATCCCTCGCCTCTCGAAGGCGATGCTGCGCTGCTTTGCTTTCTGCCAATGTAGCATCCGAGTCTTCAATTGTTTCAGTGGGCTCTGCAAGGGCTCTGCTTTCCCATCGTATTACTGGCACTTAAGCCGCTTCTTGACTCGGACGTTGCAGTCTCAGAATTGGCAGAAAACGACGAACTCCATCAACTTTCCCACGAATTGCGGTCAACAGCTGTGCAGTACTTGTGGGACCTTTTAGCTCACTGACTTGACCGGCAGAACACTGTTTTAGATGGCTGGCTTGTCTATCCTTGTCTGAGTTCGAGCAACCAGACCTTACCTGCCCTCCAGGTTAATGCAACAAGTTGATAACAGAAAAGCTATATTTGTTAGGAACGCAGGGCGTTCGTTGACATTGAAGTTGAACGCTAGTCCATCGAAATACCTCCTCGTACGGAGCTCAGCCGCTCAGCGTTCAGGTCCATTGCTTCCCTCGCATCACCTCTTGATAGATCTAGCTGGACCACCAATTCTGAACAATTCACTTGGCAACTCGCTTCATTCCACCGCCTCCAATAGCTCTTAAGCACGGTCTTCAGAAAGCTGTCCTCAACCTCCACATGGATTCAAGGCTTCACCAATGGGAAACTGTACACTGCGCATTCGAAATTTTTATGTCGGCGGACGTGCAAATTGTGTTCACCACTGCAACGTCGAAGAAAAAAGTTGTAACAGAGTTTGCCAATCTACAACTATTGACGGCATCATCCGCAGGCGAACGATGTGCTTGTAGTATGTATGATGCGTCATACTTTCCAGTGCTCTGCTCTACCTGTATAGTCATCACTGAGTGATGCATTACTCAGCTGCTCTGTTCGTGACCTCTCCGACTGGTCATGCATCATGGATCTGGCCGCCTTCACATGTACCCCACACTTGCCGTAATACCGCCTGGTTCTTTCATGCTTCCTGCGCCTGCTGTCACTCATTCACCCTGTTAGGCCATCAGCGCCTTTACTATATGACATGTTCGATTCCAGGGGCTACGCCTAACATAATGAACGTCCGACCAGATTCAACCGAGCAGCTGACAGGAGCCTAGGCACACCCGAGTCTGCGACAGACTTACCCTGGGCTAGAGTGTCCATTTCCCAGACGTTCTCGATGCAGAACCTTCTAGCGGAAATTATTGGCTGAGAACTAAGGTACATGTTGGCTTATGACATCACATAAATGTAGTGCAGGGAAGGGTGACAGCAGGAGGACACTGAAGGGGAGTGTGTGCAGCTCGGGAAGCAGCACGGTGTTCATGGTCACCCTGGGTCCATTGGCAGGAAAGTTGAAGCGAGTAAATGGGAACAACTTTTGCAGCAGGTCGATGCTAGCTGAGTCGGAGTGCTGTGGCCAGACTCGGAGAGTGCCGCTGTAATGTGACCATGCGCTGGACATCTGACGGTGGACCTGACTGGATAGGCCTATAGGTAGCTTCTCTAAGATGTTTCGAAGCAAGCCTGATGCGATCAAAGGAAGCTGTCAGGACACAAGTCAGATGCTTTGGCTTCTTGGATCTTCAACTGACATATCAATTGACAATCCAAGAAGCCAATATATGAAATTATGGCTTAGACGCTCGTCGGCGTAATTGCAGTAAGTGCTCGCGTAACTTATAACGTGACTTTTATAACTAAGTCTACCGTGCAGCTCGTCGCAAATATTAACGTGTTTAGCCTATCAGCACTGGGCTGTCGCGGTCGTGAGCCATAGCTCTTTTTATTCCCAGCTTTTTAGGGAATTCGACATTTCAAGATTTCTTGATGGAGTTCTTGTTCGGCCCATCACGCACAAGAACTTCCAAGGTCCGATGAATAGGATTGAGCTTTACGCCTGTCATGCACCTCCTGACCAGAGAGCCAGGAAAAATTGACACACAAAAACCGCCGCACTGCCGTTTGTCCCTATCTTTCATCCATCGACCCCTGTACTGTCAATTGAATCCAGGCTGTGATAATAACGGCACCAAGGCGGAGACCTTCTAAGACCTTCTACTAGGATTGGGAAAGAATGGTACGCAAATTCAAAGGACCGAGTTAGTATTGTCATGCTCAGTCTTTTCACTCATATTTGTAGTTCCTATTGCCATAATGTCTGTGTTCTTACCGCCCCATATTGGCCCCATCTGTCGAAAATAGCTGAGGTGCTCAGTATAAAAGCCCAGCGTTCTCTGACATTTCCTTCATCAGTTCCTCGTCTCATTTAAATCATCCTACTAGCGACCTACATCTTATACAATGCCTTTTTCCACCGATGGAGTGTATCATATCAGAAACACCGGCAGAAACCTCATGCTCGACCTGACGGGCAACAGGACCACTGAAGGCAACCAGATCCAAGGCTACACCCCAAATGACAGCACGGCTCAACAGGTATCTATACGCGTTCGCACCCACTTTGTGACTGGTTCTCACACACATCACGTATACTAGTGGGTGATCAAGAGACAAAACGAGCCAGGGTCCGCCAACATGACTGTCAGCATTCAGTCCAACAACGAAGGCAACAATGGTAATGGATGCTTTGCTACTGCGAGTGAGGTATGCTGGATCGGCATTCATTTATTCATTTGTTTTTTGGTTGACGCGGACGTGGGCAGGATTCGGATGAACCAGTCATTTATACCAGGCAGGCGTTTCTCATTAACCTTGTTGGACGCGCGGACAACACTTTTACGTGAGAATTCGACGTAGTTCTCAGCAACTTATTTTTACTGATTTAACGACTTGCATGTACAGTATGTGCTATACTCTCGGGAACAAGGACCTGGTGCTATCTATTCCAAGTGCAAAGGACGGTGCAGTAAGTTGGTGGTTCTTTTTTTCAAAGCCTTTTGCTCATAACATTCATAAGGTGAAACTCGAGAATTACGAGAAATCAAGTGCCCGCCAGCAGTGGGAACTCACCCGGGTTTCTAATCTCCAGCCAATTGGCAACTAGGCACCACCTTGCAGAGGTGTTTAAGGTTGAGCAAAGTGTTCCCCGCATATGTACTACGTCTTGCTGTGTCTGCTTCTGTTGTGTACTAGTCTGTGTAACATTGATGAATAGGATTGCTTTAGTCTGGCTCTCTTAGGGGGATGAGTGAGTAGAAGATGGCCATCGGTGAACCGTTCGAGGAGGGTGCGCAGATCACGCAAGCAAGTAATGCGCAGCACATATACACCAGTATACACCACCCATTATTTACTACTTAGTGTGTAGCCATTGTCACGGTCACCAGCGATCACATGCACAGTGAGGCATAGACTGGTGACTAGCCCCTCTATGAGGCAAGCCGTCGAATCTCGATAGAGGACTGGTAAAACTGGGTTTGAATTTGGATGCTGAGCGCTGAGCGCTGAGCCGTGAGGCATACGCGACGTGCCGATCACGTGGCGCCGAGATTTGAGAATGACTTCCGAGGACCGAGTCCAAGGAAACCCAGCACAGCTGTATGCCACTACCTCTCTGCATCCTGCCTATGACCCCTGACACCAATTCCGCGCGCGCTCCTTCAACCTGCAGCCTAGTTGTGCCGTCGCGGCCGGCTTTTTTCAGAACAGCGCATCACGACCAGGCGGCACGTCCGCGTCAAGATCTAGCGCCAGATCCCCTTCGCGCTCGTCGTCGACATCTCCTTCCTCATTCTCTACTTAGTACCATCAATCCTCGTTGCCTCTTCCTTACCACTACCTGGCGCCAGGCGCCTTCGTATTTTTTCTCCAGTGATTTTCACTGCATCGTGAATTTTTCTTATCCTCCCTTACAGTCCCACCTCGTGTATACTACCCTAGTCAGTATGTAGAATACATACATATCCCTGTCAAATATTGGTAGTCATAATTTGTATTTTGTATCCTCATCTCAGTGCTCACTCAGTAAACCAAAAGACACGAAAATTTAAGTTGGTTGATAGTTAAAATTTCATGATATATATGTAAAGAACAGAATACTGTCAGGGAGAGGCTACACTACTAACTCAAGTTCTGTAGGGAGAGAGTGGGACACGAGGATGAGGAAGCCAAGTTGGTGTATGGAGATTCGAGAAGTGGGGGTTGGGCGCAGAATTGGGAGCAGCGGCGGTTTCTGTTCGAGTTGGGCGGCATCAGAGCTAGCAGCACCAAGTGGGGAATGTGGTTATCGAGTATTGGTTGGGTAGCTCGACGATGGGCGTTTACATAAGCTTGAGTTCTTTTGCCACTGATGTAATTGATGCATTCAGGGACTTGTGTTACCCTGTTGGGAGCCGATCTACTTCGGAATGATAACAGTGCACTACACACTCCTGGATAGGCCTATAAGGTACTTCTCTAGGATGTTCCGAAGCAAGCCTGATGTGACCAAAGGAAACTGTCAGGACCAAAGTCACGCGAACTGTGGTCGGTGCCAGATGCTTCTTCAACTGATATGTCAGTTGGCGATCCAAGAAGCCAATATTAATATATGAAATTATGGCTTGGACGCTCGTCGGCGTAATTGCAGTAAGTGCTCACGTAACTTATAACGTAACTTCACTACTAGGGTTCGGCGTTGCCGACTTTCACCTTGCTCCATTATTATGTATATGATTATTTTATTTTAATTTTTGGTAAGAACAGAACCCTTCACGATTGAGATAAACAGGCAGAGAAAGGTTGGCCGGGTGAGGCGCACTCATTAAGAAATCGGACAGCCTGGTTTAAGTTGGCTGAAAAGCGAAGCGTTGAACGACAGTTTACGTAATCACATAAGTTTTAACATCTCAACCTGACCTTGCGGAGCAAGGTGAAGTCTACCATGCAGCTCGTCACAAATATTAATCTGTCTAGCATCAGCACTGGGCTGTCGCGGTCGTGAGCCATGGCTCCTTTTACTCCCAGCTTTTTAGGTAATTCAGCATTTCAAGAGTTTACCGGATTTCTTGATGTAGTACTTGTTCGGCCCATCACGCACAAGAACTTTAAAGGTCCAATGAATATGATTGAGCTTAACGCCTGTCACGCACCTCCTGACAAGAGAGCCAGGAAAAATTGACACACAACAACTTCGAATATCCGCCATGCTGCCACTAGTCCCTATCTTTCATCTCCGTCGACCCCTATCCTGTCGTTTGAATCCTGGCTGTGATAATAATGGCACCAAGGCGGAGACCTTCTACTAGGATTGGGAAAGAATGGTACGCAAATTCAAAGGACAGAGTTAGTATTGTCGCGCTCAGTCTTATCACCCAGATTTGTAGCTCCTATTGCCATCATATCTGTGTTCCTGCCCGCCCATCTTGGCTCCATCTGTCGAAAATAGCCCAAGTTGCTCAGTATAAAAGCCCAACGTTCTATGACCTTTCATTCATCAGTTCTTCATCTCATTTGAATCATCCTACTAGAGACCTACATCTTATACAATGCCTTTTTCCACCGATGGAGTGTATAATGTCAGAAACGTCGGGAGAGACCTCATGCTTGACCTGACGCAAAGCAGTACCGCCGATGGCAACCAGATCCAAGGCTACCTCAATGACAACACCGCGGCTCAACAGGTATCTAGACGCGTTCGCACCCACTTTGTGACTGGTTCTCACACACATCACGTATACTAGTGGGTGATCAAGAGACAAAACGAGCCAGGGTCCGCCAACATTACTGTCAGCATTCAGACCAGCGTCAACGGCGACAATGGTAATGGATGCTTTGCCACTGCGAGCGAGGTATGCTGGATCGACATTCATTTATTCATTTGCTTGTTGGTTGACGCAGACGTGGGCAGGATTCGGATGAACCAGTTGTTTATACCAGGCAGTCGGTCCTCGTTGATCTTGTTGGACGCGCGGACGATACTTATACGTGAGAATCCGATGTAGTTCTCAGCAACCTATCTTTGCTGATTTAACGACTCACATGTACAGTATGAGTTTCACTCTCGGAAACGGGGACCTGGTGCTATCCGTTCCAAGCGCAAATAACAGTGCAGTAAGTTGGTGGATCTTTTTTTTCAAAGCCTTTTGCTCATAACGTTCATAAGGTGAAACTCGAGAATTACGACAAATCAAGTGCCCGCCAGCAGTGGGAATTCACCCGGGTTTCTGATCTTCAACCAATTGGCAACTAGGCACCCCACCTTGCAGAGGTGTTCAAGCTTGAGCTGTTGAAAGTGTCCCCCGCATATGTGTACTACGTCTTGTTGTGTCTGCTTCTGTTGTGTACTACTCTGTGTACGTTGATGAATAGGATTGCTTTGGTCTGGCTCTTTTAGGGAGATGAGTGGGTAGAAGATGGCCATCGGTGAATTGTTCGAGGAGGGTGCATAGATCAAGCGCAGATTACAAACAAGCAATGCGCAGCACATGTGCACCACCCATTATTGTTTCACTCATTTAGTATGCACTATGTTTGACCTTGACTCAGAGAACCTTCGACGAGCAAACAAGACTTGTAGCTTTATCGCTGGCACAACATAACGAAGCGTCCTAACGGATTCGGTCCTATGCTATATACATGACCGTGACTTAAAATAATTATGCGGCTGTACTATATGTCATGCCGGCTGTATTAATATTGTCTTGCCGCGGTTCAAACGTTCAACAGTCGACAGCAATCTCACTGTTGCAACGTTGAGCCACGAGCTCGAGTTTATAACTTACCAAGGGACCGTACTGGATATTTTTTTGTCGCTTCTGGTTTGTGAAACTCGAATTTTGGACAACACGTGTGCTCTGCACCGTTGAACCGTCTACCGTTTCAACGGCACAATCGGATTTACGGCCTTCAGGACTTACTGATCCGGACCAGTCGATGCAGTTATCGTTAGTGAGGAGATCCGCAGAATCGCTGCTTGCCCATCCATGGGATCGTGATCTCCCCTGCCAGCGCTGCAGACTGTATTACAGAGCACGGAAACACCAGTGCATGCCCCTGAGATTTAATTAGGGTTATAAAAAGGCCAAGATTCGACTAAGACTCACTTGAAAGGACAAGTGTGCGACGTGCCGAACAGGCCTCGTCTGTTAGACACTTATATCCAGATTGAAAGGGGCCTCTAAGGATGACGCTGAGTCACGAGGATAAAATTTCCACCAGCCTCGCGAATCGATTCAACTTGTATTTACAAGTTTAACCCCGATTTAATTAGGATTACAAAAAAGCCAAGATTCGACTAAGACTCACTTGCGAGTGTCGGAGAAACAGACGGATCGACATCGACAGAATAAGTTTATATATATCGGCTTTCAAACTTTATGTAAATGGCCGAGCCGAGCCGATCGATCCCTTTGTTCCTTGGACAGTCACACCCGCATTTAAAGCTCGCCCAGGCACTTCAAGCTGATTGCCACTACAGCCAGCAGCGGCTATGCCTAGTGGAAGCATCGGGACTGACCACAATTCTCCACCTAAAGTTCCAACTCTTCCTCTTCCTCTAACGAAGAAACGTCGCACTTCCGTACGAGAGCTTCAAGGCCTCCCAGAATCCGAAAGTGCACCAGGACAATGCCTTTTTCCAACGCTTCCACTCGAGCTCCTTGCAGAAATATTGATCCATACTAATTCTCCTCGCGATGTTTTATCTGTCGCTCGTACATCCAAGCTTTTGTGCTCGACACTTGTCTGCAATCCCGCTGCCGATTTCATCTGGCGCACCATTCGCAAGAAGTGCTTGCCTCATGCACTGCCTGATCCCACCCCGAACTTTAGTGAGGCGGCATATGCAGCGTTCGTGTATGATGGAGGGTCTTGTGATGTAAGCAAGAATCCGTTCTCCTGAGCGGAAATAATGTGGACTGACGGTGATGTAATCGGTTTATGCAGGTGTGTAAGAATGACACAAAAGAATTCTATGCGAGCTTTGCTACACGAATTCGTTTATGTCGTGATGTGAGTGACAACCTTCCAACTTCTTGCAATGTGCGCTGAGCACGATTATCGTACTACAATAGTCGCGTTGCAAGAAGAACATCAGGTGGGAGATGTCTCAATTGAATGAATAAATTTGATTACTAATTGCCTAGTTGCAGGAAATATCTTATGGATGTTACCACTATTTTCAAAGGTCATGCACGCGACGAGATATGGATTCCCTACGTGGAGTCCGCCCATTGCTTTGGTGACTAGATTCCAGTTTCCGAACATCCTCATATTTAATCACAGCTTTTCAGATCCAAACCTCAACAATATATGTATGATTTTTTCCGCACGTTCCTCGAGTCTCTGGTGGCTTAATTGAAGTTGCAGGGCCCGATAATCCCACCATATTGATGAAGAAGTCAGAGTGGGAGCGTTTTCGAGTCGATTATGCAGCGTTCTCAGCTCTATCTCCACCTCCGTCTGAGGGGCTACGGAAGGTTAGATCAGGACACCTTTGCATCGCTAGGAATTATCTGACATAATCGTTTAGGCATGCACTGATCAGATCGTGAGATTTCCAAAGGTTATGGAGGTATGTACTTTTTGCAAAAGTCCGAGCCAATGTGACCAGTAGTTCAGTTAGCAGTTGCGTTGCATAAGTGGAAGTGCACCTATGTCACTATGCACCGCACCGTCAAGACAAAAAACGAAACGTGGTGAGTAGGACTCAACTTACTGTCACAACAGAAGTCTAACGGAAATGTAGGGCGAAGGCACTTGCTACCCGGGAAGGCTGGAATGAGCATGATTTGTTTAACTCTCAATCCTATGGTTCATTGCACAGGCACAAGAATTATGTGCTGGAGGAAGTCACGCTACGTGGTATGCGAATGTGGTCAGGCTCATGTGGATGAATCATAGTCTTACCTAGTGTTGTCCTTTCAGATTTCCTTCCAATCAAGCCCCTTGTCGAAGCCCAGCTTTTAAAAATGCAAATACACCGTCAAAATAAAGAAAACGAAGCATCTTACCGCCAGCGTCGCGACGACGTCGAACAATACTACAATCGCCTACGGTCTGCTGGAACAGTTCTCCCATCGCTTTATGAGTTCCGCAAACTTTCGGTTATGACGACCATGCAGGGCAGCGTGACAGGTTCGAGGCCCAATTCCAGTGGCCTTGCAAAAGACATGAAGAACTCGGCCCTCGTCGCAGAACTTGTCGCAGCTGATTTGAAGACGTGGATGGCGTCTGCACGGGAAAAAATTGTCCGAACTGCTTGGGTTTCCCAAGTGGAGGAGTGCGAGCAAGATGAAGCTGCATCCACTGGATAGGATCACTGCGCGGTTTAGGTGCCAGGGATGTGGGAAGGTCGCGAAGCGGTACGAGAAGGAACTATGTCTCGATTTTGCAGGCGTCTGCGCACATGAATGTCCCAGTGATGACAAGAAAAACAAGAAACCAGTGGATTGGAGTGTCGATCGCTTCATAAAAGATGAGAAGGTTCGTTGTTTGATATCCCTCCGAAAAAAAAATCCAACTCAAGTATATGGTCCTCCTATGTCCCATTACATTCACAGGCGTCGAATGCGATTGCACGCCTCCTGACGCTCGTCGGAATCACCGACGAGGATGCGAACGCATGTAATACCGTCAAGATGCTTGGAGCACGCATTCGGTGTCTTTCCTGCGAACATGCATTCATCATCATGGACTTCCCCACCCTCGTCAGTCACTCTTCTTCGATTCTGTTTATTGAGGGACGCTCACCACTGCTACGCATAGATTGGTCACTCGCACCGGCATGATAATATGCAGGTGGCTATACTGCCCAAAGGAGAAGGGCCAGAGCGTGCCTTTGAGGCGGGTTTGTCTGCGAAACTCATGGATATGGGTTTCAAGTCACGGAAGTTGAGGAGCGAGGCGAATTATCGGTGCCGTCATTGCGTTCCAGCTGACGAATCAGCTGATGCTGGCATGAATGGGGAGGAGCGAGTCTCTACTGGGGAATCTATTGTGAAGGAGTCACACATGGAAGACTCGCAAACGGGAAACCAGGAGAGACGCCAGAGAAACAAGAAGAGCAAGCTCAGATCAATGGACTTCAATGCGCTTCGATCGCATTTGAAAGGGTTGTGAGTGGTTTTGTAGATACTCTCGTGATAGGCTGATCTCACTTTTTGCAGACACGGAATAGAGATGGTGAGCGACGAGGATTTCTTCGCACAAACTCCCGTGAAGTGGCAGAGCTAAGGAATCCAAATGAATTTGTCCCATCTATTCTTTTCTTGTTTAAATGTATTTTATGTACTATTATGAATTCATCGGCTGGGCTGTCATTTTTTGGGGAGCGGTGTCTGTTACAGCAAAGAAGTGATGTGTCGGGATCTTCGTCGAGACTGGCAGTCGCGATAACATTGTCGTTGTTTCTAGTATGTCGTCGCTCGGTATCACAGCAACTTATGTATATTTATAAAATATCAGTAAATCACGCGCAGTGGTGCACAGCAGCAATCCTCGACTCCCTAGGGCGGCCTGTACATGCCATCCTCACATGGACTGGAGGTGGATTCCTTGTCGTAGCCTCAGACAGGCACAGTGACTTTCGATCGAACAAGCAGATTTCGAATTGTTGTCGGTATGTTTCAAAACAGGGCCTCCATGAGGAACAACTCGATTTCAAATCTGTTATGGTACCTGCCTGGCTAGCGTGACTGGTTGTGATAAACCTTGATCGACGATGGTGATCTAAGGTGTGATGACGAATAACAGGGGACGGTAGACCCGTCACCCGTCTCCTAGGATAAGGGTCTATTGGCTAGGGTAAGAGGAACGCTAGGATGGCAGGTATGACAGCGGTTTCGAACCTGCGAAAGTTCTCGTCAGGGGGCTACCGCTACCCCAACCGCGCCAAGTCACCTTCTCGTTCTGTTTAGAATTATACTACCTATATAGTGGGATTAAAGGTTCCGTTGCACAATTGCGACCGTATCCGATGACCGGCCAGCTGCATACGGTAACCATGACCCACACTGGCAGGGTAGTTTACGGTTGGGGGAAGGGCCTTAGGGCCCTAGTGTAGGAAGCTTCGGACCCCAGATCTCGTGGTATGAGGACTTATACCCACTCACCGAGGTACCCTGTCGAGCGTTTCCGAATCCGGTTGGGATATGGCGTCTTCGTGCAGAGACCGTGACATCTCAGATACCTTATGTTTCTGAGACGATCCGCACGAGGCGTGAAGGTAAATTCTATTTGGTGGACAGACTATCGCATAAAAGGAGGTTTCAGCGCAATGACTGGGCCTAGTTAAGACGGAGCTCTGAGGCTTTGTATGCTGCAAAAATGTTGTCAGCAGGTTTCGAACCGACTGCAAGAGAAACAGATTTTGATTCTGTTGTGGTAACCACTTAGTTAAGACCAGTTAACATGAACTTCCAAGGAATCCATCCATGAGTGAATGTCAAAGTGTGTTCCGATAGAAAAAAATACTTGTCGTCAGCAGGTGAAATTCGAGCTTGCGCAACTCCGACACAAACATATTTCGATTATGTTGTAGTAACCATTTTGGCCAGGCGAAGTTGAAATGAACCTGCGAGGAAATGTCCATCAGTGAATCTTCAAGGCGTGTTCTGAGAGAAAAAAACCTCGTGGGCAGGTTTTGAACCTGCACTGGTACTGTCAGTCCAACAGACAGATTTCGATTCCGTTGTAGTAACCACTTTGGCCAGGGCGAAGTTGAGATGGGCCTCTGAGGAACTGTCCATCAGTGAATCTTCAAGGCGCGCTCGGATGGACAAAAAACTCATCGGCAGGTTTTGAACCTGCACTGGTACAACCACTTCAGTCAGGGCGAACTTGCTCCAAGGAATTGGGCGTGTTCCGATAGAAAAAAAACCTCCTGTTCGGCAGGTTTCGAACCTGCGTAGTCCAAGAGAAACGGATTTTGATTCCGTTGTGGTAACCACTTTGGCGAGGACGAAGTTGAGATGTACCTCCGAGGAACTCTCCATGAGTGAATCTTCAATGCGTGTTCCGATAGAAAAAAAACCCTGTTGTTAGGCAGGTTTCGAACCTGCGAAGTACAAGAGAAACAAATTTTGATTCTGTTGTGTTAAAAACTTGGGCCAGGACGCTTGCTGGCCCAGGCCCCAATTCAGACGAACCTCCGAAGAACTGCCCATGTCGACAGGTTTCGAATCCGCACCACAAGAGAGCAGATTTCTAATCTGTTCTGGTGCCAAACGGTTGGCTATGACTACTCAAGATAGGCCTTGAAAAATCCATCCATGAGTGAATGTTCAAGGCGTGGTAAAAGGAAAAGATTGTTTGTCCTGTCACGTTTAGTTTAGCTGCTTCTAGCGCTTAGCTGCTAAGAGTCTAAGACTGGTCACTGAATATTGAAGATAGACTCATTCGGTTACGAGTCGAAAATCGAAAAACATCATGCATTGACAGTAGAATCACATGGGATCAGCAATCATTTCCCAAAAATGAAATAAAAAGACTAGTTTGCGTTTAAATCGTATAGAAGCTGGAAAACGACGCTGTAAGAAGTGTCTACGACATGGCGGGAGACGACAAAGAGAGGATAGTCTACGACGTAGGTATATATACGTAGTCGGGACTATCCGAACAACGAACGATGACGAAGGGTGAAATACCAAACTCTAACAATTCGATGGTCAGAAAACATGCCAGGAATAAGCGAGTCGGGGGCTGGCACCGGCGCCGTCACGATATGACACTGTAACTGCAGGACAAAAAGCCGGACAGCCTCGCTATACTATGGAACCTACAGGTTGTCAACTTGTTGATCGCATTAATCTCTTTAGAGGTACACGGAGTCCTCAACTTGTGACTACCATTTTTGGCCCATGTCACGGATGGTAACAGATCGTGGCTGTCCGACTTTCCAAAGTTTTCATGGGTTTAGCAGGGTTTAGCATGCAATGCTGAATCCGAAGTTCATGTGACTAGTACTGTCCCGAAACTTTCTCGATCTCGTCTGATGGCAGTCATCGATATCATACATGCCTGTCCATTAAAATTATACTACAGCCATATTATGCATTGACCTGGGCCCTCGCCGGCGGCCGCAAAACATGGTAAAACCTGGACTCTCTTATAAATCTCCGTCCATCGTACCATCCCACTGAAAGAAACGCTGTTACAGTCATTGATAATATAACGGCTTATCCGTACAGCCAAGCCTGTACTAATTTTACTAGCCCAGTTCAGATCACGAGAACCATCCACAAGAAATGCGAGCGAAGTGCACTTCCATTAACATGGCCTGGACACCAGGCGCCAAGTTGGAGGCTATCAAATGGCTTTATATTCTAATTATAATATCCCGTTAATGCCGCGCCCCTTCCCTGTTATCGTTTAAGGCAGCTGATCACAAGTCTACCGTTCTTAGTTCTCTGGCCTTCGTTTTGTTATCGCTGTGGGCACGGGACATGTCATGCGCACAAAGAAGATATGCGTATCTGACAGTTTCTCTCAGGTACGAGACCGTACATATATCACAATCAAGCCTGAATCATATCTGCGCTATCTCCCTCTCATAACAATGACTACAGTTTCGTTTAAAGAGAAAATCAAAGGCATAGGCGGCGATGCATCGTACGAGGCGAAAGCTCGCGTCTTTCAGGAACAACTTGAAGCCAAGATTCCAGCGAGTCTCAGACTCTCATCAGCGATTCTTGAGGACCCGCCTCTTAATGTTACTCACATCCCCAAGACCTGTGGCTTGCTCACCTCCCAAGAACTAGCTATCACCGAGCTAGATGCAACTGCTGTGTGCCAAAGGATCGCTGCAGGCGAGCTGACTGCAGTTGATGCTGTCACTGCCTTTGGAAAACGCGCAGCTATCGCTCATCAGCTCACAGCTTGTCTCATCGACTTCTTCCTCGATGAAGGCATAAAACAGGCGCAACAGCTGGACGAGTACTTCCGGAAGGAAGGCAAGGTCATTGGGCCACTGCATGGATTGCCAATTTCAATCAAAGTAAGTGCAGAGCAACCAAATCGCGACGATCTACCTCAGATGACCACCGTCAGGGCATGCTTCCGGTCAAGGGCACAGTTGGGTCTGCAGGCTTCCTCATGAACATCGAGACTGCGACCGAAGACTGCGATATGACAAAAATTCTGCGTTCACTAGGGGCAGGTATGTAATTTACACCTGGAATTATATTCTGTTGGTCGAGCATAGTTGTAGTCTTCTACGTCAAGACGAATCAGCCGCAGACTTTGATGCACCTTGAGTCCAGGTCTACCTACGGCCGAGTTGTAAGCCATCTCTCGAGTGAAAAACGTGTTTCTGTGACGCAAGTCTCATAGTTGAATCCCTACAATACGGATCTTACTGCAGGAGGATCTTCTGGCGGTGAATCAGCCCTTGTTGCCATGAAGGGCTCTTGCATAGGTGTGGGCACGTAAGTCTGTTCCTCCACATCATACCAGAATTTGATGTTTTGCCATCAAGCGATGGCGGGGGATCCATTCGAGCCCCATCCGCCCATTGTGGTATATATGGGTTCCGTCCATCTTGTCGGACAACGCCTCTCCATGGGATCCTATGGTAGTAAGTATACCAAGCTCTGTCATGAAATTATGTTGATATCACCCAAGTCAACCTGGCCAGGACGGATTCTTTAGTTCTGCAGGTCCAATGTGTTGCTCAGCACGAGACATGCGACTTTTCCTTGAAGCTGTACTTGGAGCCAATCCTGCACTCCTGGATCCAGATGCGTTGCCAGTGCCACTGAAAGTGCCAGACCTGACCAAAAAGAAATTGCGTGTGGGAATCATGATGCACGACGGGGTTGTGATGCCCCATCCCCCGACCATTCGAGCACTGAAATGGGCGAAGGCAAAGCTGGAAGCCTCGTCAGAGGTTGAGGTGATTGATTACTCTCCATATGACCACGATCGTGGATACAGCATAGTTGTGAGTCTGGTGATATGTAGGGTAATAATGTCACTTACTTGTGTCTAGCGCGAGCTCTACTTTGAGGATGGAGGAGCCACGGTTCGACGCCTTCTGAAGGAAAGTGGAGAAGAGATGCATCCCCTGACAGAGTGGGTTATTAGTCCACCACACGTGAGAGATCATGATGCTGCAGAAGTTTGGAAGGTAAGGCAACATTTTGCTGCCCATTGACGCTCGTGCTGACCTTGATCAGCTGCGTGATGAACGTGATAAATATAGGAGGGAATACTCTGATTACTGGTGGTCCCAAAACGTCGATGTCGTCCTTTGTCCACCCTTCCCAGGTACAGCCAGCCGTCATGACACTGCAAAATACTGGGGGTGCGTCATGGTATCTCGCTTTACATCAGACATCTAATAGCTCATTAGCTACACGGCCATCTGGAATTTGCTGGACTACCCTGGAACGGTTTTCCCGTCAGGTTTCGTCGCTGACCCAGCCATTGACATATATCAGGAGCTACCCAGCCCGATGAGCGCGGCGGACGAGTACAACCTCTCCCTCTGTTAGTCTCTCGTTCTCGTGTTGGATAGCATCAACTGACCCTTGCATACAGATGATGCAACGAAATTCAAAGGGGCTCCTGTATCGCTGCAGATCGTGAGCCGCATATACAACGACGGTTTAGTGCTGGCTGCACAGGAAGTAGTTGAACGCATACTCAAATCTTAGGCAGGCTAGGGCCCACATCATATGCAATTTTATCATGCCTTCCGGTGACAACTGGAGCTTGTCTGGATCGTTATTGTAATCATCTATGTCCACCTCCCATATACTAGTTTTGCTGAGTTCATTCATGTCGAAACCTTCTGCACTCATATCAAGAACAGATAATACGAGTATGATAACACGATCCCCAACTCCCACAAAGTGTAGGAGTTGATTATCTCTGTGTAAGTTGCAATACCCGTTCGAAACCTGCCTTCCAATCAGCTTTTTCTATTATTACTTACACTTGCACATTCACTTATGGACAGTTCCTCGCTCAACGGAGGCCAATTGTAACTAGTGTGGTTGGTGCAATGGATCCGGAATCTGTTCCCGAATCCTCTTGTTCGAAACCTGCCGATAACACTCTTTTCCTGTGATCATCCCTTGGACATTCTTTCATGGATATCGATAACTGTTGGAACTAGCTCCTCGGGGTCTTGCATAGGCTGGAAGGAGAAATATTACTCGTACTTGAAGTGATACAACTTCTGGGAACCGAGAATTTTCGGACGAGTAACAGGAGGTAACAGGAGACTGGTCACCTCTGGTCACCTCTTCATTTGATACAAGTCCTCTAAAATATTTTGCACACGGCGGGTATTAGCAGCCGCAGACGTTACTGTGATGGAGATCCGAGATCCCCAATTACGACTAGTGATATGATCTGATCAGTTGAGTCCCGGATGCCGTGTTTCAGTTATCGCTGCGGACGCAGCGTGACGCCACTAGCCTTCAATTCCCGAACATTGGTACGTCAATCACGAGCAGTACAAGATATAAACCCTCTTTCTCAGACTGCTGCATATAGTTGTGGCCGCGTTTCATACTATCGTAAACCTTTACTACCACCAAGTCCTTCGCAAGAATGAATGCCAACAACAATCCACCTGCTCCAAAAACTCGGCGAGTCTTGCCAGAAATACAAACTACAGTCTACCGTAGGAATCGATTCTCCTTACCAATGCACTTCAGAGCCCAGACTTATCTGTTTGTTTTCAGAACAGATGCAGATGAACATGAAAGGCTTCGACTACAGCACAACGCCTTAAAGATTTTCATGGGTGAGAGGAAAAACCGCGTTCTCTATTTCTTCCTTATACATTATGCACGCTAGATGGCAATAATCATATTGTACCTATCGAAGATGAAGGCATGCCTTTCCGTGCTTCGATGAGATATCACCTAATCTCATAGGAATTCACAGGTAATTTCCAGCGCGTCCTGGACCTGTGTTCCGGCAGTGGTCAGTGGGTCGTGGATGTAAGCCTTCTTCGCTCTCACAAAAATGCTGAACGTTGTACCCCAGGTCGCAGAATCACTTCCTAATGCTGAAGTGCATGGTGTCGACCTGGCTTTGCCACAAATGTATGTTTTAGCTACTGATCAATAATTTGGCTATGCTTATGGGATCTTAGATTCGGGAACTCGGAAATTCCATCGAACGTACAGTTTCACAAAGTCGATTTACTTAGTACGTGTTAGGGGAAACTTTCTGCGTCTGGTGTCGGAAATGATATCTGACAGATCAACCTCTCCCATTTGCTGATTGTTATTTTGACATCGTTCAAATGCGCATCGTACCAAGTGTATGTTCTCAAATACCAAGATTGATGATGATCGCTGACACATCACAGATCCCAAACAGGATCGACCTTCTCAAGGAAATCAGTCGAGTACTGTGGCCGGGTGATATCCTTCTCATATTCATATTCATTAAGATACTTACTTCATTCCAGGAGGATATGTGATGTTCTTCGAACCAGGGGCCTCTTTCTCAGGGACCCAAGGCACTCGCACTGCTGCGTTAACACAAGTTGACCGTCTCATCATACAATCTCCTCATACGCCATCTCCAGGCACTGGGGACGACAATGGCATGATTTGGTCCCTCGCTCCAAAGATCGCATCTATGCTCCAAGACGCTGTAGACAATCAAGGGAATGCACTATTCTACGATGTCTCGTCTTTAGAACTTCTCATTCCCATAGGCGGCTGGCCTGATGGTGAGTAGATATGACGTGATCTGTGCTTGCTTAACCTGTGTGGTTGTAGATGAAAAACTGAAATCGGTAGGGTCAATGATGGCAGAAGTGCAAATGGGTCTGGTTGACGCATTCCGTCCGAAGTTCATCGAGCTCCAGTTGCTTACTGATGCTGAATTTTCCGCTCTTCAGACGCGTGTCTTAGCAGAAGTTGAAGATCCAACGTTAGAGTTGCAACAACCTTTCGTCGCTGCATGGGGCCGTAAAGTTGCGGAAAATTCTGGCTAGCTAGCTTTAGGTTATGTATTTCTATCTGTTTACATCGTACGCGACTATGAGACCGTCAAAATCGAACAAGTACAGGCGAGCGTGGGCCAGGCACATGTTACAAGAACATCAAACGCAGGATGACACTTAGAAAAGTAGATGAATATATGTAAATCCCTCCAAACTCTGCGCACTTCGCCCTTCATCCAATCACTTGACCGCGCCATAACTAACAATTGTCCGGCAGCAAAGCAACACCTATGCAGACAAATGGCAAGTCGTGCACATTTCGCACGTGGCCATGAGCAGCGAAGAAGTTGAGAAGCGCAATGAGACTCTCGTGGAGGTTGTAGATCCACTGTACCTCTTTTCGCGCGACGCTGAGGGTGAGGTAGATGCGGATGGCGAAGTGGATCTTCATGGGGGGATAGATACATCGCCGAGTCTCTTCGCAGAAGGCCACTACAGTACTACCACGCCAATGCACGATTTCGTGCATTAGTTGGCAAGAGATGAGCACCCAAGAGCCACATATACAGGGAATGAGAAACCTTTAGTTCATAGATAAGAATCATTACTCGAGAACACCTGTTGGAATTCGAGAGATCCGAGTCGATGAAGACCGACGGATCCGAGATAAGAGCAGGGGGAGACTAAGAGGTACGAGCGCACGCCAAAAGAGGACAGGACGAGCGACAGAGCGACGTCGGCTCGCGTCCTGCAATTACTTATGTTTCTCTTTTATATATGTCAGTTACTATAAGTCACTTACTATAAAAGCGCCAGTTGTAGCGCACGAGCATCTCAGTTCCTTCCAAGTGACTCAGATGTGAGTTAGAACCGTCACCTGTATTTACCAAAGCTAACCCTACTTAGTGTACTTGTTTTTATAGGTAGATGCGTTGTTAACAGAGTTCCTTCCAAGTGACTGAGATTGTACTTTGTTTTATCACCAGAATACCAACATTATACAGCAGTTACGTTGACTGGTCACGAATTTTGTTGCGGAGGAGAAAACACCGAAGTCCGACCCTAAAATCTATAGACACAAAGAAAACGCTGCAGAGAGGTGCCAAACTCCAAATAGAAGCGAGAGCAAGAGAAAGTAGCGGGAGCACGCAGATCCTATATACACGGATCGTTCGGGCGCTACAATCAGCAGAGTTCGTCGTCCTGACATGCGGTGGCCATTTGCGTCTGCGAAATCCTGCACATGAATTGTCATAAATATGACAAGCGCGCTACAAGTGAGTGCTGTTATGCTCGTTCCGTCAAGGTAGGATTCCCCCACTAAACTATCAATTTGGTCAGCTTAGTATGACCCTCAGGCAGAACTGCCTACACAGGACCAACGTAGCACCGATCTCAAAAGTTGTGTAACCCCCTACGTTGCACAAACTCTTAAAAACAGGATGGTGACTGAGACCAAATCGTCATGCACGATCTCGACCACAGTTAACAGCGCACTAGATATCAGCGCGTTGACACTGGAAAGAGATGAAATACCCAAGCAGAATACCATCAGTCACCAGCGCAATGCATGACAATCCCTGACGCTAATGCGCCCAGATGGCACAGGACGACATGGTTTATTCACCACATCTTCATGCGCGGAGTACGTTTGGTTGGAGACGTTGGCTTGTAAGAGATGGAACCAGACCCAGCACAGAGTGCAAGACAGGGCTAGCGGGTTACGACGAGGAGATAAAATAAATGTGAATATGGTCTACATCAGGAAATTCAGTGTCGTGCACTACTAGTCATTTCTAGAATGTTAATACCACTGGTAAGAGTATTGTCTTGTAGTCGGATCTGGTGAAAAGTCAAGCAGTCTCGAAGTGGTGTAGCGTACTGCATAATGTGGTTATTACGAAAACGGTCACAGAATCACTGCCTGGTGATCGAGTTAGTGTCTCAACTCCTGCGGGGTGGTATTTATGAGAAATTCGGCTGTAGCATTAGATACCTTGAGAGAATATCTGGGCTGTGTTGTTGCAAGATCTGAACTGATGAGATCATTGTCTCCGACCGGTGATTTGATTACTGTCTGAAACCCTCTGTGAGATCGAAAAGGCAGGGGTGTGCAGGTGTTTCAGCTGACTGCAATCGCGCGCGCAGCTGGCCGTAAATGAACGTTTGAACCATGACCTGCTGGAAACAAAAAAAAACCCTGTTGTTCGGCAGGTTTCGAACCTGCGTAGTCCAAGAGAAACAGATTTTGATTCCGTTGTGGTAACCACTTTGGCGAGGACGAAGTTGAGATGAACTTCCGAGGAACTGTCCATGAGTGAATCTTCAAGGCATGTTCCGATAGAAAAACACCCTCTCGTTAGGCAGGTTTCGAACCTGCGAAGTACAAGAGAAACAAATTTTGATTCTGTTGTGTTAACCACTTGGGCCAGGACGCTTGCTGGCCAAGTTTAGACAGAGAAGAATTGTCCATGTCGACAGGTTTCGAATCCGCACCACAAGAGAGCAGATTTCTAATTTGTTTTAGTGCCAAACGGTTAGCTATGCTAGTGAATGTTCAAGCTAAGCTCCCAAGGCGTGGTAAAATTGTTTGTCCTGTCACGTTTGGCTTAGCTGCTAAGACTGGTCGAAAAACGTCATGCATTGACAGTAGAATCACATGGCATTAGCAGCCATTTACCAAAGATGAAATGAAAAGACTAGTTTGGGTTTAATTCGATGGACACAAAACATGCCAGGAATAAGCGAGTCGGGGGCTGGGGCTGGCGCCGGCACCGTCACGATATGACACTGTAACTGCAGGACAAAAAGCCGGACAGCCGCGCTATACTATGGAACCTACAGGTTGTCAACTTGTCGATTGCATTAATTTCTTTAGAGGTGTACGGAGTCCTCAACTTGTGACTACCATTTTTGGCCCATGTCACGGGTGGTAACATGTAACAGAGCGCGGCTGTCCTGCTTTCCATACTATCCTCTTTACTAATTATAAGAAGGAAACAAGGGAGGTATATAGCTTTAGTAGATTGTCCCCACACACCAGGCATTTGGGGGCAACCTACCAACATGAAGTACTGTCCACAAAACCGAGTCAAGCTTGCCTTTTCAGTCTCGAGACCTAAGAGCGCCACCTGGACTTTCGCAGCAGAGATGCTGGATACACTAGATGCTGTTGCGGGTGGCTATGTACGCTCTGCTGTGAATCGGAATCCGCCCGTGCAAGCAGAAGAGAGCTTCTTGGCCCGCCTCCTCGAGCAAGACGCAGCTGCTCAACAACTCCTACTATGTTTCTTTGGCCTTCATCAATTTGGTTCATACTCCTCGTCACATAGTGCTATCGACACGACTTCTGCGTCGCACGTCTTGCCATCGACAGTGCCACCTTCATATGACACTCAGATCCACAACATGTCTGGTTCTCGCATCAAGCCTATCTCGTATCTGTGCTCTTCCCTCGCAGGAAAGAGACTGACAATGGTAGGCGGTGACTCATTGGCATGTATACCGCTTCTACGACCTCCTCGATCACCAGAAGAAGTCCGAAGGGAAACGATTTCCATGCCTCTGGAAGGAGTTTTGTACCCACCATCATCTATGCTTACGCGCCCGCAACAATCCCAACCTCAAAGAGGAGCTTATGCGTTATATCCGTTCGCCATCCGTTGAAGAGCTCGTGCAAACTGGTTCGTCGCTGGTCAATCACGCCTTGTCGGATACCTTTCTTACCTTGTCTGATTTTCCATCTCACAGAGAGTTATCATCTGAAATGCCCTCTGTTTGCCTCATCAATACCGAATCCCTTCAGGTCATGGATGTTGCAGTATATGCCAGTGTTTCCCCCTGAGATCCGGCACACGTTAGACGCACACGGATGCTTCAACAGAAAAGAGAAAGTTATTTGGTCGACCAGCCGGACGTAATATTCTGGGAACGGCCGCGGTCAGACAAACGCATTCCTTCGCACATATATACATACTTCCCAGTGGATAGGGCGAGTCATCTCGCGGGCCCAGACAACCCTAAATCAGTTCTCCTTCACTACCTTGCCGCAGTACTATCGACCGATGAGCGCCTAGAAGATACCTGGACACTTTACTACAACGTTCAAGGTATGTTGTTCAGTCGACTGAAGTTGGTATCGTCGTGTCTACTAGCACTGAGACTCTCTCCGTCAAATTCTGCCACACTTCGGAGTTCTCCTCTTGCAGTTAGGGACACGTCTTGTCGAAGCTGGTCACGGTGTCCTGCGTGCGTTGGTATCATGTCATCGAAGAACCAAGATCGCTAGTTTTGCATGGTGTGTTATGGCTCGGGGAGAGGTATTTTCTATCGTCGTACAGTAGTGCAAATAGCTGCAAGTATACTAAGTACTAGATCTACTAATATGATCATGGACGATGGAGATGGATCCTTGAAAAGGGTATCCGAACAACTGAACTACAAGGAGCATATCATAATTAACGAAGATCCACATCTCATAATACTACCATTACACGTCCATGCATGGACCAGCCATCCATCCCAATCGTATCACACTGCACCTCCTTCAAACTCACAACTTCATGAGCCCCTTCATCGCATTCGCGACCGCAAAGCTCGATTTGGCCATGACCTGCCGCGATTCCTTCGTGACTTCTGGCAGCGTCTGTACCTCAGACAGCTTCCGTGCGTGTTCGCCTAGCTCCCGTAGTAGCTCTGCACCCTGCTGCGCAGACGCCGGGGGCAGATTGTCGCTGCAAACGGCGACGATACTCGACACGATTGTAATGATCTGAGTTAGGTTTTCGTTTAGCGTCGGCGGCGGCACAGGGCTGCGGACGCCGGAAAGGACGCTTTGGATTGCGTAAACGATGGACTCGGTCTGCGCTTCGAGGTAGGGCTGGGGAGTGGTACTTGTCAGTCGATAAAACAGATAGGTGTACTAGTAGAGCTGACCTTGAGCTCGGACCAAGCGTCCTCGCCGCCTTCAGGCGGTGCTGAATCGTCGCTGATTGCACCCAATGCACTGGTGATAGGAGACTTATCAAATATGGGCGGAGGGGAACTTGTGAGTGAACTAGATGGCTCAGACGGTGTTCGTCTGCTATGAGCCTCCGCAAAGCGCGATGCTGCGGTCATAGGGGGCGATACAACATCTTCTGAGCGCCTTATGCTAAAGGTAGAACCCTTGCGTTCAAAGCTTGGTCTCACGTCTTCCGTCGAGCGCGCAGAAGATAGATACGACAGCGAACCAGAGCTTGAGGAAGACATGAACTCCTCCTGCTCGGCCCGACTAGCCTTGCGCATGTAGATCATCTTCGCGATCTCTGTCAATGTTACGGAGACATGGCTCGCAGCTGCGTCCAATAGGCTCACAGGAGACATGCCAGATGCAGTGGCATGTGTCTTGGATGCAGCTACAAGGTTGGTCAGGGTAGCCTCGGCACGCTCGCGGAGAGTGTGTAGGATATCGATGTCAACGTCCGCGCGGGATGGGCGTTGTTCGTATGCACGGACGTCATCGATAATGGCTGTGGTAGACGTAACGACGGCTTTCATCGGTACTAGAACGCGTGTCGGAGCGCTAGAACGACCAGCTGTCAAAAGGCTATCAATGGCCGACACGAAGGCAGTGACATGGATGTCGACGAGACCCCCGTCAGGACCCATTGGCAGTTGGTCTTCCATCTTGGGCGCCTGTAGGAAGAGCTGGGATGTTGCTGACCATGGAAATATCAGATAAGAGCCAATTGCATCAAAAGAATATTTTTGCGGACCTTTGACGCTTCTGAGCTCGGTTTTAGCTTGCTCGTATTTGCGTTTGTATTCTTTGAGCTGGCTATCCAGATCACGGATTACAGTGAGGTCCGAGTCCTTCGCAGTCATCAACTCGTCATTCCTGCGTGACAGATCGCTAAGTTCTGACATCAACCCTTCCATATCAGAACGTAGCTGCTCGATAATTTCGCTGTTGTCCTGCAAAAAGAATTCAAATTTAGCACCATCAACTTCAAATCACTGACGTACTATCCCGAAGCCAGAACTGCGCTCTTCTTCGAGGCGTTCGCAGCGGTCACGGAGTATCTGTAGTTCTTCCTCATCGGCCTGTGCTCGTCTGGCTTCGCGTTCCTTTTCTCTTGTCCGGAAATCCTGAATATCGTCCAGCTCCATTTTCAGAGCCTTCATAGCAGATCCATGCTCTTCGGCACGCTGTAGGCTCAATTTAGCGACTATCAGAGGAAAAAATCCTCAGGACCTGCCTTTCGGAAACCTTCCAGCTCCTCTTCTAAATGGCGTACCGTCTGCTGCGTGTCCAACTCCCGTTGCTCAAGGTCTCGTTCCAGACTCGTGATACGACTCTGCATCGTGGCGATCTTGAACTCATAATCTCGCTTCAAACGCTCGTGTTCATCACCTGCTGCACTGGGCATCCTCGACCCACCGATGGACCGATCGGACGTCACTGATGCACGTCCTAGAGAGACTTTATCATACTCGTCGCTCCTCACATCCCCCGCATCATCATCTTCCGTATGCACGTTCCTCAGCCGTGCGCTGAGCCCATTTAGTCCACCCCGCTGGTCCCAGTGCTCGTGTTCACCGTCAGTGGTATCAAGCTCCCTGACGCCCTCACGTGTATCGATGGCTGTTCCAGAGCTCTCCCGCATCTCCCGCCCGTACGGAACCTCAATGTCTTCCTCTGCGATAGTGCTCTTATTTGGGATTACCATCCCGCTCGTTGCGGTTGCACTCTGCGCATTTGTAGTTCCCGTTGAGTCACTCCGGAATGCTTGCGGAGGCACTTGGTCTTCGGCCAAAATCTGCCCCTTGGTCATAAGAGGCTTTTCGTCGGGATGCGTGAGTATCCTCGCTCCGCCGAGGCCGAGTCTCTTCTTCGCGTGAGCTGCCTCGATCTTCGGATGGTCGCCCTGTGCGGGCACTAGGCGGGAGTATGGGCATGTCAGGCCGCGGGGACGTGTGGAATTCAGGCGAAGGTACATCATCGTATGCTGATGCGGGAGACGCTACCCCCGGGTCCTCCGTCTGGTATCAGACTTAGTATAAATTAAACGAGATTAACGATGAAACTACCTACCTCTGTAAATTCAGGATATCTTCTCATGATTTCAAAATAGACATCACTACAAAGATCTTCAAACTTGGCACTAGGTAGCGTTGCCAATTTCTGGCGCGCCTGATTCCGCTTGGGATGAAATTCATCACGCACGGGAAGGAATGGGACTGGAGAAGTGACTTGGTCAAATGATATAATATAGGTCAGGTGACTTACCATCGTTCTCGGGAGTGTTCCTTCGACGTCGGACGAGCTCGTCGTACACGTCAGTTGATAGCTCATGGAACTGCTGTCTGGTAAGATTGGTCAATTTTGAGCGTGCGTGGGCCCGCGACTCCTGCGGAGCTGAAGGTACGTAGTATCAGCATAAAATTTAAATTCACATGAAACACCAGACCGCACCTTTCACAAGATAAGACACTAGAAAACTGGCTAACTCGTCAAAATGGGTGCGTGCGACCACCCTGGAATTTACGGCTGGCACGGCCGGGACATTGCCTTTATCCTTGATCGGACGATAGGACTCGGTGCGGTAATTAGAGATTCCGGAGAAAGTAGTAGGTGTCGGGGAAGGGGCACGTGAAGAGCGTAGTCGGTTCATGGTGACTCGTTGATGGTGGTCGTGGTGGTGGTCAGAGGCATACAGCGTCGACACCTGTGGTGGATTTGCCAGACGTGTTGGAAGTCGTTCACAATGCTCAAGCCTCATTGCGTCTCGGCGCCACGTGATCGGCATGTCGCTGTGCGCGCTTATGCCTCGCAGCGCTATAGTGACCGTGACTTAATATTTAATAATGGCTGTCTGAAGACATATAAATAGGTGAAACAATAATGGACAGTGCACATATGCTGCGCATTGCTTGTTTGCGAGATTTGTGTTTGATCTGCGCACCCTCCTCGAACGGTTCACCGATGACTATCTTCTACCAATTCATCTCCCTGGAAGAGCCAGACCAATTGAAGCAATCCTATTCATCGACGTACACATTTTGGTACACAACGGAGGCAGACACAACAAGACGTAGTACATGTATGCGGGAACACTTTCAATAGCTCAACCTTGAGCACCTCTGCAAGGTGGTGCCTAGTTGCCAATTGGTTGGAGACCAGAAACCCGGATGAATTCCCAGTGCTGGCGGGAACTTCCTGCCGTGCAATTCTCGAGTTTCACCTTGTGAACGTTATGAGCAAAAGGCTTTGAAAAGAAGATCCACCAACTTACTGCACTGTTCTTTGCGCTTGGAATGGATAGTACCAGGTTCTTTTTCCCGAGAGTGAAGCACATACTGTATATGCGAGTCGTTAAATCAGCAAAAATAGGTTGCTGAGAACTACGTCGGATTCTCACGTAAAATTATTGTCCCCGCATCCAACAAGATCAACGAGAAACGCCTGCCTGGTATAAACGACAGGTTCTTCCGAATCCTGCCCACGTCCATGTCAACCAACAAGCAAATGAATGAATTAATGAATGGCGATCCAGCATACCTCGCTCGCAGCAGCAAAGCATCCATTACCATTGTTGCCTTCGTTGTTGGACTGAATACTGACAGTCTTGTTGGCGGACCCTGGCTCGTTTTGTCTCTTGATCACCCACTAGTATACGCGATGTGTGTGAGAGCCGGTCACAATGTGGGTGCGAACGTGTATAGATACCTGTTGAGCTACGGTGCCATTTCTGGCGAAGCCTTGGATCTGGTTGCCTTCAGCGGGGTTGTTGCCCGTTAGATCGAGCATGAGGTCTCTGCCAGTGTTTCTGATAGTATACACTCCATCGTTGGGAAAAGACATTGTATAAGATGTAGGTCGCTAGTAGGATGATTCGACAATGAGACGAGGAACTAATGAAGGAAAGGTCAGAGAACGCTGGGCTTTTATACTGAGCATCTTGGGACTATTTTCAGCAGATGGGGCCAAGATGGGGCGGCGAAAACACAGACATGATGGCGATAGGAGCTACAGATCTGGGTGATAAAACTGAGCGCAGTAATACTAACTCGGTCCTTTGGATTTGCGTACCATTCTTTCCTAATACTAGTTAGCAGTAGAAGGTCCCCGCTTCGGCGTAGTTATCATCACGGCCTGGATGCAATTGAATAAGAAAACATAACAGGAAAGGGGCCGACGGAGATGAAAGATGGGGACTAGCGGCAGCACAGCGGATATTCGAAATTCTTGTGTCATTTTTTCCTGGCTCCCTGGTCAGGAGGTGCGTGACAGGCGTCAAGCTCAATCATACATATACATCGGATCTTCGAAGTTCTTGTGCGTGATGGGCAAACAAGTACTACCGTGACTCGTCAAGAAATCCGGCAAACTCTTCAAATGCTGAATTGCCTACAAAGCTGGGAGAAAAAGGAGCCATGGCTCACGACTGGGACAGCCCAGTGCTGATGCTGATGCTAGACACATTGATATTTGCGACGAGCTGCATGGTGGACTAAGTTAAGTTGTGTTATAAGTTACGCAACTACTTACTGCAATTACAATGACGAGCGCCCAAGCTATAATTTCATATGTATATCAGTTGACGATCCAAGAAGCCAAAGCATCCAGCACTGACCGCGGTTTTCTGGACTTGGTTCTCGGCAGCTTCCCTTGATCGCATCATGAGGCTTGCCTCGAAACATCTTAGAGAACTACATTATAGGCCTATCCCGGCCAGGTCTCGATTCTCCAGGTCCACCGTCGGATATCCACCACTTGGTCACATTGCAGCGGCACCTTCCGAGTCTGGCCACAGCACTCCGATTCACCTAGCCTTGATCTGCCGCAATATTGTCCACATTTACTCACTTCAAGTTTCCTGTCAGTGAACCCAGGCTGCACACTCTCCCTTTCCGTGTTCTCCCGCAGCCGACATTCCCTGCACTATGTTGATGAATTTTGGCACTGTTGTCATAAGCCAACTTGGACTTTAGTTCTCAGCCAAATTTCCGTTAAAAGGTTCTGACATCGAGAACGTCTGGGACACTCTAGCCCAGGGCAAGTTTGTCGCAGACTTGGTGCACCTAGATCCCTGTAACATAGCTGCTCCGAGGGCTGAATTCGGTCGGGAGTTCATAGGCGTAGCTCCTGTACTCGAATATGTTATTGATTATGGTGACATTACAGCAAGTGTAGGGTACGTGTGAAGGCAGAAGGAAGTCATACATACTACAAGCACGTCGTTCGCCTGTAGTGGATGATGTCATCAATAGTAGTTGTAGATTCGCAAACTGCAGTGGTAAATTTACAGTTTGCACGTCATGCCGTCACCCGGGGGGTCGTCCGTCCCTAGTAGTAGTTGGCGCTTAAATTGAGGTTACATGAGCGAAATATCCTTCGAGCAACTTGAACTGGACTAAAATTTATCCTTGATTTATCCTTGGAGGTTAATTTATGTAACCGAATATTGGCAGCAGAAAAGCTGGTAACAACGCACTTCTGAGCTACTGGAAAGGCGTTCACCGACCCCGTACGCAGTTCATCGAAATACCTCGTACCAGAGCTCAGGCCTCAGGCCAGGTCCGTTACCTCGTATCACTTCTCGATAGATCATCTAGCTGGACCGCCAATTTCACTCTCATTAGCAACTCGCTTCATGCTACCACCTCCAATAGGTCTCAAGCACTTACTCTTCAGAGCTATCCTCAACCTCTGCATAGATTCAAGGCTTCGCCAATGGACAACTGTACACTGCGTTTTCGAAACTTTGATGTGACCTGCTATCTACCAGCCCACAAATCCATGACTATTCTGAGCACTGCTCCAGCTAAGACGAACTGGTCACGAGTCTATGCTCTAGCACCTAATGCTGGCTTGGGCACGTCCGTTTGGTGTCGTGTGACGCAGAGCCGCCCGTCACCCTAGGCCACCATGCACCAGGTGCCAGTGAGTTTTCTCTTATGTCTTCATTTACTTTGGCACTATTCCTTTCTCCAACCGTCCTCGTCTGATTGTGAATTTACAGTAGCTACGAGGCAGAGTCGCTTCCTCCAGCCAAGCTCTATTGTTGACTTGAATGCCAGCCTTCAGCAGGGTTTTGACACAGGTTATGCTACCCGACTGCAACGACTTCCAGCCCCATCTATTGATATCGTGACCAGTGAGAACAAGACTCTCCAGGGGTCATTGTTCCTCGCAATGATCAGGGCCTGCCTCATGCGTGTCCAGTCCTGACGTACGACTTGCTCTTCTGAAAATAATTTTCAGACCGTTGAGAGCTCCTGGTATCTAAGTTGTATTCGTGTTGATCCGAAGTATCAACGCCAAGGCATTGCAACAAACCTGATCAGAATGGTGGAACAAAAGGTGAGTTCCCTCAGGTGTCCTTGATTTCGTTCCAATGGCAGGCGGCGATAATGTTCATCCTTGTAAATTTGCAAGTAGTTCTCGATCAAAATCCGCTAATCGTGGCGTCATAAGTTGGGGTTTACAAGGCACTTCGGTTTCAATACAAGGAACTTCAGAACATGAGTACATGTATGTGGATTGTTTTACTAAGCCTGGCTTAAACCGGACGTAGGGTCACTTTACACGACTGCATCTGCATGTCGATGACGGCGGGCTTGTGTATGATGTAGTCATACTTACGAACAAATGTACTTCTTTTCAAACTGTGCTAACATCTTCATCAAATAGCGGTGTCTTCCACGCGAGCTATACATCTTTTCGCCGACTTTCCTCCAAGAGGCTTAATGAATTTGAATTTGCCTCCAGATTATGCTGAACTAGTGACCTGCAAGCAAAGTGGATAAACAATCGTAGCTTCTAGGGTGGTCACCAGACACATCGTAAGAACGAATGTAATTACTTTAGTACGGAGTGATGACAGTCAAATGGAGAATTATAAATAAATGAAGAAAACTCTGAAGAAAAATTTAAGCGGAGATGGTGATTAGATGGTGATGAAGCTCTGAGTCTCGTTGGTGAGGGGATTATATGGCGCGAATTGCCAGCATCTTTTATGAGGAGTTATTCGGGAGTAAACCAAGGCGAAGAAGGAATACATACCCTGGGTGATTGAGAATGAGGGTTGGGAACATCTCAATACAACCTTCGGGAACCTTGGGCCAATGGGTAGAGGTGGTACGATCATGATGCGAGACAACAAAAGGAAGCAGGAAGGTCATGTCCGAGCGTTCACTGATGCGACTGACGCTGGCTGTCATAATTTCAGTATTTGAGATAATAGAGTAATGAGATTCGCACCTTTGATCAATTCAAGGAGGTCCACGTGGGATATAATCGAGCTGAGCAGCGTAGGGGTAAGCGCCCTGATCTGTGCCTGCATAATGCCAACCAGGAGAGGTCCAAACGAGACTCCCTCGCATAGAGCGCTCGGACAAAACTTGGACTCATCCTGTCCACGAGCGATGAATTAGTGGTGAAAGGGTAAGGAAATACCTACCAAAATCCATGCCGACACCAAACTCGTCAATGACATTATGGATTCCCTGATAGTCTTAGTATCAGGGTTAGCTTCGGTTGTGGCAACCTCTGCCAGCGCGTTCGCAGAGAAAAAAAGGGCGTCCTCCTCGAGGTGCACATCCAATTGCGCGAGGAGCGATCGCACGTAGTCAAGGAAAGGCAGAAGAGTGGGGTGGCCGACAGTGATGAGAGGCGCACAATCATGGACGCGATTCAGACCACGAATGAGGGTGTTCTTCATTAGTGCCATCAAATGGGGTAAAGCATGGCGGGAGTCGAGATGTTCGAGATCGTCTGGGATAGAAGGAAGAACGGGAAGAGGATAGGTAAGTGCGGAGGACATATTGGAGTAATATGATACTGATGAGGATATGTGCCATCTTAAATGTCTCTTATATATATAGGGAGCTAGGTTGCATCCACTATATCGTGGACGAATACAGTTACAGTGGTCGTCTGCCACTCCAACAAAGAGTCGCTCAACGCCACAAGACACCGTTGATCAAAGAAGGCACGATTAGGCTGGTTGTGGTGATCAGCATGAAAGGGTCTTTGTTTGGGTTGCAGTGACACCTTGTAGTTCAACACCAAGAAAAATTAGTCAATTTCAACTTACGTAGGTCGGAATATCATACCGACTGTTCTTTTGATTTGCTGTGAAGTGTTGCCCTTGAAGCTTGAAGTTTTATCAATGATTCGGTTCTTCACATCGTCATCCTCCCGTGACGAAGTATCAACATGTCGCTTTGCCACGCAAACTCCAGTAGTTCGCAGCGGTCGAGCATGCCACCACAAGCACTCATCCAAGGGCGCGGTGGTCTTGACTCCTCTTGACCGGTTGAGCTGTAGATACCCTGCTATGAGCTTAAGGCATGAGGCTGCGACAATTGGACAATATCATGATGTATTCCAGCCTGACTCACAGCCGAGCTGAAACTTGAAAAAGTTGGTCCGTCAACAATGACGTTGTCCTTGGATGGGAATAGCTATGTAGAACTGAGGGAGGCGATGGCCTATAAATTTGCTATCTGTTGTAGAGTCTGGACATCATAGGACTTAGTTTTGTTTATCTAAGCATATGAATTATTTCTCTCGAATGATTGCATGGCCGCTTTGCGAGACATCGATGAAATAACGGGACCGCGGCAGAACCTGAAGCTTAGCTTGAAGCTTGACTTAAGTAGCATATGACATCGAATCGAGTCATCGGAGGAAGACAGGCAGAAGCTTCAGATAGGTACTTGTATCACCCACAATAACCGACAAAGACCAATATCTCACGAACTGTATTGCGATGGTCCTGCGGATTGGAAGACTTGCGCACCTAAAACGGCCGGCGGGAACGGCGGACTGGTGGAGGCTACGCCTCCATCAGGGCATTTGCGAAGTCGGAGATGCGGCGGGGGATACAGGTGTCCTATGCATAGGCCCTAGGGTACTGTACCCCACATGAACAAAAATTGGATTTAAAATAAAATAAAATAAGCTTCAGATAGGCGCACCATGGATTATTTCAGACGCACTCACGTGATGGGAGCTGAGCACACCATCGCAAGTGTGTAGCACGCCATGACCACTGTTGCATATAAGTAAGATGGCAAAGCATTGAATCGAGTCTTTCCCCATTACCTTGACCACGTCACAACATGGACATGGGCTACTGTGTGCTTACCATCTGGCACACTCTTATGAGTATTTGATATGATCAATGCCTTTACCTACCAAGTTGGGAATTACCGTGACGCAGTCTACACTGATGACCAGCTTCACGTGTAGTGACTCAGGCCCATAGAAGAGCTGAAAAGCCATCCAAATTCCTATCTCTCTTGCAGCACGTCAATAAAAAATCATCGTACGATTATCTTACTTTTTGCAAGATTTCTCAAGCGCATTACTCCCCCATTTACGTTTCCAGCCTATCTCAACAGGTAAGTAGTCCTGCGCCTTACCACGAGTCTCGCTTACCTTTTACACTCCGCCATCTGATCATGTCGTTGGTCCCGATATCTTCCGACTAGTGGTATCGTGTCATCGTCCTTGTGACCTCCTGATCGGGTGTAAAGACTTCTCTTACGCTTTCAAGTTACAATTGGCTCCATTTCTGCACTTGTTTCAGGTCACCATTCGCTTCTCACATTAAATTCTACGCCTTTCTTTCCGCGCGGCACTATTGCAACCGTCCTTCCTATCCTGTATCTGGTGAATATTGTCCTCGTGGCTGGCGTCGGTACAATTAACTTCGAACTCGATGGATGGTCTTATGGATTCCATTTATCGTCATTGACGTGGTGTCCACTGGGTGACGGCCGCCCGTAATCCGGATACTGATACTGACTCGTTGCTTTGTTTGTACGTATGTTTTGTGCATTCGTATAAAATCGATGTTTCATTTTGTGGACCTGCATTAAGTTCTGAGCTCTTCAATGTTATCATCCTCCACACTTCATATTGAATGCGAACTTTCGCGCAGCATCACCATGCCCTGTCACTCTGATTCCTCTTTCTCCAACTCCCCATTGACCTCCAGGTCGAATACACCATCCTCCGTATCTGACTTCCAACCTACCAAAACTTTTCTCCTCTCTCCTACGCTACTCGACATACAATTCTTGAGAGATTTTTCCAAGAAGTTGGATAAGGGATCTGGGGACAGGATTGTGATTTCTGTTAACCACTCTGATGCATCTACCAACGGGTCGGTTGAAGAAGCTATCAAAACATTACCTTCTGTTGATGTCGAGGGAAAACGCTGGGAGAAGCACGTTGTTGATGGTATTGCATAAGTCTCACCTACTGAGACGATAATACTGATCCATCGTAGAAAGCTGTTACTTCACTGAAACGCACGAGGGCGTTGAACTTGAGGAATGGGTGAAGGTTTGCACGAGCGCTGGCAAAGCTGTAAGTCATAATCCTCTCAAAATTTACGTTCACTTTCTCTTGAAGGAAAGTAGATGACATTTTTATTTTTGGATTCGCTTATATTTCCTTCTGCTTCGCATTCCGTGTCGCTCACTCTCTTCATTGTAGACAAGCCCAGCACAAGCCTTGAGTATCTTCGCCTCCGTTGGCCTTCGTTCGATCTTTGGACAATCTTCGCCATGTAGAAGCAGTACTTTATACGTCCTCGAGCGCCCGGCTGTATCCTTCCCGTCTCTTGATCTTGCGAGCCCGTGGGGTGTCCCTACAAAACAAGTATGTTGATCTTTTTCGTGGTCCTTGTTTGTTGTCTGATGTATGATGTTGCAGGAATGGAAAGACCTGTGGGCTGCCTGGGATCTTGTTACACTTGGCATGATCCCAAGCGATATGTTACACCAGAAGCCTATTGACCTGCGACACAAATGCTTGTTCTACATCGGGCACATACCTACGTGAGCTTTACATTGAGGTGCTTTCTCGATTGTATCTGAGTATCAAAACAGATTCCTCGACATGCTTATGGCCCGTGCTCTCAACCAGGCAAATTCTGAGCCTTATTTCGCGCAGATCTTTGAGGTGCCAATCAATTTTTAGTTCAAAGTATCGTTCCTGACTCCTTACATTAGCGCGGCATTGACCCTCATGTAGATGATCCGGAACACTGCCATGTATGTACTTACTTCCCTTGTTATCTGTTTTCTCCTGATGTCAATTTTGTATTGAAGAGACACTCTGAGGTTCCAACAAAGGACGAGGATTGGCCTACCCTTGGAACGATCCTTGCCTTCCGCGACCGTGTGCGTGCGCGCCTTTTGGCGTTGTACGACGATTTAGCATCTGGAAAGCGCAAAATCAACAGGAATATCGGTCGCATGCTTGCGATGACCCTTGAACATGAGGGGTGGCACATTGAGGTTAGTATAACATTTCTTATTTGCATTGATCATGACTTAAAAGCGTTTGGTATGGCATAGACACTCCTCTACATGCTCATCCAGCGTGCAGGAACAGGGACGCTCCCCCCTCCAGGATTCGTCACCCCGCCATGGGAAGCGCTGTCTGCGCAATGGGACGCTTCATGTATACCCCCTTCCTCACCGACTGTCACTCTTGGCCCTGTTGCCATCATGCTTGGGCACGACGATTGCGAGGGTAATGACTTTGATGAAGGCGTGTGTAACCAGGTCGAGGGACACGAGTTCGGCTGGGACAATGAGAGCCCTTCACGACAGGTGCAGGTGGGGAAATTCCGTGCTGAGTGGAGACCAATCAGCAATGGAGAGTTCCATGCTTGGTGGGTGAACAGGAAGGAACTTGGTATACCACCCAGTTGGGTAGAAGAAGAGGAAGGGATCCAGGTTTGTTATTCAATCAGTTATGAATGGCTGGGACTGAGTTAAATTGCCAGGTCCGCACTCTCTACGGTCCTGTGCCACTAAGCGTCGCGAAGCATTGGCCGGTGCTTTCGAGCTACGATATGCTCGTTGAATATGCGAACAGTAAAGGCGGGCGACTACCCACCGAACCGGAGCTAAGGCTCTTCCTCGATACGTACGAGGTTGGATTCGAAGGTGGAGCAAACGTAGGCATTAGAAACTGGCACCCTGTTCCGTAAGTCACTATATGTTCTGAATTCTCTTATCTCATACACTTGGTTATAAGAGCGACTACTGGTCTCGAGACAAACGGCGGTCGGGGAAGTAATGGTGGTGTCTGGGAATGGACTTCGACATCGCTCGATAGCCACGATGGATTTTCGCCAACGAAGCACTTCCCAGGTTACTCAACAGATTTCTTCGATGGGAAGCATCATGTTGTTGTAAGTCTTGGCCGTCGCTTCATCTTGTTGTTGGTTGATACAATGGGTTATGCAGCTTGGAGCATCGTACGCTACGATCCCGCGCCTTGCTGGACGGCGGACGATCAGGAACTTTTATCAGCCCAATTATCCATACCCGTGGGTCGGTGCGCGGATAGTGTATGATGCATGAGGCTGGGCATGTATAGAAGTGTTGTTTCGAGTAAGTTAGTCGATGTATTGTGTATCTACCTCTTCCCTTGCCAATCCTTGATATGTCGTTTCTGAGATAAGCACATACCCTGACTTCAAATCAACATATCTCAAAGCCCGCCATTAGAATGTCCATGTCGTCACAACTACGTCGTCTCGTGGCTGACCGTGCCGGTCCGTGCGTAAACGACAAGAGATTCAACAAGACTTCGAAAGCAGATTTGAACCCCACGAATCATTGCAACTGGGCGTTGAACGTTCAAACTTCGACCGACCATATATATCGATTGTAATATTTTCTTTTCTTTTGTATTAGCATGTGACCCCTCTATGACATCAATGTTGCCCCTATGATTTGGTAAAGTCATAGGGGCTGCTTACATAGTGGACCTACTACGCCACCACTTTCCAACTACCTTTGACAAAAACCATAATGGCGACCTGCAGTGGATGTACCTGCGCTAGTGAATGCCCGTGAGTGCTCACTTCCTTGCCGCTATCTCACACTGAACTTTCTTACAACAGAGCTTGTGGCCCCTCAGGGACCGGCTGTGCTTGCCCAAAGAACCAATGTAACTGTCAGAAATGTGTCAACAGCGCACATTCAAATAAGGTACGGTCACGACGTGATTTTGGAATAAAACCAATTGCAACTCTGTGCAGTGCTCTTGCGCTGGCAAAGGGGAAAATTGTGAATGTTCTAAGCAGGGTCAAGCGTGTGCTTGTGAGTCAAAGTGATGACCCCTGTTGTTTGAAACGAGTAGGATGCATGAGCGAATTCAGAGGCGGCACGAGCGTTCAAAGTACAATGTCTGGCAATGAAACTTGAAACATTATAGCTTCCATGAAATATTTGATGGTGACATGCTTAACAGTGTGCTGAGTGACCTTGTTGTATGTATCATTTTTCACTTTTCCAAGGCCAGCCTGAGAGCACTAGCACTCGCACAGTGCACAACATGGCTACGTATGCTTTACTTATAAACTTATGCTCTCCTCTTCGAGTCACTGTGCGGAACTTCTGCTGTGTTCCATACCACGAACTGAGCTAGTAAGCTCTGCGCACTACAGATTGATTTCTTTGCGACTCGGCCATGACGGTGAGCATGCAGATCTGGCGATCTAGGTGATCACGTGTGATCCGAGTCATTCTCACGTTCTATATGGCATGTTTGGCGTACGTGCGATTCCATCAATCATGGCGTGGGCGGATGCGACCGTAGTACTGACATGTACATGTCACTGCAGTGCAAATCGCCTCGTGAGTTTGTCGTGAGGCAAGTAGTACTGTCAGATTTTACTCCCCGGCGTTTATAAATAAGTTTGTGTTTATGTAATTCGCTACTGAGTAAGGGGCACGCTGCTATTAGGCCTTACATAATGCGTGACGTAGGTCGTCTCATTGACTGCGCTCTAGGTCACTTACATAACTTCCACTTTGCAAGTGGTTACAAAAACCGTTACCTTCTAGGGTCAAGTTGAAGGTTTCCGTAAACCAGTCAACGTGACATTCTCATGAAGTTGCCGGGATTTTTATATGTGCTTGAGGAGAGGGCCGCATAAGTAGTGGCACTCCGTTGTTACTAACTTTTGAGTTCATCTCGCACTTTCCCTCAGTAGACTCACTATCAGCTTCGACGTTATGACCTCTGAGTCATGGACATCGCTAGATTCTACTCCAGGCCGGTGCATTTTCTTTCGGCCACTCGGAATCACAGAAACTACCTTCTATTGGGCTGGCGTTTTAAACAACACCGCAGATGTCGTGATGCACATGCACCTTCGTACCACACAAGCCAGTGACCAAGACATTCATTCCCAATCGAATGTCATGCGTGCTTGGGCGTCTGTCAAAAGGCGCTTCCCCCTTATTGCAGCTGAAGTGGAAGAACACGAGCTCGGTCCACGCTTCATTATCCGCGAAGAAACAGTCATGAATCTTCGACCTGATGATGTCACATTCATGGAGGTCAATTCCTTTCACCATGTTGAATGTTTCGTAAACGACATTATGGATGGACCCCGGCGCCTTTCATCTCAGTTACTTACTCGTGCTTATATTATGCGCCGAACAGATAAAAGCGACCATTTCCACGTCGTGGTTGTGATTGCCCACTGCATTACAGATGTAGCTGGCACGAGCACAGTGCTTAGGACGTTCTTTGACACACTGTCATCTCGGATTGAACCACCGTGTATTCCTCTAGGCGAGAGAGTGCATACGTATCAGGCTTTTGAGAGTAATTTGGGTTCTAAGGATCTTCCACTTGTCAAACAACGGTGGAGGCGGGCTTTGGGTTATGCAATCGGCTTAGCATGGATGTCCCGATTCAAGGTCTGGTGTTTAATTTGTGGTGCATCGCAGGAGAGCTAAAGCATTGAAGCAGGGCGGTCACACCCTCCCCGGAGACTTCAGGGAATCTACACCTCGTACTTCCCCTAAAAACCGCAACCACGTATCAATATTTTCGAGAGCAGTGTCGTCAACCATTCTCACCAATTGCCATCGCCTCGGCATTAGCATGAACTCCGCGTATTACGCCCTCAGTCAAGTAGCCATGGCACGCGTTTTATGTCGACGGTACCTCAGGGGCCAGATCTCGGAAGAAGAATGGGAGTACAGGAAGCGCCAGCCCATGTATGTCCTCGGGCCGATCAACTTGCGTCCATACCAAGATAAGGACTGGTTTGAGACGGGCGGCTCGGGCGATGTTGGGCCTCGTCCGGTATATACTTCCCTTCATGCCTCTTGGCGAAATGTCTAGGGGGGACCCTAGCAGGCTGGAACTCGTCGATGGGGCACCGGACTTCCCGGCACTCATGTCTTTCGATCGGTTTCTTCTCCGATGCGCTAATGTGAAGGCGCAAGGCCAGAAGCTGCTCGAACACCCACGGTTGGCTGATATATGTACTTCCACCCTGAGACTCTATTGGGCTGCTTTCGGGAAGGAAGTTACTTTGAAGATGAGAGACATCGTTCACCCAGAGGACGGCGATAAAAGTGTATCCGTTCAGTCTTTGAACCCGATATACACACAAGTGGGAGCCACTCTGGGAAATGTCAGTGGCTTTCATGATATAGATTCGAATGAGCTGAACGTTGCGATTCCAGATGGATAATCTGGTGCCCATAGACTATCCCCTACCTCCCGAGCACTACCTGTCCCCCCTGAACAGCACGCCTCACGCCCATCGGGCAGGTTATCCACCATGGTCACCGCAGGCTACTGCTTTCGAGGATTCCAAAACACCGCGACTCCATGTTGAGTACTGGCGTGTCCATAATCATACACCGCCTGCCGAGCTGTATCTTGGTGCGTCAACTGTGCGCCAGCAGCTGCAATATTTTGCCTCCTACGATCAGCACGTGTTCAGCGACAAGATTGTTGCGGAGTGGTTGAGTGAGCTGAAGGATGCGACGCTGTGGTATCTGGGCCAGCCCCATGGCAATGAAATACCTTTACAGAGCAAGTTGTAGTACCACATCGCAACGTCGTAAAAAGAACACAAGACAAGTACAGGAATAGTCCAGTAGTCGTAGAATTACAGAAAACCAGTGTGTTACATTGGACATTAGAATCTACTCGTCCTCCTCATCCTCCTCGTCCCAGTCTACACTCTCCATCGCTGCATCACCTTCGTTATAGAGCTCGTCCAGTCCGGTCAACTTTTCAAGGAATCCGGGCTCGTTGAATGCCTTCAAGAGCATATTGAAGCCCTGTTCCTCATACGCTTTGAGAACCTGGGCCATTGATGAGTATAGAGATGTGCAGAATGGGTGATCGCGCTTACTGTTTCGCTGCAACCCGTGCACTTGTCGTATGCTGCACCTGTGATCGGGAGGTTTCGGAACTGTGCCAAGAACCCACGCAATTGATGCGGGACAAGACCCAGAACACTGCCTGATGTGCTAGGGTCTGCAGCAGCTCCATTGGCTTGAGCAGGGGGCGGGGGTGCATGAAGCCTGCGGACAACGTCAGGAACAGTGTCGTGTCTTGAAGTAAAGTTAGACCTACCCATCAGGATGTTGCAGCAAAGAGACAAGGAGTTCGACCGCCGTAGAAGCTGCGATCGAGGCAAGGCCGGGTCTTGTCACGGTACACATTTGATCCAGAGTGCGATCCGTCAAGGACTATATGGAAAGATATGTGAGTGATTGTCGTATGGAGAGTCGAAAGGTAATACATCAGCAGGAGCGACGATATCGTTGCAGTAATAGCAACCTAGTCGATTGCCCGTCGACGACGACGCTCGAGCGCCATGACGCATGACAAGGTACGTATCGAACCCAAGGGCAGCGTTAAGGACTATCTGCGCGAGGGTTCAGTACGAGCAATATGCATATGGCCTTGTGCCGTACCTTGCCCTTGGCAGCGCCCAAAACAGTTGGCAGCCAGCGGCTTTCTCTAGAATCCATTAAGAGGAATACAACATCGTGTTCGTCGAACAGCGTCTCTAGACGCTCAACGTCTTTCTTCGCTTGCTCAGTGGACGCTGGGGGTATAGGGTGGCCTGGCATGGGTATCGACATATCATGGCCAGTGGCATTCTGATTTGCAAGTCATCAGAAATCGTTCAAGACGAGGCGAGACGGGACTTACGATACCGGGGAAGATTTTCGTCAGGCGCTGGGCGGCGCAAGCGGCCTTGGGTTTACCGCCGTTGAGACAATCCTCGAATTCAAACAAGGGTTGGCGGACGGGATTCGAGAATGACACACGCGCAGAATCAACGAAAGTAATCGTACGGACACCCCATCCCTAGTGGTGGAAATTAGTAACAACTGTGGGTTTGAGTCATCAGCACAAACCATGAGGGTACGTGCAACGTAGCAGCCAAGTGTCCCGGCGCCGAGAAGCAGGCATCTTGTTGATGCCACCTTATCGAGGTCCAGCGAAGGTAAAATCCGCCAGCGCATCAACTTCAAGTTCAGGTCCACAGCTTGATCAGCGAGCCTAAAGCCCGTCAGCAGTATTCACCATGAGTTGCTGAACACATACCTCTTTGGATCCATCATGGGTGCTAGATCGGCGACTCGAGCACTGAGCTTGTTGGTTGTCGGATGGCGCTCCCATCCTATAGCACTGGGTTTGGTGGTTGGATCTCCTTCTCCGACGGAGACCACTCCAAACCGGCTCCGCCATGGTTTTCCGGTAATGGGTTTTTCGCTATCTCTCCAGCAAAGAACTCGGACAGAAGATGTTTGCGATGGATACACCGCGCGAAGGAAGGTCAAGAGGTTACGAAGAGGCCAACCTGGGTTTTCAGGAAGAGCAGATGGATCTAAAAAGCCGATTATTCGCTGTGCAAGGGAGTCAGGGGTTAGCTCATAAGACGGAATGCACAAATTACATTTTCGGGAGCAACACCTAGCGAAGAACTCTTCATATTGCTCTATTGACCCCACTTCAGTTATCCCGCCGATCTCCTTCAGCGAGAAAGAATGGTCGAGTTGACTTGAGGAGCGAATCGTAGATAAATTCCAACTGAGAGTCCTTGTGAGAATGCGAAAGTGCTCCTCGATGAAGTACATACCCCCTGGATCTCTTCGTCCGCTGACTTCCAGCCATTTTCTGAGATCTGCCAGGCTGGTTTGGACACGAACGCGGGGAACGCGAACCAGTAGAAGTACTGATACTTCTTTAGATCAGCGAATGTTATTAGTAAGAACTGCGTGAGGAGAGACGTGTCTTTTGTCGTGATGATGCTGTCCCAGATCTTATTGGAACAAGTATTACAGTTTGCTATCAGACGCGTCAAGTCATGATCGCACCTTGGAAACAACGTCATTCACAAGTGCAGCCTTATCTGCAGCCTTAAAGTCCTCGATAGTATTGAAGTTCTTGAAGACGCCAGTGGCTTGGACGGACATGGGTGACAACCTAGGGTAGTGTCAGCATATCAGTGTCAACGCGTGTCCGATCGCGACATACTGAGGTGCCTTCTGGTAAGCGTCTTCCCCAACTGTGAGGTTACATCCAAGAGCAATATCTTGCCCTGTTTCGCGATCTCTGATTGATCGACCAACAGAGTATGATCCATTCACGGTAATAGCGTCTTCTGAGAGACGAAGGACATCTATCTTCATGCGAGTAAGTTCATGCCAAAAGCCTGGCTGAACAAGGGACGAAAAGGGCGCGAACTGGACGACAGGCATGTCGTCGATGATGGTGGTAGCTGCAATGATGACTGACTGACTGACTCATGCCTCCTGTTCGCAGGGACACAGCTGCAACCTACAAATGGCAAGCTCGGTCCACCAGCTAGCGCTAAAACAACTTCACCGATTGATCTCTCAATCAGCTCCCTCAGCTCAAGTGACCTGCAGATACCATAGTATGTAGAACTGCTCATCTGCAGAAGAACTGACAGATCACGGTTAATCGTTATTATTAATAATGTTGGAGTCAGGGATGCATCGACCATGAATCATTATGTACTCATGAACAGAGCAGCACAAACGTCCACCTTTTCGCGCCTGTCTCAGTTAACGAGCAGAAATAACATGAAAACCATCGATAGTATAGAGTTGAGAGAGCGAATAATCGGACCGTGGAAACGATCGACGCACCCAAAGATTACTGTCCTGAGTCTTCAAATTGTACGACCGAGCAAGAACAGCGAACGTCAGCACAAAATCAACCATTCACAGGACGAAGGGAAAGATCAAAACAATGCCGCATAACCGAATCTTGTCTGCGTGCAAGGAATCCAAGTGTCATTTGTCAATCTCGTCTAGCTAGTGTCCATGGCATCACCGGTGGCGCCTACAAGCGTAATGTCTTCGCTAACGATCAAGTCTCTTATGTTTTCGCTCTTCCATGCCGTGGTCCCTCTTCTGAATGTGTAATGGCGTTCCTTCTCTACCCGCTCGTTGGGCTTGACAAAATTGCGAAGCATCTCGGTTTGCGTGGCGGTAATGATACACGCGTCAACGTTGGACCCTGAACCAAGGTCGTTGAAGATACCAGCTGAGACGGCGGCAGACACTAGGGCCAGAGCGTCGTTGCGCTAGGCGGGACCGGGGTTGAACATCGGCCATACATAAGAACGGTGGAACGTACCTCCATGTTTGGCTTCCAGCTGCTTTCAAAAACAGCCATGGCTGCCAAGCTTCCGGAGCCCATGGTCACGTAGGGCAACTTGTCTGTAGACCCATGTGGATGGATGGTAAAAAGATGTGGCCCAGTAGAGTCAACTCCGCCAAGGACAAGAGCAGCTCCGACATGGCCCTGGTATCTATGCATCGCATAAATAATAAAACATTGAATGCTGAAGACAGTTAAGGCTCACTGGAAAAGGTATTGTTTCAACATAGTCATCACAGTGACCACTCTTGGCTTTCTCCCAGTGGACAGAGCATGGAGTTCCATATTTGATGATATCGAAGCGGTGGTGAACTCAGTGTCTGCAGCAGTACCCGCACCACAGCACCGGATTGATTCTGTTATGTAGTGGATCTGGGGATGCATATTAGCTGAAGCAGTATGATATTGATCTCCAAGAGCGGACCTTTTCACAATTCTTGTCTGCAATTATTTCACCCTCTGTGGCACGCGTGTCGGCACCAAGGATAATGCCATCTTTGAAGAGACAGCCTACGATCGTGGTACCAGTGCTGGTAGCCTTTGGAAGGGGAACGCCCTTCTCCTGAAAGAATTTATTTCTATACGACTGCTCAGACGACAGCTATGGAAATAATATAATGTCTTGCTCACCTAACAGAGTTAGAAAAGTCGAATCCAGAAGAACTGAAGACCGATTGTTGTGACATTGTGGAGGATTATCTTAAAGCTTGTCGACAAGCTTGCGCATTCGTGTTACGCGTCTGACTAGGACCCCTTGAACCTATTTCCTTATTTGAATGTAATTGGCACCGCTGGGCGGCTTCAGCTGCGGGGTCAGAGGTTCTCATATCTTGAACCCTTCTTCTCCCCAGTTCTTGTATCATTATCATCGTTTTCAAGTAAACTAATGGACGGCTGGAACAAATTTCAATCGAGCCTTTCCGGCCTAAACCTTGGGCAGTCCGCAAACAAGTTTGCAAAGGGCTTCAACTCCAGTGTTCAAGCAACTAGAGAGCGTTTAGGTCAAGTTGCCCCAGACGAAATTACAGGAGTTGCCTCAGGGTAGGCCAGCTCCCTTATAGTTTGGATGCTGAACTGCAATGTTCATTTCAGAGTATAAGGATTTGGAGGCTCGTGTAGACGCGTTGCGTCAGGCACACCTGGCACTTTTCAAGTTTGTGCACTTCGTTTGTGTATTGGCTGAGCGCTGATGCTCTTACCTCCATCAGAGTAACCAAGGTCTATGAGAACGAGTCGTATGACTACCCGAATCAAATTCAGGAGTCTATCGCAGAACTCTCGACTAATATTGGCCATGGTATTACAAACTTCGCTGCTACAAACCTCAAGGGCACCAATCTTCCTACGCCATCACCTGTCGCCCCGCAAGTTTCTCAACACAAGACTCTCCCTCATGCTCTCGGTCGCGCTGCGACCAACGCCGCCGCCGCCTTGCAACGCACCCCTGGTGGCGATGAAGATAAACTCGGCAAGGCACTGACCGTATACGCAGATGTTTTCGACAACATTGCATCAGCTCGCATTGAGCAAGACGAATCCATTCAGACCCAATACCTCCGCCCGTGGCAGACGACGCTTTCAACGTCTATTAACGTCGCAATGAAAGCACGCCAAGCCGTTCGCGTGAGCAGACTTGAGTTGGATGCCGCTAAGCAGACGTAATTACTTTCACTAAGCCTTGGTCCTTGAAGTGCTTACATTTTTTTCATGCAGTCTGAAAACTACAGGTCCCGTTAAGCAGGAGCAAGCAAGGCTTGACGTTGAGAACGCAGAGGATGACCTCGTTCAGAAGACTGAGGTTGCCATCACCCTCATGAAGACAGTTCTTGAAAACGTACGTGACAGCTACTCGCTTTTATAACATTTTACCTTATTGTTTGCAGCCTGAACCTCTGAAGAATCTCAATGAACTTGTGAAAGCTCAAGTATGTGTCCTATAATAAGAAGGTCGCAGGGGCTTACCTTGGTTTGCAGCTACTTTACTTCGCAGCAGCTGCTGAAGCCCTCTCTTCCGCACAAGGGGAAATTGAAGAGCTCAGTGTTGCCGCAGAAGGAGAATATAGGTAAATATCTCCATCCCCTGTCAACGTCACCGCTCACATCTTGTTAGGAAGTCCCGCGACCATTGAAGTACCCCTACATTAGATCCATGACATGTCGCATGTACATTCTCTTGCTAGGTAGTTTTCATTAGCGCTACTGCTGTCCTTGTACGTCTCCATATCGCAACACTATGCACAAGCTGGCTTCGGACGTTACAATAGAGGTGTACTTGACCGACCGATGGTTGAATACATAGTCATCTAGACACGTCTGAATCTTTCCTTTTCCTGCCCTTCACCTAGTTCTTATTATGTATGCTCGTGTGCTTACAACTGAGGTATTTCTTGATGTACGTGGAGCCAACATAATCTTGCTACGATTTGAGTGCATGTTCTTAAAATTGCAATCTACGAGTTCGATGTTGTCCGGCATCTATAGAGGCTATATATATATGAATGATGTCAAGGTGCACGCTGACAGATTTGAAACTATCCTTACGTACAGGTCCTTCCGGCCCTTACCTCCTTTATAGACCTCCTGTGTGTCGAACTTATCACACTAGGTCCATGCTTCGTTGCTGTCTCCCGGTGCCAACCTCTACGTATTTGAATTTGACAAAGATGTGCCACCACAAAATATTATGGCGCTGGATCAGTTCAATTCTACATACAAAATAGACTTATACACACAACATTTTCACGCATACACAATCCCATACCGTTGTCGAGACGTGTGAATTTTAGCGGGACTTCCTGATTTGGTAATACCGTGCGACGACACAACGCTTGAGCCTTGAGCTCGCTGTCGAGGACAGCGAGCTCAATTACTCGCCCAATTCTTCTCCCTTTTCCCTAATTCTTTTTGTAGTGCATAAATTTATGATAAATACGTTACTAGTGCACATTTAACTATGCTATATCGACCATAATTCTTCCATACTCACAATATTCACTACTTCCTGTCATGGATTCATACTGGGCACTCTGAAGGGCTTATTATGGACTTAAATAACGATGTATTCATTGTACAAATATATTAGAACTTCTACAGAGACATAAATATCCAATTAGAATCCAAAAAAAAAGCAGGTCAGGGTGGGGGAGGAGAGGGAGGGGGAAGGAGGGGAAGGAGCGTTATCCAAGTAAGCATAGTTAACAAGTTACTAGTAACGCATTTATCATAAATTTATGTACTAAAAAGAATCAGGGAAAAGGGAGAAGAATCCGGCGAGTATTTGAGCTCGCTGTCCTCGACAGCGAGCTCAAGGCTCAAGCGTTGTGTCGTCGCAGCGGTATTATCAAATCAGGAAGTCCCGCTAAAATTCACACGTCTCGACAACGGTATGGGATTGTGTATGCGTGAAAATGTTGTGTGTATAAGTCTATTTTGTATGTAGAATTGAACTGATCCAGCGCCATACAATATGGGTTCTCCATCTCGCATGGATCGACAGCGAATCAAAAACACGGCAGTGCTTCAACGTTGTTATCACCATCGAATAAAAACGAAAACACAGCAATAAATCCGTTGAAGAATCGTTCTACAGATGACGGTGTATGAATTAGTCCCAGTGATACAATACAATTCATGAATGTCAGATGAAGCAAAGGACGCTTTCTTTCTCTCTCGTGTCTAATATCCTGATGGTCGTGAGCTCGACTTGGATGTATCGTAAGCACGAATGAGTTTTGCCTGATCTTGACGACCGTTCTCTGTCTGACTGAATGCAAATCCGCGGTTCCGGCGCATGCGCTGGACAGCGCGGACTTTTTTGATCGCCTTTTGGAATCTGACGTCATAAGGGGTTAGCATCAACCACCAAAATTTGAAGTGACACGTACTGTTCTTGACGCGGACGGTAGTCGGGAATGTTGTACTTTTGGAGCTCTTGAGCGATATGATATGGAAGAGGGATGTATGTCCGTCGGTAGCTATATAAAAGCGTCAGATATTTATCCCGCTCAAGCGCGTGTGGACGTACTATTTCCAAACAAAGTCGCGGGTCAGGCAGACGATGGGAACAAGGATGAGGACAAAATAAAACACAGCGTCAGTCCATAGACGAGGCACAAGTCCGTAATATTCGGTAGAGAATCCAATGGCAGGGGCAACAACGGCATATAAAGGAAGGAAAAGCATAGTGAAAACGAAAGACCCGGGAATCGCTGAGGCAAAGGTGTCAGTTGGATGTTTGTTCATAGGGGAAGACTTGCGCTCACCAGCAACAGTGTACTTTGTCCACAGACTATGAATACGTATTAGTATACGAGGGCGAGACAAGAATAGGGACACGGACTCGGAAACCAAAGCGGCCTTGCCAAGGACAGTGAGCAGGACAGCCAGGTAAAGCATGGCACCCCAGAACCAGTGCCCTGAGTCCAAACCTGTCGCTTGCTTCAAATCTCCCCAGAACAAAATCACAGTGAACGTGAACAAAATCTAGAAACGCCAATATTATTTTCACCATCACTGAATTTTTCGTTGCTCGGAATGAGACTCACGAGACTGTGATACAGCGCATTGCCTACCCAGAGCCAGAATGCTGTCTTCGTAAAGAAGACGTTTTTCTGCCCGAGTACATATAATTGTGGGTACCGGTCTAGTATCCGTGCAGATACGAACTGATCGAACACGCCGATGACGAGTGGAGGGAGAACGGTAAATATGACGTTGTAAAATGATATCGTCCATGATTCGTAGGCAATCTGCCCTGAGAAATTATTGAAGAAAGAATACTATAAAGTAATGGTCAGCTAGACATTCATGAGTATGAGTGAGTGGGCGGATGCGTACCCAAAACTGTGTCATGTAAAGCGTAATGTTCTTGTAAAATGAGTCTGTGGTCCTTGGTGATGAGCATGCATCACACAGAGAGAAACAGATATACATACAAAGGATGAGCTTCGATAGTCTCTGATAACTCCACGCGCCATGAACTAGTAATAGCTTCTTGAGAAATCTGAACTGTGAAATTGCCACATCCGCAGACCGCGCGGCTTGTAGACCCTATACAGATCGCTTTGAACACAAACCCAATGTCGCGTGCTGAAGATCACGTACCTCGACTCCAGATATCCCCACGCCCACATGCGCTGCCTGGATCATGCTCACGTCGTTCGCACCGTCACCAATTGCCAAAAGAATGCTCTTCTGGTTCTTCTTTACAAGTTTGACGACGAGAGCTTTTTGAAGTGGAGATACTCTGCAACAGATGACTGCGCGACACATGAGCGCGAGCTCCAAAAACGACTTAGAGAGCTCTTTCTCGAGTGCGAAACCTAGGCTTTTGCCGTCTGCAAAGGAAGGGCTTAAGAGGGTGTCGATTGATTTCGCGCCTGTGCTAACCTATGACCAGAGCGAGGTCTTCGAGCTCTCCCGTACTCCGCTGATTCTTGATTGCTGAAAGTCGCTTCTGGATGAAATCTGCAGTATCACGTGAGTTGTTTTCGTTCACAATGACCTGAAGAAGTAGAGCATCAGTATTGGAATATCTTCACCGTGTTCCCAACTTACCAAGTTCATAGACTCTGAGATCAACCGACAGGACATGCCGATATTGATCGCTGTCTCTTGTCTGTCACCTGTAAGCACCCAGATCTACGTACCACATCAATATCATAGACATAGACGCCATGATATGATGGTTATGACAAACATACCTTGATCCCAGCCA